GTGGAAATGGGAGGGAGGTGGGGAGCACGGGGCGGGGTGGGCTGGGATGGGAGAAATAAACAAAACTGTACTTGAAAAATAACTAAAGAAAAATAATAATCATCCAGCTTCCTTTGCCACATCTTTCTACCCATCTGCTCCAGTTGCACTTAGAGGTGCACCAACATAAAAAATGCCCACAGCATGTACATAAAAGTCACAATGGCTCAGGCCTCTGTGTTGGTCGTTGGATTACTGCCTCTCAATTCCAAACATCACCTTGCTTCTAATGCTGGAATTAGATCTTGCAAATATTTGTCCTTTGCCAGTAGAAGTTTCTGCAGAAATAGAGCAGAAGGAAGGGAGGTACTTCTTTTCCTGGCTCTAAAGTGCCTTTTCTCAACTTACTCCTGCTGGAAATGACTGGCAGCACATAGGTCACCCCACGGCACTCACTGCCCAGCTTTCATGTTCCAGCTCATGCTTTCCTCACTGCTAGCCTCAGCCCTTATGCTCCAGTGAGGGTCTCCTGCTTCTCAGTTTTGATCCAAAATTTCCTGTCCATCAGTCTCAACCTAGGAACCCAGAGGCCTTTGCACCTTCCATGAGCTATGATCATAGCTTCTCCAAAGACATTTGAACCGCAGCCTTGGATGTGGGACCCCTTCAAAATATTTCTTCTTCGGGAATTCTCTCTCAGCAATAGGGTATTCCTTAGCATCTTTTTCTTTCTTAGTAGCTAGTACCCTCTAAATAGTTCATAATGTTTATATTAAACCTTGTTCATTGCAATGATTGCGTGATGCCTGTTTCCTGACCAGACCCACTGATTTTCCTTCCAATGCAGGCACACCCCTCTGAAAATGTCTACTTAAGTCAGATGTGAATGTCCCTGTTCAGGGATGAAATCAGTGCTTCTGAGTACAAACCTGTATGGAGATTGCAATTCTATGGCCATGGAGCTGCCAACACTCTAAAGTGACTGCGGGGGAGGGTCAGGCTTCAAAATATTTGAGTAATTTGTGTCAGCTCAGTCTGGGCAGTTTTGTGCATGCAGATGAGAATGAGGACAAAAAAATTTGATCAGTATGATTTACTGGGATTCTTCTGTATAGACTCAACTCTAATCTTAACTGAAGCATTTTATAAATAAAAATGATTCCCCCAGTTAAAAAAATCCCTCTGTGTTTAGATTCCTCTCTGTGTTATAGTCCCAAGTGTTTGCTCTAGAGTTCATGTTCATGACAGCCATCATTCAAATTTCCTTCCCTGCTTTAGGCATTTTCTCTTCTTTGCCTTCTGTGAACATTGCCTTTCAATTATTTCATTGATTTTATATCACTCACCAAAAAAACCATTGCTTATAATATTTAATTAAGGTAAATTTCAATCTTCACTATCAAAAGGAAGATATTTCATTTTTGTTTTGTAGAATTTCCTATATGGACAAGATCAGGTTCCAGTTTTTTAACCTTAAGATAAGCATTTCAAGTTTTCGAAGTATTTTTATATTTTAAACATATTTTATACCATCTCTTTCACTCTTTTAACATTTCACCCTACTGTGACAATAGCAATGATGTGACGTTTACACTGACAAATTATAAAGCCCCTCTCTATCCTCGGAACAGCCATCATCGTGACACTGGCCGGAAAGTAAGAATTTTCCCAGCTTTGACGAGCGGCACCGCGCTAGGCCAAGCGGTGGTTCACACAGTCAGTAGCTAGAAAGTGTGAATGCCGTGAAGGAGACTTCGGAAGCGCCCACCAGGACACCCGGCTATTTACAACTATAGTTCGATGTCCAGATTTTAGCTAGAGAAAGCAATACCCGAAATTCAGGAGGAACTTCAGCTGAAAGAGGTCTCACCTGACAGATACGGAAACTGAGATGCAGTCAGACTCAAAGACTTTCTCAGGGTCACACAGAGGGAAGGTGGCTGAGCAGGATGAGAACGCCTGGATTAGGTTAGACCATTGCTCTGAATCCGATGAAGACCAGAGTTCCTTGTGTTTCAATTATGTTTAAAAGGCAACAAACGGCCCTGACTGCCGTGGCTCGGCTGGTCAGGCCTTCTCCCACAAACCACAAGGTTGCTGGCCTAGTTCCCAGTGAGGGCTTGTGTGAGAGACATCCGATCAATGTTTCTCTCCCTCCACCCCCTCCCTCTCTAAAAATATATAAAAGGCAACATTATAATAGTTCTTGTCGATCTTAATTTTTTATTTGAATGATCAATTCATCTCTAATTAACTTCTCCTAATAATAAAACTTTATTTTCAATATGTTTGAAAACCATGAAATATATTTTTGCCTACCTAATGAGGTGTTTTTAGACCTTTACTAGAGAGAGGTACAATTGTATGTTCTACTTGTCCTTATAACAAACTTAAAAAGATTTATTCCTGTTAAATCAAAGTTAAATTCTCTAATATTTCATTATTACAACTAAAATCAGCCAAGGTAACTCTACTGCAAATTCCACTTTTTCCCTTTTTTCTCAAAACAACAAACCATAATATGGGAATATCTTCAAAGGTATATTGTAAAGTAACAATTATTTTAAAATACTGGAATCAGGTCACAAGAAATAAATTGGAAGCTGGCTTTTCTAAGCATCCATGGTGATGTCATCCTCACTAAAACGGAGCTGATGAGAGAGGGACAGAAGGTCAGCCCCGTCTCCAACTGTCAGTTTCACAGAGCTCTTGTCAGGGGAGAACAGGTGTCAGGCAGAAGTTCCTTGGAGCTTTTCTTCAGAAAATCTCTGTATTACTAAAGTTGTTAAAGATCACGTTATAATGCTAACAATGAAAATTTCTGGGTGTACTTTGAGGCAACAACCACAGAAAGTAAACTTGTAGGTGATAAAACAGAATTTAAAAGTGAATACCTCTTTTCCAGGTTAGCACTTGCAATGTTGGGGGAGCTCGTTTTATAAAGTATATGATGGTCTAACGACTATGCCGTACATGTGCAACTAAAAAAAATAATACTGAATGTAAACTGTAATTGAAAAATTAAAGAAAAATAAAAATGGATACATTTTAATGTTGCAGGAAGATGACTTCGAAGTAGCCTGCCATCCATTTCTACATAAAACATAAGGCTGACGAAAGATTTTTTTGATCAATGTTTGGTCTCTGTCGTGGGATTTCTTCTCATACCACTAGATGGTGCAATTTGAGGTCTAAAGCCTGTCGAGAAAATTACCAGAAGCTTAGTGATAGAGATAGCTTCCCTGTGGAAAAGGCACAGTGAGGAAAACGAGAGAGGTGGGAAAGTCATTACTCTCTGAGGTTACACAATTGTCCTCCTCCAGAGCAGAAAAGTGCAGAGCAGAGAATGAGGTCAGGAGACCCGTGCCCATGTGTTGTCTTTCACCAACTAGCTCTTAGATGACTCACTCACTCTTCTTCCTTTCTTCCTCTACTTCCCTGGAACCCGGACAGAGATCATGAGTTCTGCAGAAGCCACGGTATACAAGCGCAACCCGCCCCCCAGAAGGATGACTGATGTTAGTGTTTGGCCTAAATGCAGGGTCTCAGAAGGCAGCCAAACAAAAGTCACAGCCGCTGCGTTCTGTTCCTGACCCTGTGCTATGCTCCACACAGAGAGTGTGACCACAGTAAACTTCCTCTAACCTTGCCCACTTCCCCATCAAACTGACGCTAACATTTAACACCTGCCTCCTCTGAGAGTCTTCCGGGATTAACGAGATAAAGCTGCCCAAGGCCTGAACTTTAGATGACAGCCGCTAATTATAAGCCAAGCATCTGTGGGTGAATACACAACTAAAAACTGACTCTTCCTCTGTGTTAAAAAGCTCCTGAACTGGGTGACATCATTCCCAATGCCAAAGAGCATTTTGATGGAGAAGTGAAAATTATTAAGAGCGAGGAAGTCAGCCCTTTGAAGAAAAGTGGAAAGACCAGGGACAACCCCTGTTCACGAAAGAAGGGGGGCAACAAGAGATTCTCTTCATTGGCAGAAGGCATCTCGCATAGGGGTGGGAGTTTTGAATCCACTTCGAGTTGATTTGTGTGTGTGCTGTAAAACAAGGGTCCAACTCCGTTGCATGTGTGTGGGTACCATTTCCCAGAACCATTTGTGAACGAGATCATCCTTTCCCCTCTGCCACATTCAATGGTGAAAATTTTTGAGTTTTACTTCTAATCAACACAGTACTGGGAGGCCTAGCCACATCAATTAAGCAAGAAAAATAAATAAAAGTCACCCATACTAGAAAAAAGATGTCAAATTATATATTTTTGCAGATGATATGATCTTACATATAGAAAACCCTAAGGACTACACACACACACACACACACACACACAAAAGATTAAAATTAAAACATGACTTCAGATGAGTTGCAGGATACATAAATCAAAATGAATCATAAACTGCTATATGGAACTATTATTGCCACTAATGTGAATAGGCCTGTAGATTAAAGGAGTTCTGGCCAAGTGCATTTCCCAATCTCATATCAGAAATCTGTGCTAATCCCAGATACTTCCACGTTGTCCTTCCTATATTAGGGCTGTGAAAGTTCTTAGTGCACACACATTCGTAGAAAGTCTTATTTTTTTCTCTTGGGGAAACATTGTTCCTGGAATGAAATGGCTAGAACAATATTCTCTGAGACGGATGAAAACCATTTCTGAAAACAATTACATAAAGAAGTTGGTTTGGGGCATGTATGTTGTGAGTCTGCCTTGTTGCACATCCCTGCTGTTTACCTTCTCAGAGCACTTTCCCCAGAGTGGGATGTACACTCCACACATACCGTTTGGTCAGAAAAATCAATAGATGTTTAAATGCCTAGAAGCATTTACCTCTGTTCCCAATAGCTTTATCTCTGTACTGAAATTAAATGCTTTTTGATCAGAATCCTCCCTCTTAGTACCTAATAATGGATACAGATGGAACCTGTTTAATCAGAGCAGAAACCCACCAAGCTCAGGACATATCAAAGATTTCCAAAACATATTGACAGAACTAAAAATGTCCTTACCTGGGCGATTATGTCTATAATTTCTGAATAACTGTGGCATCGTCTCACACGAGATCGAGCCAAAAAGTCTTCCACCAGCCGTGTGCCAATGCCGTATCCCCTGTGAATGAAGGGAAGAGTGTGGTCTGGAAATAATATTTGAGTCTTAGTGAAAATTATCAGTGTTTAAGAATGGATTCATCTTGTTAGCACATGCCCAAGTGGATAACAAATTAACCAGGGTGACAATTCAAATGGCTATTTGGCAGTGGGCTCCTTCTTTGTCCCACAGGTCACGGAAACAGTAAGGAACACATCCAGGGAATAGTAACTAATCTATAAGCAAAGAGGATTCAGGGCTGACCAGAACTTGACCTTGCACACTAAAGGTAAAGAACGTTGGTTGGTGTTTGTGATCCAATGTTTCTCATTAGCAACTAACTTTCTCATCATTAGCTGTTGATGGACACAGAACTTGGATCTAGTTAACTTGTCTGCTACAAGTGTGGTCACGTGTGCTCATTCTTCCCGTGGCAGCTTTATCACGTAGGAGGGCAGGCATGTCTGCCATGGCTCTGAAAGGAGGGGATAAGGGGAATAGAAAAATCAATTTTTTGTTGCCAGTGTAGTTGCCAAGAGTTAGACTCTGAATTTTAGTAAAAAGAAAAAATAGCCAAGTCCAGAGAATTCATTTCTCATTTCAGGGACACTGAATCTATGGGACTCAGGAGAAAGTATTTCTATTAGCTCCACGTCACAACAAAAAGCTTGAGAACTTGAAGTACAATTGTAAAAGCATTTTCGAGGTGTGATCTGAGTATGTGGCTAAGGTGACTGAGCATTCACCCTCAGTAAGATCAACCTGAGAACTTCCAGCCTAGGTGAGGAAATATAACCTTAATGGTGGAAATAAAAAAAGAATAAGACTGCCTTTTCCAAACAACTGACACAAAACTGATCGAATTTCACAGCAACATGTACATAGACAAGTGAAATGATTTGAATAGAGCAACAGATGACCCAATAAGATAAAGACACCAAGGTTTGTAGAGGCCACATTTGCTCCATAGGTCTAAAAGGGGGGGCAGATATTTGGTGACTGGGCAGTTGGGGATGGATTGATTTAATGTCAGAGCGTTCACCCATTCACTAAATCTATGAGATATTTATATTTCTGAGTGGATAGCAACATTCAGTTTAGTTTACTTGCATTTCAAAAAAAATGTTTTCTGACTCTTGTCAGGAAGATCACACAGAATAGACTTTTAAAAAACAGAACCTATACTTTACAGAAATAGTTGCATTAGGATTTTAAAAAATGTTCCCAGTGTTTTCTAACTTATATGCATATACACAGGATTGGCCCCTGGGAACAGTGATTAGAAGCCAGGACATCATAGTCAGTGCCACATATATGCATGCATATATATTGTTTTGGTCAAAGGGTATGCTTCTGCAAGGCATATATTTTTTATATTTCTGTATTGAATTAAAAATATAAGATGCTTTCAGATTCAGATATTGGAACATTTAAAGTTGTCCCCGAGGTTCCTAAGCCTCTCCTCAATGTTCCAACAACCAAATCATGCAGTGCCAGAAGAGGAAGAGCAAGAAATTGAAAACTTATTTGAACAAATAATGAAGGAGAACTTCCCCATTCTGGTAAAGGAAATACACTTCCATGAGGTCCAGGAAGCTCAGAGAGTCCTAAAGAATTTGGACCCAAGGGAGCACACATCAAGGCACATTGTAATTACATTACTGAAGATTAAAGATAAAGAGAGAATGTTAAAAGCAGCAAAGGAAAAGAAGCTATCTAACCTACAGAGGAGTTTCCATAAAACCGTCAACTGATTTCTCAAAAGAAATCTTGCAGGCAAGAACGGGCTAAAAAGGAGTATTCAAAGTCATGAAAGGCAAGGACCTACATCCAAGATTACTCTAACCGGCAAAGCTATTATTTAGAATAGAAGGGCAGATAAAGTGCTTCCCAGATAAGGTCAAGTTAAAGGAGTTCATCATCACCAAGCTCTTATTATATAAAATGTCAAAGGGACTTATCTAAAAAAACAAGATGGTCAAAAATATGAATAGTACAATGAAAACAGACTATCAGCAACTGATAGTCTAAAAAGAAAAATAACAAACTAAGCAAACAACTAGAACAGGAACATCACACATGGAGAATTATCAATGGGTAGTGGAAGCAGGGAGAATGAGGGAAAAGGTACAGGCAACAAGAAGCATAAATGGTAGTTAGAAAATAGACAGGGGGAGGTTAAGAATAGTATGGGAAATGCAGAAGCCAAAGAACTTATACGTATGAAATACGTACATTCCATGCACATGAAATAAGGGGGGAAATGCAGGTTGGGGGGTGCAGGGCAGAGGAGAATAAAGGCGGGGGAAATGGGACAACCGTACTAGCATAATCAATAAGATATATTAAAATTTTTTAAATAAAAATATAAGATGCTCTCAGCAGAAGCTATTAAGGATATTCAAATGTGAATCATTTTTCTGAAGGCAAGTCCTTTCGGCAGCCTCTCAAAATTTATTCCTTAACTAATATTTTATTCAGATTTGTTAAAATGTGCACTGATGTAGTACCTAACCAGCAATATTTTTTAGTCGAATAAGTGAATTGCAGCATTTTGTTGACTTGCTGTACCTTCTGGAAATGCTGTGTATGACATGTGTAAGTACAGCCTCAGTGTAAAAGGACTTCAGCAGCACCCGGTGAGTTCACCTGAGGAAGTGCTCCTGACTAATTCAGAAGAAATGAAAAAACGAAAGTATGTGAATCAGGATAAATACAGGACAGAAAAAATAAACCTTCTGATAGAAGAAGAACAAACATGTAGAAAGGAAGAAGACCAAGAAAAAAACTTTATTACTTCTTTTTTGTTTTTATTTCTATATTCCGACAAAAAATATAGTGAAGCCTTTTAAAAAGCTAAAATGCTCAACACAATTAGGCTAAATTTTCCATTCAACCTGAATATTCTAACTAGTACTGATTTGTCAGTCATTGCCTGTTAGAATCCTTTCCAGGATCCATGGTTAAGAGATTAGATAATATTGACAGATATTTTATTATCAGACAATAATCTGATGTTCATATAATTATGCTGAGAAATTTGAAGGCTGAATTTGTGCAGAAAAAAAATCCCCATTAATAAAGACAAGTAGAATGGACTTTAGGAAGAAGTGTTTTCACTAATATATTTTTTAAGTAAAGCATAGTAATGGTAAAAGCATTCAAACAATAAACAGGAAAAAGCAAATCTGCCTTTTAGCTGTCTAACCCTCTGTCTCCCAGTTCTCTCAGGCAACTATCATTAGTAGCCTTTCATGTATCCTTCCATAGGCGGTCTGTGCTTATGTAAGCATGTATTTACACTGGAAGGAGTTATGTTAGAACAAAAGACTTCTGAAAAGAATCATATTAGGTGATCTGTCATGTTAAAAGAAAAAATTCACTGTTACTGCCTGCTTTGCTTACAAGCAACTAACAAAGAAATAATTTCCAACTAAAAAGAAAATACTCCATGCTTGATATTCATGGGAAAAAGTCCCTTTGTATATTACTTTATGTTTATAACAACCTAAATGGCAGCTGGAAGAAGTTATGTCTAGCTTTAAGACGTCATTCATTGAAGTAGAAGGAGAGCTGGTAAAATGGAGCAAGACGGGACAATAGGAGGTGGTCAAAATGCAGAGAATGTTGAGAAACAATGCACATGCCACGTGAATGAAAGACTTCTACTTACATTTTATCTAAATATTTATTCACATCTTCATCTTTTTCATAATCCTTGCACAGTTGAGCAACCAGAGCTCCATAGGTGAGGACAAAGAGATCTTTGTTCTGGAGAAAAATGGATGGTTTCGTGTTATAGGCAGTTACAAGTAACATACTATTCTATCTTCCAGTCAGACGCAGCCTTCCAGGTCACCTGTTCATTCTGCCACCCTCTGTTGTACCCACATTTGCATACGTCACTCGGAGGGAGAAAGAGCTGTGAAATAAAATTAATTTCTTAACAAGAGAACACCTTTCTATGTATTTGCTTGTATTATATAACTTACAACATATTTTCATGGAGGAAGTTTCTACAGAAATACTATTGCTAATACAAATTGCTGTTGTTCTAGAATAGCCTTTGGTACCTGATGCCCATGTTTGCAGTGGGAAGGAATAACTGGGTGAGACTTCTCGTGAGTCTGCGCCCTCCCTAATGGGTTCCAGATCTGCCAGGGAGAACATGAGGAAAAATCCAACTGCAGCAGCAAATTTATGATTTTTTCTTTATACTTAAAAAATAAAAACAGGAAAATTTGTACATTCCTTATAGATCTCCAAAATATGTCTCATTTTCAGAGTGAATTAAAAATTAAAACTAAAACTGAGAATAATGTAGGTTTGGTTTAGTGTGGATAGGTTGAAAATATGGGGAACAGAAAACACAAAGTGCAATCAGTCCATTTATATGTCTCTGTTTTGCATCTACAATTGAATACTATATAAGAAAGGAAAGGGGCTATTGAAGATAATTTGTTCCAATGCTCTCAGTCCTACAGAAGAGGGAGTGAGGCTTCAGGAGGAATGGGGGACTTGCCCAATCCGCCAGCAGTCGGCAGAGGCAGGATGGAGCCTGAGATTGTTCCCTTCTGGCAGCAAACATCTCCGAAGTGCACAAAAAAGGCATGTTTAAACAGAGGTGGGAGGGAGAGGGGGGTAGGGAGAATCACCACTGTTGAATATTATCTTGTTTTGTGCATAATCTGTATTTTCATGAAAGGTCAGACGTGGATTCCAGGTTAGAAGAGATGTCCTTACCTCTGGGCCCAAGTATCTTGGACAGCTAAATGTGCAGGGGTAAATAAGGCCTGCTATTATGTATTTAGTTTTGGTTTTATCATGGGCAGAAATGGCTCAACAAAACAATAAAATTTTTTATTCAACAAAGAGACTTCATTACACAAAGTGTTATATAATTTTGATCCACATTCTCCAAAACTGGCCCAATACCATTCTCATACCTATGGGCTTATATTATGACAAATTAAAAAAACTCAGATAGAATATTTATTATCACCAAGAAGTTTTAAATGGATAGCATCTAAGTATTACACAACACAAATAGACATAATTTATGTTGAAAAATATAAATCAAAATGTCATAAATGAATGTAGAATATATATTACATACATTAATTGGCATTACATTAAGAATGTGAATATATACAATTAAGATAAAAGAAAGTAATAAATACATTAATATTTCTACCAGGAAACAAAGGCTGTAAAGCAAAGCAAGAAATTTGAACAAAAGTATTGTTGAACAAATTGAAGTCATCATATATTTAATTTTGTTTTTACTTAAATTTTCCAAGAACCTAATAATAAGTCACAAGAAATGCCTATATGAACTATCTGCATAGTATATAAGGAGCCACAGCAGAAAATAAATTACTGCAATAAGCAAAAGTGAAGTGGGGGAAGAGAGAGAGAGAGAGATAACATAATTGTCATTAGCAATAAAACAAAAAAAAACCAAAAGGATTTGAAAAGGAGATAAAATGATACCCACCTACATGCTATAGCCTCAGCATTGTGCCCACTTATAATTAAGGACAAGCTGAAAAAACAGTATTTCTCTCTTTCTCTCTCTGATGAGTGAGCATCAGGTACATTTTACTTCCAGCTGAGTTTTAAATTGAGTGCCCATCGGGTCAGTTTTCTCCATTCGGTTTCATGGCCAAAGGTCGTGCCTTGAACTGCATGTCCAGTAGGGTCTCAAATCCATACAACTTATCACAAGAATGTCAATATAACTTTATCAATTTTGAAACAATCATTTTCATATATGAAAAATAGACGCTAACTACTTCTTGAGGTTTTGGATATATCAGGATAAATATCAAGTGATTTAGGTACAGTGTGAACTACATACAATATTTTTTAGCATATGAGAGCTCCACATAAAATAAATCAAGATCCCAGAATGTCAGAGGGGGCATCTGTAGGAATTTCCAACCGGGATGGACATGAGTCCATCCATAGTCCAGATTTAAGTACTCACGGCTGAAATTAATTAATTTTATGCAATGCCCAGCAGTCTCCTGAAATAATTAGCAGAGCTTCAAACTTAATGATGAACTTTCACTTACATAACTTCTGGATGTCCAAACCTATAACAAGAAAGGATATCCAAATCTGATCTACACTAATTAAGTTTTAAAAATAACGCTGAACTGGAAATATATATAAAAATAATAGCACATGTCAAATTACAATAATAATGCCTGACATTTCAGACTAAGGAATATATTTTTAAAGGCAATCTTTTCACATCAAGTTTTTGATTATCTATTCCTAGTTAATTTAACATATAATCAGCTATTCTCTATGCATTTCATTTTCTATCTCATAAACTATGAAATCTTGGACACTTTTGTAGATATAACCAGTCAGAAAATAAGACCCTGGAATATAGAATCAATTATTCTGTTACAGTATGTGGGAGATTATTGTAACTATTCCCAGAGGTGTCACTTATGATTCACTCCACTCCACACTCTCTTGTTCCACTGAAATATCTTCCTTGCCTCTCGAAATGAATCAGAACTCATTTATAAAATTCTTTCTGGAGTAGAATAAGATAGCTTTGAGAACACGACCATAAAAAGATCTTACTATTTTATGGTATTCTGGTCTTCTGTGTGCAGGACGAGACATCGTGCTTGATAGATGGAGAATGGTACCTCCGACTTCTTCCCTTCGGCCTTGCTTTCTGTTGGCCAGTTCCTCCTCGCTGTGAGACACCAGCGCTACTTATGCGCTCCCCTGATTTTACTCTGCTGAACGGAAGAGGACAATCACAAACTGAACTGTGAGGTGGCCACGTACCTTGCTATTGATCAAATAAGTACTGCTTCACTTGCGAGGCTGAGTTGTAATCTAGAGGCATAAAAACTGAGAGTGGGAAGTCAGATCAGAAGCACCATCTACTGAAAATTCTTTAACCCAAGGGAGTATGAGAGTGGTGTTTTGCTCTCATGCCAAAGCACTGTTTTAAAATCACAAACAGAAACCTTCACATTCCAAGACAGATCTAAATGTTGCCATTATTCCGCCTTTGTATTGATTGCTGTGTGAACTCAAGACAGGATCAGCAATCTGTCGGCACTAAATCCTGGGTTCAGACCTAACCGACTCTAATGGGTATCACATTATCCCCCAAATAATGGGCATCATAGACTCCATCTTATGTGATTAAAAAATTCAAATATATCTGGTAACTTCTTACCCATAACCAGTAATTTGAAGGAGTGATAACATTTGGGTGCTGATATTTTCTTATAAAGCTGTTGTTCAGAATGGGTGTTCTACACCCACCCATGAATAATGGATGATGGACGATTCTGGCAGAGAAAGCAAGCCCTTAGCTTTCTTTTGAGAGTCCTTGAGATTCTGGCTATTAAGAGCTCCCTTTATTTATGCAGAAGTCCAGATATTTAAAGTTGAAACAAGAATCCCTCTCATCTTGACAACTGCAGGGTGTGGAGGATCAAAACATTTCTAGAAATAGAAGCTTGAAACTAAGTTTAAGAAAGTAGTTTCCTGCTTCTTAGGCTTGAGTCAATTAGCTCTGTGTGTTCTGAAAATGTCTTGCTGTGAAGTGACAGACCACTGATGACTTGGAAGAAGAGCATGATGTCGTTGAAAGAGCCTGGGAGGATATGGGAGGCTCAGGCTAAGCTGCAGCTCTACCATTTACTGGCTGTGTGACTTGGGCAAGCCGTTTTATTGCTCTCTGGCTCAGTTTCCACGTCTGTGAAATGGCAATAATAATACCCACCTCACAGAATAATTGTGAATATCAAAGAGATCGTGTGTGCTATAAAGCATGTTATAATATACTACATAAATAATAATTACCATAGATTATTCTTGAAGCTGAATATATTGGATGGGATTCTACAACATATATTTGATTTCTATTAATACCTATGTTCTATGACCCCATTCTCAGGAAAATCATTTTTGCTGAGTTGTAGGTATAGGGGGGCTTCTCAGTAGTAGTTTAACAGCACCTCTTATTTATATAAATTTTATACTTTACAACCTGATTTCATTTTCTTTATCTCATTTCAATCCACCTACAGTTTGTGAAGTAGTCAGCACTATAATCATTGCCATGTCATAGGATAGGAATCTAAAAGTCAGAGAGGTTAAGACATTTTTTCAATGTTAACTAGACAATAGGCAACAAAGAGAGATTTGGGCTAAATTTGCTGACTCCCAAGTAAAGAAAACAGTGTTTTTACCACACACGCTGTATGTCACAAAAAATATTTGGGGGGTAGATTCACAAAAGCTACTGAGGCCCAGTTTGGGGCAATTCTGAGTTCTGCATGGGAAATCCCTGAAAAAAAAAAAGCATAGTAAAATCCTGTGTACTTGGTGGGAGGGAGAGATGATACAGGAATCAATTTTACCAAACTCTAAAGGTTGTGCTATGGTGACAACAGGGCCACCATGAGAACTCAGGGCATCATGGGCACATTAGAGAAAGCCAGCTCTTCCTTCAGACTGACATTGGGGGGCCCGGCAACAGTAGGCCTGCTGCACAGCCTCCCCCCAGCCCTGAAGCCAGGACTATGGGGCTTCAGGAAGGAGTCGCCACCAGGACTACTGTGCAACAGCACAGTCTGCACAACCACAGCAGTAGGTGCTGACTCTGGGGCAGTGGTTTGCTGGTTTTCAGACTGAGAAACCCAGTTGCCTTCAGCAGCTCTTATGATCATATTTAGACCTGTGTCCCCCAGCCTCATTCTTTTTATGGAAAACCACCCTCCACGTACATGGAAGAAGGTATGGAGGTTGTCTCAAACATGTAGATCAGCGATTTTCAACCTTTTGTATCTCGTGGCACACAGAAACTAATTACTAAATTTCTGAGGCATGCCAAAAAGTATATTTTTTGCCAATCTAAAAAAAAAAGGTATAATTTTGATTCATTCACACTGGATGGCTATTGTTGTGTTGGCTGTTATCATTTTTTAAAAAAATTATCATTAGGAAGGAAAAGAGGTCAGTGCCCCTGAAAATACTCAGGTATCACATGTTTTAAAATTCTTGTGGCATACTGGTTGAAAGTCAATAGTGTCTGCTCTGGCAGCAAACTAGAAAGAGGAGTCATTTTAAAATAATGCAGAGGAGAAGTTTTTCTTCTTTTATTCAGAGTTCTTTCAGTGTCCTACAATTAAATTCAGAGCTGGGGGTGGAAGTGTGAAACGTTCTTCAGTCTTGTCATACCTGCACTGCAATGTTTATCAACCCAAGTAAATAGTGAACTGTGCTGCCCTCTATACTCATACTTTGGGAGGTACCTGGGCAGCTGAGTACTGACTTGAGAAGGTGCTAAGAAAGTAGAACATCTACTAACCTGTCAGCCAGATGATCACCATCTGAGATCATCCACAAACTTTCAGACAAGGTAAAGCCACGTCCAGGTACCTACTGAGAAGCAGACATGTTATATGTCTTGGATAGGCCACAGCAAGCTATCTTTAATGTGGAGACCATTAGGCTATAAAGCGCAATAGAAAATTGTTTACTCATAGATATAATCATTCACAATCCTTCATAAGTTACACAAAGGTACTGCAAATGAAATCATTATTTCTTCCAACAATAAACAACAATAAGAAATTAAGAATTTGTAATCAAAAAACCCCTTTACATCAAGACTTTGAAACCATAACAATGACTTCTAATCAATCAATGCTCCCACCATTTCTACATAGTTCCTTGAAAGAATGGTCTACAGTTTCCTTCTCTACTTACTCACTCCCCATAGACTTTGTTAAACTGATTTTTAAATATGAAATTATTAAAATAATTATTTTATTTTAAAACTTTGCATAATGTATCATATTGCACAAACCTTACCGCTTGAATTTTTCCTTCAAAGTTATTTGCTAAGTACTCGGCCCAAACAAAGGGCACACCTCAAGTACCCAGCTTGGTGATAAGGCCCAACAGGACACTCACCACATCAGGCCACACCACCAAGACACAGAGTCATGACAGCTCTACCTAATACATAGAAACAAACTCAGAGAAGCTGCCAAAATGAGGCAGCAAAGAAATATACATGGTCTACATGAAAGAACAGATCAAAACTGCAGAAAAAGAGCTAAATGAAATGAAGATGAGCAATCTATCATATGCAGAGTTCAGAACACTGGTTATAAGGATGCTCAAGGAACTTAGTGAGGGCTTTAACAGAATCAAAAGATCCAGTCAGAAACAAAAGATACATTAACTGAAATAAAAAGCAATTCACAGGGAAACAGTAGAGTGCATGAAAAACCAAGAATCAAATCAATGATTTGGAACATAAAGGAATAGAAAACAACCAACCAGAACAATAAGAAGAAAAAATTATCCTCCTAACTTAGGACAGTATAAACAGCCACTGGGACAACTTCAAGAGGTCCAACATTCGTATCATAGGGGTGCCAGAAGGAGAAGAGAAAGAGCAAGAAATTGAAAATCTATTTGAAAAAAATAATGAAAGAATACATCCCTAATTTGGTGAAGGAAATAGACATGTAAGTCCAGGAAGTACAGAGAGTCCCAAACAAGATGGATGCAAAGAGGCCCATACCAAGACACATCATAATTAAAATGTTGAAGGTTAAAGATAAAGAGAGATTCTTAAAAGCAGCAAGAGAAAAGAAGTTAGTTACCTACAGAAGTTAGTTCCCATAAGACTGTCAGTTGATCCTCAAAAGAAACTTTGCAGGCTGGAAGCGATTAGCAAGAAATATTCAAAGTCATGAAAAGCAGGCACCTACAGCCAAGATTGCTCTACCCAGAAAAGCTAACATTTACAGTCAAAGGGCAGATAAAAAAACTTCCTAGACAAGAAAAAACTAAAGGAGTTCACCACAACCGAACCATTATTATATGAAATGTTCAAGAGACTTATTTAAGAAAAAGAACAAAACTATGAACAACAAAATGGAAAAAAATACAAATCTATCAACAATTGGATTTAAAAAACAAACGAAGTAAACAAGAATAGTAACAGAATCATGGTTACAGAGAGGATGTCAATGGTTGCCTGAGGGAGAGAAGGGGCGAACAGGTGAGGGGACTAAGAAGTACAAATAGGTAGTTGCAGAGGGGCCATGGAGATGTAAAGCACAGTATAAGAAATGGAGTAGCCTAAGAATTTATATGCATGACCATGGACCTGAACAATGGGGTGGGGGGGTGATTGCCGAAAGAAGTGAGAGGTGCTGGGTGAGGGGAGCAAAAGGGAGGCAATCTGGACAACTGTAACAGCATAATCAATCGAATATAATTTTAAAAAGTTACTTGTTAACATTTACACATATCTATAGCCAACAGTCTAGTCAATTTATTTATTTTCACAGCTCTATAGCAAACATCAGCAAACTTTTTCTGTGAAGGGTGGGATAGTCAGTATTTTAGGCTTTATGGCCAAAACTCTGTCACATCTGCTCATCTCTGTGGCTGTGGTGGGACAGCAGCTATAGATATTCAGAAGCCAGCATGGCTATGTGCCAATAAAACTAAACACTGAGATTTGAATTTCACGTAATTTTCACATGTCATTTTAAAATGTAAAACCTATGCATAGCTCAAGAGTCATGTCAAATACGCAACAAATCAGTTTGGTCCCTGAACCATAGATTGCCAACCCCTAATCTGTATGTAGCATTCTGTTACCATGGTTTTTAAATTGGTTTCCTTGTTATTAGATATTAATTCTGAAATGTCTCGTGTGATTTTGTACATGATCAATATGTCTTGGCAAATAATTTATTGGGAATTTGTAAAAATGTTTTTTGTCTATCTTTAGGGTATAGGATACTATATTTATCTTAGAACTTGTTAATATTGTTCACCATATCTTTTATATCATTTCTAATGTTCACTTGATCAATCATTTCTGATAAGACTATATTTTAAAATTCTATGATTTCAAGAATTTCAGTCTATAATTTTATCGGTGTTTATATATTTCAAAGATATGCAGTCGCAGACATACAAATTGACAAGTGTCATATCTCATGGTGGATTCTTCCCTTTTTTATGATGGAGCGTTCATAATTGCTGGACACTTGTTGCCTTTAGTTCAGTTTTGCCTCATATTAATACTATTCTCAGTAATATGTATTTCAATACCTTTATTTTCCAAGCTTTGTGTGTGGCCTGGTTTTAGGTATGTCGGTTGTAAGAAGGGAGACTGTTTTTGAATTGCTCTGCAGGTAAGTTAAGTCCAGCTCTGGCACAGTGGTCAGGAGCATGTTCCAGACCATCTGGGTCCTAATCCTGGTTTTCCTATTCATCTCTGACCCTGTGCAATTTCCCTTATCTCTGTATACTTCTGTTCTCTCATCTGTCAGAAAGCTGAGGATAATATTAGCACCTTATCATAGGGTGATTGTGGGGATCGAATAGGATGAAATTCTTAGAATAAGGCCTGACATGTAGTGAGTACCCAGTAATTGTTAGCTATTTAATTTTGTGTGTGTAAAATTGGTGTGTTTGGTCTCATTTCTACCATTATTTTGTGTGTTCTTTATACCACCTTTTTCCCTTTATTATCTCTTTTCCTATCAATATGCCTTTTTTATTTTCTCTGTTTGAGTGAGTCAACAGTGTACCAGAGTTCTCTTTTCTCTACAGTCTCTCTCTCCAACACTTGTTATTGATTTGTTTATGATGGCCATTCTCACCAGTGTGAAGCAGTAGCTCATTGTGGTTTTAATTTGCATCTTTCAGATGGCTAGTGATGTTGAGCATCTTTTCATATGTCTCAGGGCCCTCTGGATAGCCTCCTTAGATAAATGTCTATTCAGGTGCTTTGCCCATTTTTATTTGGATTATTTGTCTTCCTGGAGTGGAGTCCTTTCATTTGCTTTTAACATATTTTAATTATTTGTCTTTTTGTATTGCTTTTTGGGTAAATTCTTCAGCATTATGTTTCAATTCACTAATTATGTATTTAACCATGTCCAGTTGAGTGTTTTTTTTGAAAACAGAAATCTATATCTTACTTACTTTTTATAAGCCCAGCCAGGCCTAGTCCAGTGGCTTTTACATAGAAGGTATCCAAAAAATATTTGGTGATTAAGAAAACATAGAAAACACCTTACAAATTATTTTTTCTTTATGGATATATAACTTTATTAATACATAAATATCATATTTTCATAGAAAAGATGTCACATTAAAAATTTGCATTAAGTAGCGCATTATTATATTATAGTCTGTCAATACAAATAGATTTTTATACAATGTTGGAATGCTTTTTTGTGATTCAGTTTTAAGGGTACCCAAGCCTTGATCCTCTCTTTTTGGGAAAGCATTTGGGAACTTCTGGCAGAACTCTCGGGTTATGGACTCTCCAGAGAGCTCTAAATATTTGATCAGTTTCTTTTTTGATAATTTTCATTATTCTTTATGTCGTAATTTTACGGTAAGAAAATCCTGGACTAGTCCAAAGGTAAGAATGTCTCTTGTTTTGCTCCCAGTGCTGTTTGCTGGGGCTGAGCATTCTGTGTCCCACAAAGCCGCACCTGGAATGCTGTCAGTAGTCTGCTCTGCGTGCAAGCCATGCTCTCTTCAGCGGAAAGACACACTGAAGAAGTTTTCCCCGTCCCTCACACCAGATGAACCCCTCTCTTCATTTCTTGCAGCTATTAATGTAATCTGAAGTGCATTTATTAGGTCAGGACTCCCAGGGTGCACAAGGAAAGATGCTAGAATCCTTTCAACATGTAAGGATGTTGGGTTGACTGACACAACCAGTTGAACCAGTAAGCTCCCATAAAATGGTTATGGCTGGAGGAGTCTAATGATCAGAAAGGGATACCAGCTGATTTGTGGAAGAGCTTCCCAACAATGGGTGCAGCCCTCCACCGTATCGTATCTTCTCTGCAGAGAAGTGGGACACTGATCAACTCTTTAATCGCTGCTTTGACTATTGGTGGGCAACAGCTATTTTCCTCTTTCACATTCAGATGTCCCTGTCAGGTTGGGAAAAATTTCTATTATGGTTCTGCTTTCCTCGTCATCCCTGCCTTGATCCTTCTGGTTGCTGGCTATGCTCTGAGAAGCCAAATGTGGGCAATTTCCAACGAATACTGCTGCAGATGTGCCCCTCCACACCGGAGAATCAGCCGCCTGGAGCGCAAGCTGGTTTGCCTTAGGTTCTGCAGCATCACCGGGAGGGCACTCATCGCTCCACTGACGTGGCTGGTGACGACCCTGATGACAGGCACGTACTACGAATGTGCGGCAAGTGAATTTGTATCAGTGGACCATTACCCAGTGTTTGACAACATCAATGCCAGCAAACGGGAAGAGATCTTAGCTGGGTTTCCATGTTGCAAATCAGCTCCATCTGACATGAACCTGGTAAGAGATGAGGTAGCTCTTCTGCACAGATACCAGTCACAGGTAAGTGTTTGATTTCTTTTTCTGTTACCTTTTCCCATATTAACTACAGTCTACACTCCCTGGAATCATTTCACACTCCTGCTCCTTCTCATATTATCTGACTATAGAACACAGAACACTTTGACAAGTGGCACAAACTAGATGCCATTTGTCAAAGTAATTTCTACTGAGCAGCTATATAAATACAGTTAGGATACTGGGCTTTGGAATCACACCCTGGGATTTAAGTTTCTCTGCTGTTTATTAACCTGCAAAGCCTTAAGCAACTTATGTAACTAACCCATGCAGCACTTTTCTCAGCTGTAAAATGGGGATGTTAATGAGATCTACCACATAGGGCCAGCATGAGGAATAAATGAGCTAATATATATAAAGTACTCAGCACTGTGTCCAGAATGTATATACACAAAAACAATGAATTTTAGATATTGTTATTAAACTTAATATTACCATATTAGTAAATTTCACCTAGCCACATACATATTCTTAAAATGAATTTTTATAAATTAAAATACCTAAAATCACAGTAAGTTTAAACATAATTAAAAATAAAACTCCAGTGGTGGTTTTGAATTCCATGTCCTTGGACAGGTCTGTGTGAGGAGTGGGACAAGGGAGGCCGGGGGAGTCCAATACAGAGTCAGTGGCTTTCCTCACTTTCTCCAGAAGACGTAGGGAGAAAAAAAAACAACAAATTTTCAAATCACTGCCACAAAGTAAAAACATTATTTTTAAATGACTTATTGTAAAGACATTTTTGACCCATTACTCTTCAGTTATTAAAATTTAGAAGTGCTAACAATATTTACCTAAAAAAATACTGTCAGCTCACAGAATACCAGCACTGCCTATGGCCCAGTTTAAGCAAAATGAGAATTCCCACTAAGGTGGACTTTGTCTCAACCTTTTTATACCAGCCCTAAAACTCAGGCAGAGGAGCTCTGTGAATATAAGCAAAACGTCAAGGAATCAATGGGGAAATTTTAACTTTAAAAATATCCTTGCTTAAGAAAAACTAAGAGGTAATATGCAATGATAACATTTTCTTAAGGTTAAAATATCTTATTTAATGATATATAGATTCCATGAAAGGATGTTTTTGCAGTTCTGAGTGCTCTTGGCAAGTGGATTTTTTGTTTTGGTGACAACAAAACTAATATTTATTTAGTTGCTAATCATATAGTATACATTTTATATATTAATTCCAGTCCTCAAAATCTTATGAGACAGATACAAGCAATCCTATTTTAGAGATAAGGAAACCGAAGCTCAAAGAGTTTATGTAACTTTCATAAGTTCACAGAGCTAACAAATGGCTGCTTGGACACATCATGCTGTTCCATCTCATCAGGGCCTTCTCTGGCTACCTTAAACATCAGTCTCACTTGACAAATACACACTGTCTTCAGTAGAACTCCTCTGGGTTGACCACAAGATCAAATTCAAATTCCTTCTCCACCCATACCTCACTCAAATATCTTCCTGATCTTTGTTTCACTTCATTTCAATCTGCTTTCTACCCCGAGGTTAAAATAATTTTTCTAAATGCAAATTGTGATGAGCCTGCCCTCGCACACTCCACATAATGTCCTTCAATGATTTCCTACCAACCCAAGTACAAATCCAAATTCTTGGCATAACATACTAGACCTTCAATATCTGGCCCCTGACTACTTTTCCACATGACTCCTAGGACCCTGTGAATCCAAATTTCTTGAGGTTTTCTGAACTCTTTATGTTCTTAGTTTTCTGTCTCTTTGGCCCTCTCCTCAACTTCTTGCATCCTGTTGAACTCCTCTTTAATAATTTTAGTGTGAGCATCATCTCCTCTGAGAAGTACTCCCTAATACTCTTCTCCTTTAAACAAGTTCATTTCTTTCACTGTGCCCCCTCAGGCCTGTAGTTACACGTATCAAAAATGACGATATTTTACCATATTTCTTGGCTTGCTCTATTGTTTCTCTCTTAAGGCTTAAATATCATTGAAAGAATGCATGTATCTTGAATTATGTACATCTGAGTCTCCATAACCAATCACCATGCACAGCACATGGTAGCCATCAACCTGGGGCTCAATAAATGATAATGATGAATTTATGGGCATCTAAGATAACCTTTCCTCCACCTTGCCAGCCTCCATTTAGTTTAATTGTGATGTGTATCACCTTGTAGGATTTAGCCTCCACTGAGTGCAGCTATGCCCCTGTGGAGGGCAATTCCAGGCCTGTCGGTGAGTCACAAACTGTGGGAGAGACCTCCACCTCCCAGACTGCAGCTGCCTACTGCTGGCTTCCCTGAATGTGTGAAAGTTGTGTCTCTCACTTTATATAACAACCACTAAATAGTGGGGAAAAAAGAAGAAGAGTTAAAAGAAAATAAAAGCACTGGAAGAGTAGAAAACATCCATTCACATCAGACTTTAATGGGGGAGACTAAACAGTGCAAATAAAATCTAGTTCATTTTCGTTTCCAGGTACATTTCAAAAAAGTCGTAAAACTGGTCAGCAAATGACTATTTGAAGGGGGAAGGAAATCGGGAGGAAAACAATAAGGTGTTGTATATTTAGAGACATAAGAGTCTGCTAACTTCCTTCTTTGGTTATAAAAATAAAAGGAAAGAGCAACTGAGGAAGAAATATTAATGAGTACTTGTTGGCACATCATTGAAGGTACTTAGGAGGCTACCATTATTATCTATTATATCATTTTCATCACCATCATTATCAAATACTTAGTAAGCCCTCAGACAATGCATCAGCCTGTATCTGATGGTTGAAAAGTAAGATTGGGCTAAAAGCAAAGCACATACTTTGTGTTCCTTTATGCGAGGGTAATTTGTGGGCTATAGCATCTGCTACTTCAAGGACAATACTTAGAATCCATTAGAAGTTAACTGAGCAAAATCCCTTGTAATCCCAAAATGAAGTTGAAATGGTTGGGCCTATACCTCCATCACACCCGTATCCATATCAAATGGTCAGCACCTTGTTAATGTGTTAAAAACTAGAAAAACATGTATCTTGTCCACAGTTTAGTTCTCAATTTGGAAGAATTAGAATCCTTCTGACCATGGCTGTTTCTTGAATAATCGATGCACTGATGTTTTCTGTTTTCCTTTTAAATAATTACATTAAGATGCTGGGCTGGATTCTGATCGCCTTGGCAAGCATCGCTGCCCTGGTCTCCTGCTGCGCGGTCAGGTGCTGCTCGCCCCTCACCTCTCTGCAGCACTGCTACTGGACCAACCACCTGCACCACGAGAGGGAGCTCTTTGAACAAGCTGCAGAGCAGCACTCACGCCTCCTCATCCAGCAGCGCCTAAAGAAACTATTTGGCTTTGTTCCTGGATGTGAAGATGTCAAGCACGTACGTATTCCTTCGTGTCAGGACTGGAAAGATATGTCAGCACCCATTCTTCGCTGCTTGGGTGATGACTTGCAAGGTCGCTATAGCTTCCTTGGGGACCAGGAACATGAAGATGAGGTTAATGAAGAAGGCAAATCAAGAGGTATTGAATTAAAACCTTGATTATAGCACCTTTTGCCAGTCAGGTTGCTTGACACCTACTCTGTTCCAATAATGAAGTTTCAATGTAATTTCTTCATCTTTTTCTCTGTCTTCTAATATTTGTTGACATAAGTCCATTCAAAACGCTATATCCAAAATCAGTTTGTCTGACACTTGTGCCAATCTCCCTTTTTGAAATTTCACTGATGGTCTGGTAATGCCTATATTGGTCTTACTAAAATAATACGGAATTGGGAGTCCTACCAACATTTAAATCTTGGTTCTGTTACTTAATAGTCGTGCTAAAATTAATATTTTGAGTATTATTTTGTTGTCTGCACATAGTAGCTACTTCACAGAGCTGCTGTGAGGATTAAATGTGGCCGTAGAAACAAACTGCTCAACACGGTGCCTTCCATAAAATAAGCGCTGAGACTTGCCCTTTCCTTCCTCTTTGCACTCTGCCTTGTATCACTAGTTACCCTGTCTCTAATTTCTGATTATCTTTTTTTTTCCTATCTCTGTATTCAGAAACTTTTCACTACTTCTTCCTCCACGCTTACCTCTCTGACCTGCTGGAAACCAGGATAAAAAGTCCTTTCAAAGCTGGTGAGATGTAGGGGAGAAGCCCATTGAAGGTCTTGAGTCATGCTGCTATAACCAGGGAAAGATGATGCATTAGTGTATCATCATTAGTGTCATAAATGTTATTTGTAGCAACTCCATAGTGGGAGCATTTTTATAGCAATGACACATAAAGCTTCCCCTCTGGGCTCCAGTACAGAGACACCATCTGTGCTTTTTCACGATCAAATTGCAGCTTGCACTTAAGGTCTACTTGGGGAGGCAAGGCTGTAAACTACGTTTGTATATCCATTATCTAGAACTCCAGAAAAGGAGACCTGCCTGACTTTTTTTCTGCATGACTTTGCACTTCTGAGATTTGACAGCTTTCTAGTTTATACTGATTATTTCTGATATATGTAGTGTATGTGCCTGATTTTTGCCACATTAAAGTACTGGTTCATTGGCCAAAATAAGGAAAATGAGAACTTTAATTATTTTTTTAAACCAAAACAATGACTGCTTACTAAGCAATGGACCAACTGCCAATATAGTCAAGCTGACTTTCAAGATTCACTTTCAGGAACACCTGGCAACTGAACTATCTGAAAATCAATTACTCGGTAATCTAATTTTACATAATCATGAAAATGAAAGTCTATTTTGTGTGAAATTATAGGTCCCTCAAACTTAATAGAAGCAAATAGAAAGTAAGTTTTAAGGGAACCAATTTTTGTTTTAACCAACGAGAGATGCATAGTGTAGCAAATTGCCAGGACCGGAGACCTGTCCCTCCTCCCATCTCTTACTGGGCAGCTCAGTCTTTCTGACGCTCAGTTTCTTCCTCTATGAAAGAGGGATAATGAGACCTTACCTGCCGGAAGGCAGAGAAATGAACAAATTCTTGAGGTCCCTTCTAAATCTAATAGGATTTTTATGTTTATGTTTACATATATACATGTATACAGGTCAGTGTGTGTACAATCTTCTGGAACTGTACTAGGCCCAGGTTGTTCCTACTGGAAGAAAAACATCCTTGATTTCATTCTGAGTTTTCTCTAAAGACATTTGCTGGCATTCCACTTTTGATAGAATGTTAACATACTGGTCTTTTACAAGTGGCCAAGGAAAGTCATTCCACTTTGCACCTAACTCTGTGTACAGTATTTATGTGACATTACCAAAGGGATCTTTAAAAAATAGAAGTACATGTGGAAGGCAAATTGGGTCCTTGTTTGGCTTGGGTATAAATGAGCCATGTAAATAGAGACGATCACATCCACTTTGTTCACTATGCTCTCCTCCAACTCTGAAATTCTATGGCTCCATTTACCTGAAACATTTTGAAATTCCTCTATATTGAGACACACTACTTAAAGCAACACTTTATATCATATTCAGAATCATTTTAATAGTTTTCAAGGATTGTACCAAAGTAAGTACTCTTCAGTAAGATTTTCAGTTTACAGCAAAATCAAATTCAAGTATTACATCATCAGAAAGAAGATAGGAGTTGTTTATATACTAACACCAGGAAACTTTCTTTCCACTAGTTCCTGGGACCCCTTTCTATAGGAAATTCTTTCAGAGTATGAAATATACAACTTACATTTTGAACCATTTAATCATGATCTTCTACTATAGCTTTGTAGCAAAAATTTGTTAAGTATTCTTTGACTTTTCCACGTGGTTTCACAGGTTTTTATACCATCAGTGAATATCAAATGGTACACATTCTTGAGATGTAATTGTATGTATCCCTTTTAAATAAGTTCCCTAATGGGCTCATAGACACGAGATCAGAGTTAATAGTTACCAAAAGGAGTGGGGGTGGGGTGGGAGTGTTGAAGAGCTGGGTGAAAAAGGGATCAAGTAGTACAAATTTGTGGTCACAAAATAGTCACGGGGATGTAGGGTTCAGCATAGGGAATATAGTCAATAATATTTTAATAACTATGTGTCGTAGCAGGTGGGAACTGGAAAGATCAGGTGGACTTTGTGAAGTATGTGGTTGTCTAGCCACTATGCTGTACACCCAGAACATAAAATAATATTGAATGTAAATTGTAATTGAGAAAAAAATAAACTCACAGACTTTCTTGTCCAGAGTATTCTTTGTTTGACATCCAGTTAGACAAAATTTTTTTATTAGTAATATTGTACTTTTTCCTCTTCATGTTTAATGGATTTATGTAACTTTAAAACATAATTAAATCAATTAAGCACTAATACTTTCTTATACGTTGTTACCAAACCTTTGACTACTACATCAAATGCCGTGGCCTGGTATCGCACAGACTTGCTCATTTTTCACTACAACTTTCTCAGTTCCCCTGCCCCCCACCACAATTTAAGTTACTTCCTTTCCAGGAGACAGATACAACTCCACTGTTTAGATGTGTTTTACTTGACTTTTTTTGGTTTTGTTTGTTTGTTTTGGTTTGTTTTTTTGTATTGCAGAATTATATTTATACTTATCTTCTTTTTCTTTCTCTGTGCTTGATTGCCAATTCCATTTAAAAAATTTTAAAGCACTACTGTAATAAGGAACAGCAATATGACTTTACAAATGTTTTCTTGCATTCTGTTTGTAGCACAGAGGGAAATCACATTTACCTTAAAACTTTGAAATGTCATGGCCAACCAAAAGCCTTCCAACTGCAAGACTAAAAAGCTACTAGTTACCTCAAAATGTAAAGTATAAAGATATAATTTTAGCTTCTAAGTAAGTCTACCGAAATTTGGCATTGGTCAAAAAAAGCAGACTGTCCTCAGAACAGCTACACAACTGGCTCCTTGCTCTATGGGACGCAAACCTATAACCGTGATCCATGGACTAACGAACAGTGAATGTTTTATTTCCAGGGACAAATCACGTTAGTCTTGACGTGAATTATTTTTCTGTACTAACCACCGAGTACAGTGAAAGTTCTCTAATCTCGGTTTACCAGAACTCCGGTAAGAAATGGGTTTCACGTAGTGTGTCCTCTGCTGTTTCCCAAAGGTCCAGGCAGGTGGCCACATCCACCTGTAGCAGTGATGGCAGTAGTGGTAAAAATAATATGGTGTTTATTATTACATGCCAGTTACTGGAATCAAATTACCCCATTTACTACTTCTAACAAACTGGTATGCAGATTCACATATTATAAAATGAATTTCCTGAAATACCATTAGATAATGATAGAGAATGTGAAGGAACTTTGTGTAAAGTCTTAGACAAATGAAATGCTTTCCTATTGAGATGTTTCATTACATAACTGGTAAATCATGGAATCCAGGCCTACCTGACCCCAATAAAATAAGTTCCCCCATTTCACTGAGGAGGTCACTGACGTATGGAGAAGCCCATCAGCTTGCCAAAGGTCACATACCTACAGGTGATGGAGCCAGAAGCCAATCCCTGTCGTGTGATGTCTGACCCTGTACTCCACTGCAATACAGTGCCAGGAGGCAGACTATAAAAGTTCCAGGGCCTTGGAGGCATTAGGAAAATTCTCCTCCTACTCCTGTCAATGAATAACTAAAACATCCTGAGTTCCAACAATAAGATGCCGTGTCACATCTGAATCCCTCTTTTTCTACTTCCACTGTTCCTGCACATATAAGGGCTTCCCTTCAAGGTACTGTGGTTCTTAGCAAAGTGACTTTTCCATGCTCACCGAGGCACAACTTTGGATCTGGGCTACATAACAGCCAGTGGCACTGATTCTTGTAGCTACAGACAGGTGTGACCAGGAAGCTTCGGTCTTCTCTTCCTTATTCAGGGAGTGGCAGAACACCACAATAATCCATCCATTTGTTTTCAGTAGGTCATAGTTATGAAGGGTCAAAGTGAATATTAGGAAATCACACTGTCATCAGCCATATGGTCATACACAAATCTCTGGGACTTTAATTACTCCTTAGAAGAGATAGGGCAGGGCAACTGAGTTGTGGGACTGGGTGTACGGAGTCACAGACTCCTTTGAAGAGCCACTCTGGAGAAAGCTCTTCTGAGGAAATACCCAGAAAACCCCCACACACACACAGAGATACAGGCCCACGTACCTCAGAGTTTGCATACTGTGGTGTACTAAATACCGGCTTTCCCGAAGATATTCATGTTTCAGTCCCCTGAACTTGTGAACATCACCTTTTATTTTATATGGCAAAAGAGGCATTGCAGACACGAAGTTAAGGTTCTTGAGATAGGGATATTCCTCTGGATTATCCTAGTGGGCCCAATATAATTACAAGAGTCCTATATGAGCGTTGAGGGAGAAATCAGTGTCAGAGAGAAGGCAAAGGAGCAACAGAAGAGGAGTGTCAAGGACTGTGAGTGATGCCTGGGAAATTAGCCATCCCTGGCTGTGAAGATGGAGGGGGTCACGGGCCAAACCAAGGAAATAGATTCTCCTCTGCAGCCTCTACAAGAAACACCCAGTAAGAAAGGGGGTGGAAGGCAGGAGGGAAGGAGGGAGAGAGAGACAGAGAGAGAATGAATGGGAATAAACATAAATAATTCTAGTGCCATTGTAAGTGCCAAAGGAAAATAAAGGGCTGCGTATGAGTGAGAAAAGGTGGTTGTAATTTTAAGTAGAATATCGGAGTAGCCTCAACAGTTACATTTGAGGAAAGACTTGAAAGAGGGGAAAGGAAGCAATGCTGGTATGAGAGGAAGAGCACTGCAGGCAGAGGGAACAGAAAGTGCAAAGTCCTTAGGAGAACTGTTTTGTGTGTCTGGGCAACAGCAAGGAGGCTGATGTGCTGGAGCAGAGAATAGGTGGCAGGGCAATAGGAGGTAAGGTCACAGAGATAACAAGAGCTGGGCGAGGGTCAGGGAGCCAGATGCAATGAACCTATATTGTAAAGTAGTGATTTTAATATGAGATGGGCGGAGCGGTTATGAGAAAGGATCAATGTGACCTGACTTACATTGCATCCATTTTGATAGGTCCTTATTATCAGTTAGAAAAATTTAAAAAAATGCTTATTTTAAAAATATATTTAAAGATGTTACCAACTTACTTGCCAAATTCATTCTATTATCCTCATCTGTCACTTTGGCCCCAAACCATCTTTGCCACCTCTCTTACAACCCACATGGAACCCTGACATAGCTCTATCTTCCAAGAATATCCAGTATTTGGTCAGTATCTCACCACCTTGGCTCATAAAGCTCTAGTCCAAGTCATCATTGTCTTTTGCTTGGATTATTACCATAGACTCCTAATTGGTCTCCATACTTTCAGGCTTTGTCCCCATTACACATACTTACACTTAGTGGCTAAAGTAATATAGGCAGACTGTCGTTCTTTCAGCTAAACCCTCCAATGACCCCATGCAACCAGCAACCAGTTCACTGTGCACCAGCCATACCAGCTTCCAAAGTATTGAGTGGCCTCGCAGTTTAGGAATTTTGCATTGTTCCCTCTGCCCAGAAGCCCTTTACCCAGTAACAAATCTGATCTGAGGAAATCCAGATAAATAAGCCTCTTGTATTTGCAAGTAAGTTACTTCATGTATTTTATTTGATTCTATCTTCAGAATCTCTGCTTTTCTTCCTGAAAGTTTAAAAGAATGTCCCAATCAACCCATAATACTTTAAGGCATAGAAATGTACCTGAGTATGTCTTAACATATTCCTGTTATAAGTGAGCAATACTTATACAGGATCAAGATGCTTTCTGGTCCATGGGACATTATCATTTTAGACTGATGACAGAAACACTTCAGAGCATCACTAGGGACCTTCTTATTAAAATTGTTTCCCCCTATACACAGGTGAAACCAGCTTTAACACAGAAAACAAAACAAAGGAAAATATTGTAAGTGTAAAAAAATCTCCTAATGTTGGGAGTATTTTGTTACATTTCCCATTTATTTTTACTTAACCATGTTAAGTCGAACACATTATACACATAAACAATTCTTTAATAACTTCCTCATAAAAGAAACATTTAGCCATTTGCTTAGATTTCGCCATTATAATTCGAAAATTTTCTTTGTAACTGATGAGATGAACTTGGAGATGACAGATATTTTAAATACAGATCTCAGTTTCATTCTCCCAAGTCAAAGGTTCTGAACATTTTCAGAGTCCTGATACTTTTACCTTGCTTATCGAAACTTACTGAAACCTACACAACCCCTTCATCAATTCATAAAAATACGCACAGATATCTTTAAATCCGCGTCCAGCTGCATTCGTTTTACAGAAGCCTAGGGACCCGAACGTAGAACCCAGATTTCCAGACTCGCAGTCGATTTCTCCCCCGAGTCCCTTGGAAAGTGGCTAGTCGGGAGTTGGACCGAGCCTTCCGGACCCTCGGGACCCACCTGCAGAGCTTCTGCCACTCTGCTTATGGGGCTGTACACAGCTCTCGGCCTCCTGCCCAACTCCCGCGGGACACCAAGGACCTCACAGGTTGGAGAACCGTGGAAATCACCCAGGCCCCACCATCAGCCCACCCTACTAGGAGCTCCGGCCCCCTACACCAGGCCAGAGGGTCCCCATCCGGAAACCGGAAACGACTGATTTCGCACACGCTCCCCAAGCCCCCTCTGGCCACCACAACCCCAAGCCGCCTTTCAGCCCTGACGTATCGAGCGCGGATGCCGCGCTGCAAAGCCCAGAGACCGGTCCTAGGTGTCTGAGACAAATGCCAGACCGAGACTGTTCACCATCTCTGCAAATCTTGAGTGGGCGTGGGACAGGCGGCTACTCAGTGCCTCGCCGGCCAGGCCCAACAGTCGAACGCGGAACCAAGGAGCTGGCGGAGGCCGGCGCGGGGCTGTTGCGCTGCAGGCCCGGCCGGGCTCTGGGCCGCTGGCCTCCGAGCCGGGGACTCTGCGCCTGCGCCCGCCAGGCTGCGGTCCGCTCCTCTGGTGCGGCAGTGGTCCCGGCTGCCACGCGCCGCCTGGGTGTTTGGGCGATCCATGGGCAGCAGCCAGGGCCACGATGACAGATTACAGCGAGGAGCAGCGCAACGAGCTGGAGGCTCTGGAGTCTATCTACCCCGACTCCTTCACAGGTGACTTCCGCTGGCAGCCCTGCAGCCGTCCAGGGATGGAGTGGGATGGGCCAGAGCTGCCGTTGCCCTGGGCCTCCCGGGCCTCGATGGAGAAGGGGACAGTGAGGTCGCGTGGCCACCCGGCCCGCCACTCTCTCCTCAGGTTCTCTCCCCAAGTGTCGAAGCATTTGTGAACAACTCCACGGCTGTTGTTCCACCTCTTCCCTGAAATCTAAAAGTCTGAGCGAGGCGGCGAGGTCCCTGGAGAGTGTCAGGCCTGGAATTGAGTCGGGGGCACTTTGGTTTCTGTGTAATTTACAGCAACTGGAGGTTGAGTGAAATAACACGAGAACATATTCCGCGTGGGAGTAACCTTTCCAGAGCCTCAAAGGTGTCAGTTTCCACCTTTATTCGAGTAGAAACTGTTTTTCCTAGGATGGTGACTTTTAAAGTTTATGGGATTCAGAGTGGTGTTTACCCAGAATCAGAGAGTAGCATCATCCCTGAAGTTTGTCGTTTTTCTCTTTAATTTATTTTTTATTTCCTGGCATTCTGCAGAATGCCCAGTGAATGATGTGGCCCAGAGTTCAGTTCCGCTGTAGATTCACAGGTTGTCAGGCAGGAAGGTATATTAGATGTCATCCAGCCTGGACTCCTCTTGTTGCAGGCAAGGTCATGAAGGCTCAGGAAAGAGGTGGCTTGCTTGGGGTCAGCCAGCAAGTTAGCGGCAGGACTGGTACTAAGAGTTTGACAGGTCTGAAACAATTTTCCTGTTCTTTCACCTTCAGCCATGTGGGACGTGGGATCTAGCTCTAGCTCGCGTGAGGTGGAGATTACTTGGCAGGTTCAGCTAATGTAAAATATTGAGAAGTTCATTACGTAAAGGAAGATAACTCTTCTGTATTAAGCAGTGCTTCAGATGATTCTAAAATGCCGCAAAATAGCCGTGTCCATGGGGCCACTCCCACATTACACTTAGTTTTTGAGGAGTGATCAAATACAACCAATAAGAGGGAGTAGAACCTAGGTTTTTGGGATTTCTGTACCCCATACCATTCTTTGAGTGTCGTCTGTCACTGTGAGGATTCAGAGTGTAAGGTGTGTTATTTTAACTTATAAACTCCAATCCCTCTCCCTTTCATTGTTTAGCGTAGTTTTCTTAGCTCCATCTTTGACCACTGCTTGGAATGGTAGCACATTTTATTCTGCTTTGCCAACAGGCAGCTGTCTCTCAGCTACCCCTGTATAGCTGCAGTCCTGTTCATGTTCTCTTTAACCGGTAGTACAGTTGTGCTGTGAGGATGTTAAGGGGATGAGTGAAGAGGGGTTTGAGAGTGTCGTTAACTGGGTGAGTGTGTATGGAGTCTGGCTCCCTTCTCTATCCTTGCTTATATGTCAATGTCTAAATAAAATAGAATATAGGGTTAATTGTTGGATATATTTTTAATTGTGAGATACAGGTATTCCTAGTCCGTTGGAAATATCACAGGCATGAACAGTGCGTAGGCAGAGTTAAGAAAGCATAAGATGTGCTATTCTTTTCATTTCTTTGCACATGAAGTATCCCTCATTAAACACTGCCCATGTAATAAGCATTTATAAAAGTTACATGTTTTTAACCCTCCAACAGTCTGGTGGTTCTTTTGTACGAGGTCCTGATATAATTCAGTGTATGCAATTCTTGTCAGAGGCAAAAGTGCTTGAGGATTCTTGAGTCAGGGTAATAAAAGATGATTTGTGGAGTTTTGACACATGCAAGTATTCTGCAGTATCAGCTGAGCTGCTTAGTTTCTGGTTCCTGTCAGCATTCCTACAGGCTTTGCAATAAATAAATTAAATTGAGATGTCTTGATTTACAGTTCATCAAGAACTCGGCCTGCCTTGTTAATCATGTTCTTTATGAAACCTCTTGGGAAAGGCAGAGGACTTTGAAATAAAATGTTTCTGTGTTTAATCTTTTGAAATGTTCAGGATTTACAAGGTTTACTATTTTATAGCCTTCTTTTGTATTGATGATTTTATATTTCCATGTTTTCTACCACATTTAAGAAAGAGATTGCTTGTGTCAGTTTTCCAAGGAACATGAATTTGTAGTTTTCTAACTGCATTTTGAATCACAAATAGTAGTTTTTTAATATTAGATTGGTAAATGCTCAGTGCTGTTGATGAAGGAAGTAGATATGCTTTTTTTTAAATAGATGGCTGAGTGCTTGACAGTGAAGCTGTGAATGCTGAAGAGGCACAATTTGGCCAGCCCGGAGCCCTAGCCACATAGACCTAGCTTACTTCAAAATTGTTTGCTTAACTATTTGCAAACAGCTTTTAGTCCGGTGTTGCATTTGTTGTAAATTATAACAAATCATAATACATTTTCGTCTTTTTGCTTATTCTGTAGCTCGACTGCATATTGATCTAATCCTTCTAAGAACTAGTTTTCCAAAGTACAAACAGACTCTGCTGATAGCGCATTCTCCTTCAGTAGTGCTCCTAAGGTAGTAGCCATTTCTGGATCCAAGTCTCTGGCTACAGGGAATTTTGTTGGAACAAATTGGTTGGCTTTGCCCTAACCAAAAGTCAAGTTCCCTTAATTCTCTTTGGTAAAGAGGGGTGCATAATCTTGTTTTTGCTGTGTCAGCACCTCTAAGTAGCAGCCATGAGCTTTAAACATTTATAATTGCATCTTACACATGGGCAGAAGTCATCTTATGAAAGCAGTTTTTCTAAGACAGACACTGCCTAAGAAGTAAGTGGACTATTTTATGGGCTGTCTGGTTCTTTGTGAACATCTTAGTGTCATTTGTGTGTCCCTTTAGTGTATATTTTATCTCCATCCTTGACAAAATCCTTAATTCCACCCATCTGCCCTCTTCACCTAACACTTCTACCCCTCCACTGGCTCATTCCACTGTGCCCAGCAACCTTCTGCTTTTTCTCGGAAGCATTTGATCCACTTACAATGGTGGGGGACTGGCATCTTTAGGAAAGCTAATCTTTCCTCTACTTACCCCAACAGTAATGCATTGGAACTGGGATTATCCCTTCATCATTCGTCCTTGCAAGTCTAGTTAGGTACCATTCCCATCCCTAGTTTAGTCACCTCCAAGCTTGGGAATATTATCCTTTTCTATGGTTTTTAAATACCTGCTTTAAAATTAAGTTCACCTGTGACAGAAAGACTCAAATAACAATGCTTTTGAAAAAATAAAAGTTTATTGCTCTTGCACATAAAGGATAATTGTGTAGCTCTTGTACAAAAATTCCTCAGGGACCCAGACATCTCAGTTCTCTGTCACCCCCAAGATTTAGTCTCAGTCTCATGGTCAAGATGGCAGCGCTCCTTTTTCAGACAGTGGAATGGTTAACGGGGAAAAAAAGTAAACGACAGCAGTTCTCAAGGAAATTTCCTGGAAATTGTCAAAGGACTTAACTTGTTTCCAACCCATTAGGTGTAACTTATTTACCTGGTGAGATATAATTTGAAGTGGGGCTGGGAAATGTAGTTTTACTCTGGGTGGTCAGTGCACGCAGTTAAAAATGGTGTCACTGGAATAAAGAAGAGTGGATTTGGGGAGGTATTAGCAGTGTTTTCCAGCATCCTTTTTCTGTTGTTCCTGGTTCACAGTTTTTTCTCTGTAATAGCTGCTTGGTGTAGGTGATATTATTATCCCAGCACCCTTACGCAAATCGTAAGACTTCTCCAATCCTCAGTTTCCATGTCTGTTTAATGAAGAATGATGTAAATACTTGATAACTTGTTATGTGTAAGATACTCTTTCACAGAGATTTACTACATTAGTTTCTGATTCTTCTAACATTGCTTAATATTTCCTTGTCTTTATCAACGAACAGTCTTGATTTTGTTTTCTTCAACTGATGGCTGCGTAGCCACACCTTGGAGATGCCGTCTTCAAAATTTTGGCCTCCGAAATTCCTCTTTGTATCCATTAATTTTGGAGCCCTACAGTGCTTTTCCAGAACATGCCTTTCATCATGATTTCTTATGAATTAATGGCTTATCAACCTCTTTCTTGTTCATCTTGCCTCCTTATTCTGTCTGGCTCCCAAGGTCAGGCAGTGAAAGGTGTTCTTGCTACCGTCCCCATGTTCTTATTTACTTTAAATACTTACCAAATGCGATTGTTAGAAGCCCAGGTCTATTGGGAAAAGACATGAGATAAGTCATTTACAGCAGTGTCGTGACTCTTCCATGGAGGTATGTATTGGGTGAAGCTGGAGCATAGGGAGAGGTAAGGGTCTGAGTTGTTTTGGAAAACTGAAGGATGATGAGCAGTTAACAAATGAATGAGATGTGGGGAAGGAGCACGGCATGTGCAAAATGCAAGACTGTGAGGGAGCAAAATGTGACCAATGGGCAAATGGCTTAGTGTTGCTGGAGTATAAAGTGAGAAGTGAGACTTATGGAAAATGAGACCTGACAAGTAAGCAGGGTCCAGATCACAACGGGCCTTGTTAGGAATTTAGACTGATCTTACAGACCAAGGGTGCTTTGCCCATTTTGTCCCTGCTGAGCTGCGCAGGCACTGTACTGGGGGTGCCCAACCTTTTGGTGTCTCTGGACCACACTGGAAGAAGTGTTGTCTTGGGCCACACATTAAGTACACGAACACTAACAAAAACTGATGAGCACAAAAAAAAGCTTTTAAGTGAATTTACAATTTTGTGTTGGGCTGCATTCATAACCATCCTGGGCCCCATGTGGCCCGTGGACCGAGGGTTGGAAGCCCTTGCTTGTAAACACTGCCTTGTCAGTCTTGGATCTTGACAGTTGGGGTGGTTCACAAATAAGATAGCCTTTCCTTGAGTTTGTTTTCATCTCTCATGGCTGCTGCTTTTCTTTTAATCTGTGACACTTTTTCCTGCTCTTGTACTTTCCCCCCTAAATTTAGGATTCTTTACAAAGCTGGTGTCGATCCTTATTTCTCTCTCCCTTTTCTCTAAGGGACCTCGTCTACTCCAACAGCTTTAGCTCTCACCTCTCTGTGGGTGATCCCAAAGCTAAATTCAAGCCCAGTTCTCTTTAGTTCTATTTGCTACTTTCTGATTGCATACTCCATACATCCAACTGAAACTGTCCTGTGTCCTATAAATATATTTGATTTTTCTTTTTTATTTCTTGTTTCTGTTACTGGCTCCACCATCTTCTCTCTGCACATTTAAAATGGCATCCATCACTGTGTACCCTGCTATTCCCATTGCTGCCACCCTCGTTCAGAACCTCGTTATCCTGGCTGGGCAGTTCAGGAGCTGTCTAGTTCAGCCTGTCTCTAGCCTCGTTTCTCTCCCATTCTATGCACTCTTGCTAAATTTATCTTCCTGTGTTTAGAATATAATTCTGACTGTATTACTGCTGCTTTAAAAAAAAGAAAATATCATACCCTGGCTGCTTTGTTACTCTCCTACCTTTCTTTTCTCCATCTGTACCTACCACTATGCCTTAACTCACAGACCAGCTCAAGTGCTTTCCCTGCAATTTCTCCGCTGGAAAAAAATTTATTTTTTAATGAAACTCTTTACAGATTAGTCAGTTCCGCTAGTTACTACTTGTATAGCCTCGAGAAAACTATTTAAAATCTCTTATCTCAGTTTTCACATCTATAAAATTGGCATGGTACTGTATCATATTGTTTCTAAGATATTTTTACATTTTAACATCTGTGCAATCTGAATTTGTCTTCAAATCAGCTTTTTTTCTTAGTGTTACATAAAGGAGGGTGCATCTCATACTCGATGGCCTTTTAAGTGTGGTGAAATATGGTAACAGTATAAAATCATGGTCTTGGTGTGAGAACTAACAGGTCGTTATGTCAGTGCAAAGCACTGCACAGGCACAAAGCAATTCACAGTAAATGTTAGCTGTCGCTATTGGCTTTTAAGTAATCCCTAACTTACAGCCTCATGAAGTCCTACAAAATGGTAATAAGTTGGAATGTCATTGGGTTGAACCCTTAACTTCTACAGTTGCAGTGTTTATATTTAATGACATATAAATGCTGTTGATCATGAAAAGAAACAGGAATGAAATATATTTTAACCACATTTGTTTTTTAAAAAGTAGGGCCAATCATAAAAGCTTTATTACAATTTTCTTTCAGGGACTTTTTCAGCAGAGGCTGGCCTGCCTGAGGCCTATTAAAATACAAGTCCAATGAGTCTTTTATCTTTCTGACAAACACCTTTCAAGTACTCACAGATGTTCATCGTTGTTTCCAGTACTTTTACACCTCAATTAAAATGAAGTCATATGTCTTGAAACTTTTATTGATGATGAATATTTATGAAGGCCTCAGAAGTTCCGAAGTAGGAAAAGCTGAGTAGTTTCCATAGTGACTTGCATAGGGATCCCCCAGCTCTTGCGTTTTGGAAAGAGGCTGCTGCCCTGCCGCCACCCTGGACAGGGCCAGTGCCTGCCAGGCCTGCAGCGAGCCTCAGGCTTCCCTCCCGGCTCCGCCGCTCTCATGGTGGCTCGAGTCTTCCTTGTTTATTCTTCTGAGGCTTCTCAATGCAAGTTTTCTATGTTTTTGTCTTCTTTCATCCCCTTAGTTTAGCTCTTTCATTGAGCCAAGATTTATTGAGTTTCTAGATGCTGCTGGGCACTGATCTGGGAGCTCACCCAGTCTTTACAGTATGCTTATGGGGAAATAGATAATAAACAGATGTGTAATAGCAGACATTAGGGTGTAAAATGGTGCGTAAAGCTTTTTTATTTATGTAAATATGGATTTATGTGTCTTTTTTAAAAATGTATTTATTGAGGTGGCATTGGTTAATAAAATTATATAGGTTTCAGGTGACTTGTCTTGCTTAACAAATTGTAAGCAATTTGATGTTAAGATTTACGGCTAATTTTATAATTCCTTGAAAGATGGTAGAGGCTCAATAATTTGTAAAAAGATTAAAGTTTGGTTCCAGAGATGCCTAGAAGACACAAACTCTAACAAATTAATATTAACTGTGTGTCATGGAGATTCTGAATTGTATTTCAGAATACTGAAGTATAAACATTAGTGATAATACTGAATATTTATCAGTGGATAGTTTTTAACAAGAAACATCAAACTTTTTGTCATTCCATTTGGGAATTTTTTATTATGTAATTTTCCATATATGGGTGGAAATTCTGAATTAAAGGTAACTTATGTAATTATTATAATTGATTTGGTAAAAATCCAGGAGGATATCTATTATGGGTAGTTCTTTACAGATTTAAGGCAACCTGAGATTTAAATAGAAAATTCATGGATGTGTTTTATTATTTGAATGCCCTGTTTAGTCTGTGTTTGTGGACATGGAAATTCAGGCCTAGGGATCAGTTTCCTGGACTGGGTAGTAATATTTGGCTAATGGGGAAAACATCTGCCTTAGAAAACATCTTAATAACTTAACCTATGTGTATATTTTCTTGCAGTATTATCAGAAAATCCTCCCAGCTTCACCATTACTGTGACATCTGAGGCTGGAGAAAATGATGAAAGTAAGTCTAGTAAAAATACTGTGGTTTTTCTAAGCCTCTCCCTCAGGAATTTTACTTTTCCTACAGTAGTTCTGTGCTGGGCATTGCAGGTGTAAGAGGTGCTAAGGTGATGTGAACGTTGTGTGTTTCTAGCTAGTATACTGTATAAATATGACTTCTAGAAAAATATTCTGACACAATAAGCTTAGTTAGCTCTTAAAAGCGAAACAGAAATGTTAACAGTATGGCAGATGGAGAAGAGATTTTTTTTTTAGCCAAAGCAAGACTTTCCATGCATACATATTACAGTGGTTATAGATTTCATTGAGTGACTATTATTTTTCTATGACTGTTTTTCATCTTTGGATATTCAGATTACTGAATTTTTGCTGTTATAAATTAGTCTGTATAAACACCTATCTGCATGTTTTTCTCCCTCTGTTGAGGATGGATATTCTGTTACTTAAATATATATTTATAAAACCAGGTAAAACCACTGTTATATGACTATAAAAATAAGACAGATACACAAATTGAAATGAAGCAGTTATAAAACTATTAAGTTAAAATTAAATAAAGTAATTTAAATTTGGGCAGATGTTGGGGGGCACAGGAGGTATCTGAAGTTCATTTCTACCTTTAGTCTAGTTCAGTTTGATAAAAATATAATGTAAGTTGATATTAACTCTGGGGATTATTTTTTTCTATTAAACTATTCAACTAAAATTCAGCCATGTAATACCAATTTTAGTGGTAATACTTGATAACTTCAAATCTGTTTTGTACAATTGTAAATGATGTTGGATATTTACTATTTATGTATTTATATGTATGAAGTCTCAAATACAATACGAGCAATTTTATATTCTGTTTAAAATTTAAATATATACATAGAAAGATACTTTAAAGTATCATTTAAAAAGTACTCTTATGATCATTAAATATACCAAAATGGTAATAATGATCTCTTCCTGATGATGGGATGATTATTGATTTTATTTTTATCTTAGTGTATTTTTCAGTTTTTTTATAATGAATGTCTGTTACATCACATAGTAGAACCAGTCATTTTTTAAAGAAACTTTTTAGCAATGAGATTATGAAGGTTAATAAAAAATGGAAAATGCAAAAAACACCATAATTTTTTATATCCATTTACTCATAAAATTCTTTATTGACATCCATACACAAACATTGAAACAAAAATATCAAACCAACATATATTAAGGTGTCCCCCCCAGAGAGATATTTAGATTTGAGTTAAAATCATCAAAATCAGGAGGTTTTAATAATTAAAATGTGAGTTACAAGAAAGGCAAACTCTAGACAAAAGATTATTATGGCGAATAAGTTTTGACAGAAAATGTTTAGTACATCTGCTTTATTGCAAATTGCTTGAGAATTCACCAGGCTAGGTTGCCAAGAGATGGATACCTTGCAATGATACACATGTAAGAGTCTTATTCCCGTACTAGTGGGAGGTCTATGAACTAGCACAAGCCAAAAGAGTGAGTGGGAATATGTAGGTGAGTCAGGTTAAAAGTTTCTCACACAACCTCTCAGGCTGTCCACTTCAGAACATGTCATCCAGTAACCCCTCAGCAGTCCTTTGCTGGCACTGTACAGATAGAGATACAGATGTTGTCCATGCTCCCTGCTCCCCTCTGCTAAAGCCAGATATTCTGCCCTGGAAACTGACTTTAGTAGAGGTCTGAAAATGAGCCTAAGATAGTACTTTTTTGTGTGTTATATTTAGTGCCTTTTTTCATCTAACAGAGGATTTTAAAGAGTCTAACCTGTTTTTTTTATAACCTTGTTTTTCTTTGCAGGAAAATCTGTTGTGCTCCTTACTTTTTTTAATTTACACATTGTAAATTTCCTTATTTTGCCACATATGATGTGCTCTCATGTATAATACGCGCCCATGTTTCGTGTGCATTATGCACAGGATTATTAAAGCCATGGTATGTAATCATTATACCCATGTGTCATGCACATTATAATTTTTCCTTCAAAAATTTGGGTTAAAAAGTGCACATTATACATGGCAAAATATGGTAATTACAACAAAGATGTTGAGTTCCTTACATTTTAAGATATTCTTATCAAACTTTTATATCTCTAGCTGTCCAGACTACCCTCAAGTTTACATACAGTGAGAAATACCCAGATGAAGTCCCTCTTTATGAAATATTCTCCCAGGAAAATCTAGAAGATAATGATGTTTCAAGTATTTTAAAATTGTTAGCATTACAGGTAAGGAAATAACGGATTTTGTAAAAGTGGGGATTTTCTGGCCTTAAATATTATATGTCAGTTGCAAGTCAAAAATGCTAAATATGTATAATTAGTACATTAAACATGCAGAATTCAGTGTGTCTGTGTGTGTTTACGTACAAGCAAACACCTTTAAACTTTGGGTAAGAGTAGTTGTCCTTCTGCCCCTGTTTAAAACTCTATCATCACCCATGACTTTTAGGTAATAAAAAGTCTGATAGGTATAAGCACAGTTTGAGTTTCATTCTCAGAATACCCAGTCCTGTGGGCAGTTAAAAATCCAACAGAAAAGAATTAAAATTTCCAACCCTTCTGACCTATTGCAGGCTAATTGCCTACATTCTGGGAAGGGGACTGGTGGTTGTTTTGGGTTTTTTTTCCTTATGTCTCCTTCTCCCTAAGCTTATAAACAGCAGCACGGGTTTATGACTCCTCTAAGAGGGGAAGGAAAAAATGGCAATTGGAAAGCTTTTATTTGGCTAGTCTGTGGCAGGATGGAATGCCAAGCATGGCATGTATTTAAAGTTGTCTCTTGCTTGAATAGAGAGTTTTCATGTGTTCTTCAGAGTAGGGAATAGAGAAGGCAAGCAGAATCTTTACCATCTTAAAATCAGAAGTTACAGTTTTTTGTTTGTTTTTCTAAGAAGAATTAGCAGAAAACATGTCTCCATCTTAAGTGTGACTTGCATATTTCAAGGACTCTTGGTCTTCTTGATGCTAATATTTTATACTTTATCTTCCTCACCTGAAGATATTTTTTATTGCTTTTATAAAGAAAGGAGGGTTGGAAAGAAAAAATTGATGTGAAAGAGAAACATTGATTAGTTGCCCCCCCCATGCCTAGACTGGGATCATATGCACCTGGACAGGGAATCGCACCCTCAGCCTCAGGCATGTGACCCAACCAAGAATTGAACCTGCAACCTTTTGGTCATGGGATGAAGCTCCAACCAACTGAGCCACACTGGCCAGGGTTTAATGCTGATATTTTAAAAACACTTATATATTGAGCTACTAGCGAATGAAGAGTGAAAGAACATATATTAAACAGGAATTTATGCTGATCCTGAGCCTTGTTACCCAGCATGAAATTATACTAATTCTAATACCATTTGGTATAACATACTTCATTTTAAAACATTGTAGAGAACCTGAGACAATATGCTATATTCAGGCAGTCATGTATTAATAATTAAATTATTTGATCTGAATGATTTATTTTCTTTCATTTATATTGTATTCATACTCTTTTCTTTTAAAAAAAAGGTTGATAGAGAACAGTAGGCAAATTTAAGTAGTACGTACGAATAGGTAAGAGACAGTGACAGAGCTTAGGGTGGGATGGGAGTGTTCGGGTTGGGTAGACGGTGGTATGATTCTCTGAGATGGAGAACTTAGAAATAGGTTTTGTGGAGATAGTTTCTGTGTCGATGGGACACATGCCTATGGGACATCCAAGTCACTGGCAGTGGTCAGTTTTCATACAGGTGTGGCACGCAGGGGAGAGGCTTTTTTAGAGTCAGATTTGGAATGGTTAGCCTGGAAACACACGGAGAAGCTCCGCTGCGGAGGATTGTAGGCACTAGCTCGAAGGCTAGTCTTCACAGAGGGCGCAGGAGATGAAATACCCATTCAAATGCTTCTGAAGCCAGTCCGGTCAAAGGAGTGCTTGGAAATCTCCTCAACTTCTCAGGTGGAGATTCTGGCTTGTAAATTTTGGATTTTTATTTTTATTTTTTGTTTTGTGTATTTACAGAAATAAGATAGGTTTGAACCCCATCTTATATCTATGGGTAGACAAGATTTTTTTTTATTCTGCCTTCAGATGCTCAACTTCCAAATAGCTTTTGAGTTATAACCCTTTCATGAGTCAGAGATGCTTTTCTATCTGCCTTTGAACCATTTCAAGTCAAAAGGAAAAAAGTATCAAAAGGTAAATCACAGAAATCCCTACATTCATTATAAATTGTGTTATGTTGGAAAATTGCTCTGGCCTCAAAGTTCAGGTCATTGTCACAGCTCTTAAAATTCATGAAAGGAACTGAAATAATGAAAACATGCTTGAGAATTGATGTTACTTGCTACTGTAGGAAAGATTTTCTGAATTCTACCTACATCACATTTACGACTATTAAACAGAATTTTCTGACATACCTGCTTTAGGTTGGATATAGCACATTACGTGGCTTCTTAAAATTTAAGATATTATTAACATATATGTTTGATTTTTAAATAATCATTTATCCAAGTGTCTGAACTGGTGTGTAATTGAATTAGTAATCATATTATGAATGTATGAAATTTGGTTACTACGCTGAAACTCTTTTTTATTGATGAGTCGCTCTTATTTGTCTGAGAAGTATGCCTCTCACTACAATCTCAGTTTTTTGTTGTTGGATTTTTGTTTGTTTTGTTTTGGTTTTTGGTTCTGTAGGCAGAAGAAAACCTTGGTATGGTGATGATCTTTACTTTAGTGACAGCTGTGCAAGAAAAATTAAATGAAATTGTGGATCTAATAAAAACTAGAAGAGAAGAAGAAAAGAAACAAAAAGAAAAAGAAGCAGAAGAAGCTGAAAAGGTATATTAAAAGCCATGTTTTCTTTCTCTAAATCTGGGTGTTTTTTTTTAGTTGTTTGGGGTTTTTGTTTCTTATTTTTGTTTTTGGAAATTTGAATAAGTTTTTTTTTGAAATCACAAAAATAAATGAAAGTAAATTTTAATAAAACTTGACTAAGTAAAATAAAACCTTAGAAGTCCCTCATTTAGTTGGTGGTGTAACACAATGACTAATAATCAGAAAAGTTCAGTAAAGCTCATGCAGATAAGATCAAGAAATAGAAATTAATTTCACTTACAATATCGAGTTGAGAACTGATAAAGCCACCACCAGAGTGTTTTAAATATAGTCATGCACTGCTTAACATGGATATATGTTTTGAGAAATTCATTGTTAGGCAATTTCTTCATTGTGCAAACATCGTAGCATGCACCTACACAAACCTAGATGGTGTAGCCTGTTACACATCTAAGCCATAGGCAGAGTCTGTTGCTCCTAGGCTACAAACCTGTACGTCACTGTACTGAATATTGTAGGCAGCTACAACACAATAGATATTGTGTGTACAACAGATAGGTATTTGTGTATCTAAATGTAGAAAGGTACAATAAAAACGTGGTATAGAAGATGAGACACGGTACACTGTTAATGGAGCTTGCAGGACTGGAAGTTGTGCTGTGTGTCATCAAGTGAGTGGCAAGTGCCTATGAAGACATAGGACATTACTGCACACTCCTGTAGAATTCATAAACACTGTACACATAGGCTATACTAAATTTATAGAACAGCATGAGATTAAGTCAAGCACAAGAGAAAATAATGCAGTTGAGACACTTGGTAAACACAAGATGTAGGAGGCTGCTGCTGGTATAACATGGCATACCATTTTACAGCAAACTATGTAAGCAGAAAGAGTGAGTAGACTAACAGTAGTGAGTATAGTATGGTTAAATACATAAACCAGGAACATTTGCCTATTATCGTCATCAAGTAGGAAATGTATATAATTGTACGTGCTCTATTGTTACATAACTAGTAGCACGGTAGGTTTGCTCACATCAGCATCAGCACAAACAAACAATGCATTGCCCTGTGATGTTTGGGCAGCTTTGACATCACTAGGTGAGAGGGATTTTTCTCCTGCGTTATCTTAGTAGGACCATTGTCTTATAGGTGGTCCATTGTCGACTGGAAATGCTTTCATGGTGTGTTTACGGAAGAAAACCTCGCATGAAGTAGATAGAATGAAGTAAAAAGATAAGCTGTGATGCTAATGTTGTAAATTGATGTGTATTCACAACATTAATGCTGACAGCAACAACTTTTTTCTGAATAGTGAATATCAGTGGAGATACATTGCATATTATCTTGGGGTTTTTTTGTAATAAAAACTATACAAAGACTTCTCCAGAATAAGCCACCAAAACCAATGAGAGTAGCCAGTGTAGGCAGAAATCATATTAAGTACTTCAAAACTTGAAACAGTTTTTCTGTGTTTTTCCTGTGACTATATTCGTATGTCTAGAAGATCATTAGGCTTTATTTTTAAAAGTCGTCTCACTACTCTGGTGACATGTTTTTCTTTCCCCCAAGCAATTATTTCATGGCACTCCTGTTACAATTGAGAATTTCTTAAATTGGAAAGCCAAGTTTGATGCAGAACTCTTGGAAATTAAAAAGAAACGAATGAAAGAAGAAGAACAAGCAGGGAAAAATAAATTAAGTGGTATGATTCACCCCTATTTCTATTCCCCACAAACCTTCCTGCATTACTTCTATTTAGCAAGAGAATCATTTGGACCGATTTCTGTAAGAAATTATTGTACTTAGGCGTCTGGGACAGAAAGAGCATTTTCTCTGCATGGTGATGCATCTTCACACGTAATTACATTTAATACTTATGGCCTGTCTCTGATAGGAGCACCGTGGTGGGTGGGTTTTGAGAAACGGCGGCCGTGACTTTCGGGAGTACCAGCAGCGGTGGGGTCAGGCCCTCGGGTTCTCTGGGCTCTGAGGCAGGCTGGAGTCATCACTTGCTCCATTTTCGTGCAAAGACATTTCCTACATCTCTTAACTAAGTTCATAAATTTAGTGAAATTCACAGAAAAACAGGTTTTTAGATTTGTTTTCATGGGTTATTACATTTTTTAAAGGGTTGTAGAGAGGACGAGGAAAAACTTTGCTGTTCAAATTAAACACATTTCTTTTAGGGAAACAGCTGTTTGAAACTGATCATAATCTCGACACATCTGATATCCAGTTCTTGGAGGATGGTAAGATGATAATGGAATTCCACATGTACATGTTGTATAGTTTTTATATTAATTATTAATATTAAACTATAATAATCACAGTGACAACAATGTAATTCTCCTAAGCATGTAAAGAAATACATTTTGAAGAACAAATTGTAATGTTTGATAAGTTTATACATTAAAAACAGCAGTGTATTCTTTAAAGTTTTCTGATAAGCAAAATCTAAGATAGCAGTAGATGAACAGTTATAACCATCGTGCCTCTAATAACGTGTCAACCCGGCCACTGTGACTTAGGGGACCTGTTTTTCTCAGAGTTCGAGCATCATAAATGTATGGAAACCGTATTCCATGGTCGGTCATGGAGCTTTATAAAAACCTCAAATCTGGAACTCCTCTCCTGTAACCAGAAATTTCCCATTTTGTACCACTCTTACTGTCTTCGGAGCATCTGGCCCCTTACTCTTTCCTTCTTTTTATCCTAATTCTTACCTTCTTTCAGTCCTCCATCTATCCATTATCCGTCCATACACAGGTATTTATTGTACCCCACCTATAAACTAAGCACTGTCCTGGTGCCGAGGACACAGCATAGAAAAATTCCCTGCCCTCGTGGGGCTTATGGCCCACGTGTGTTTATTAAACTGCGCTCTGTGCTGCCACACCTGCGATGGCGCCCCAGACCGTTCTGCACTTCCTTGGCCTCCTGTCGTGCCCATCTTGCCGGTTGGGGCTCCTCTGTCATCTGGCCTTCCAGCCTCGTTCCTGGACTGTCTGCTGCAGAAGATTAAGAAGCAGTATAGACGTGGCTCACTGTTCAGTCATGCTTCTTAACCTGAGCTCTGTGCCCTTACTAACGTTTCACATTTTAAAGTTACATTTTATATATTCTTGCTTCAAGATGTTCATTGTCTCAAAATAAACAGCTTGCAAGGACATCCTCATCTATCTCTTTTTCACTTGAAGGGCTGCTTTTACCTCCTATTTTGTTGAGTATTTCTAGATCCAAAAAGCTTTGTCTCATTCTCCCTTGCACTTTAAAAGTAGTACTCTCTTCATTCATTCTTGACTTTTTTCCCTGTCTAATGGATCAAGTATCTCCTCATATCCAGTAACTTAGTGAAGATTGTCTGTTGATTTTACTACTTTCTCCTCGCTTTTGTTTTTACGTTGGAGGTTTATCACTTTTTTACCAGGACTTTGTGGCAGCTTCTTAAATTATCTCCCTGCGCTAGTCCCTTCCTCCTCCTGGTGACCTTACCTATCCTGCTGTCACTGGCTCTGAGGTGATGTTTCTAAAACCGCATGATATTTCTCTCCTTAAAATCATCTGATGGTTCTCTTCTGCTTAGAGAAGGTACCTACACAATTCTTTAGTCTAGTCTTTCTTTATCTATTATCGCCCGATTTTCTTCCTCAAGAGTCTTATGCTCTAGTTAGAAGCATTCGGTGTCTTAGCTTTTTTCTCGGCCTTCACATATACTACTGCCTAGAATTGCTTCATTTTGGCCCCTTTCCTTCTTGATGGATTCAAGTTTATCGTGAAGATATTTCAGAGGTCATCTGCTCTGTGAAGCCTTTATTGTTCCCCTCAGTCAGTCAGTCAGTCATTTGTTGTCTGGGACTTAGCAAATTGTATTTGCTTACTGACGTGCTCATATGCTTGAAGCAAGACTTTTATGGAGTTGAATTCAGTGGGCTGTGGGATCTGAGTGGGGAGGAAGATGAACAGTTTGGGGTGATTTAAGAGTACTATAATATCCTATCTGTGTGTACTTCAGAAGAACTGAAGAGTGTAGATATTTAATGCAAAACCTGAGTATTGCTTCCATTCAAAAGGGCTTAGATATTTGGAATCTTGGGAAGTCATACCATTGGTTTCAAGGGGAACTGGGTGACAGAGATGATCAAGTTAAAGCTATCAATTGAATAGCTAGTCGAGCTATAATGATATACCTATCTTCCACTGCTGGAAGAGATAAACTACTGGTTCGAGGCCCACAGTCAGGGATCTGCTCTGTATAACCAGGACCAGTTGTCATCTTCAACTTGCCACATCATTGGTAATTTATTTGAAAAAACCTTTTATATGACTGGAAGCATGACATTTTTCTTAAAAAATGTCCAACCATTACAGACCATTGTTGGTGTGATTTGCAGCAGCAGTTTAGGATTTCATCACCTCCCATGCACATGGAGGAATTTCTGTTTGCTACTGTCAGTGAGCTGTATCTTTTATTCCCAAGTATAAGACTGAAGGTGAAATCCTGGGTCTTTTTCAGCTGGAAACAATGTGGAGGTAGATGAGTCTTTGTTCCAGGAGATGGATGACTTGGAGCTGGAGGATGATGAGGATGATCCAGACTACAATCCCGCTGACCCAGAGAGTGACTCCACCGACTGACGGACCATCCCCATCTGCAGAGGCGTGACTGCCACAGCATCTGTGGCTATGCTGAGAGGGTGTTGATTTTCCTTTCTTTTTTTCTAAGAAAAAATAATTTTCAGGAGAATATTCTTCTGAAAGCTTTCATCAATGAACTTAATAAAACTGACCTTAAATTTCAAATACAAAATGTTCCGTTCCTCTTATTGGTGGGAAGGAGGTCACACATTTAAAATGATTTAGTGTTGGAGAGAGAGCTGCCTGTAACTTCAGACTGGGAGGTAGGTGGCTGCTGTGCTCCGGCGCAGGTGCGTGCAAGGAATCGGCACGACTCGGAATTTCTCCGCTGGAGACAGTGGCAGCTTTTGGATTCTAGGTGTTGTCATTCATATAAAATGTTATAAGATGGGGGTGAATAGAACATTAAGCCTTCCGAATTCTAGCCTTTGAGCATGACAAATTTAAGTTGTAACAAAACCAGAAGTTCATGTAATAGAAATAAAATGGCCTTTAATCCTGTAGTAGTATTTGAATCAGAACAGTCTGTGGGAGTTACTAAAGTGTGTACTGGGCCCTTCTCAGTTTAGGGTAATAAGCACTGAGACTCAGTCTGGACATTAGTGAAGTCTCATGCCAGTGACTCAGCTGAGTGTGGTGCACACTGATCAGAACCATGTCCTGTAGCTGTGAAGTCTGCGTGCTGTCATGGTCCCTACGTTCTTCATTAATTTGAGGGGTCTGTGTGCGAGAGAACCCACTCCACATCCTGGACATGCGAGACCTTCGGAACAACTTGGAGTGGTTGACTTGAGGGTTCCAGGTAGGAGAGTTGGGCTTCCTGCAGGTTTTCCAGTCACTGCTGATTTGAAGTATTGATTCTAAGCCGCTGAGAGAAACCACTCGGCTATTGCGAATAGCTGCCTCCATTCAAAAGTACATACACCACATGCCCACAAGCACAACAGGGTCAATCCCACGTTTGTGTTGGGAGTTAGCATGACTGACACCAAATAAGACAGCTGTCATTAAGGAATACTCGTCCCCTGCCCGAATCCTGACCGACACAAGGGAATGGTGGTCATGATCAGCATTTCTGTGCACAGAGAAGTCCAACAGTTTGTGTTAATGTGAGATTTACTTTTCCAAAGGAAAGATCCTTTTTGAAGCTGATAAGCACATACTTAAGAATATAAAAGAATGAGAAAAGCAATGAGGTCAATGAAGACGTGACTTTCAAGTGTCAGAAATAATTCCATTCCTCCACCCTCACCCATAATTTTTTAAAGTATAAATTTTATATATTTTCTGTAGGTATTGAAGTGGATCACCACGTTTGTCACTACAGAATGCAATTTTCAGAATTAGGCAGAACCTAATGATATGGAAATGAAGACAGTCTGGTTCTAATGATATTTCCAGGTATTTTCATGCAGACTAAATAACTTGACTGAGCATACATCTGTCCCAAGGTAAGTGCCTCACTCTCTCCTCAGCCTAGTCCCTGGCAGCTCAGAAAGGCATCCAGGTTCCCTGGCCTCCATCCCCAAGACCATTAGAAAGATCTGGAGGTAGAACCACGTGGAACTTGAAGGTAAGGGGGTCTTTGCATAAAAGTGCTCAGTGGACAAGCAAAGTGAAGCCATATTATTGTCAACCCCAAGCAGATAGTTAAGCTAAAACAATCAAAGACCTGGAAATACTGGAGTGCAGGCTACTGCTGCAGAACCCAAGATGTAAAAGTAGGTTCTTGGTTTTGACCATATTGGTTCAAACATCTAAATGGGATATGTCATTAAGTTAAATTATACTCCAGATTTGCTGTTAAAAAATAGATTGATTCTCGTGGAACTTAAGACTTTTGAAAATATGAATCGGAATATTTTTTACCTGTACTTTTAGGTGTTTTTTTAAAGAAAAACATTGCCTTAATTTGGATGTATCTTCTGACATTTAATTTAAAAAAATAGCAGATCCATCTCTAAAGATCACCAAGACATTAGGATCTGTTACTGAAAATGTTTGTTTTAAAAGTTAAACATTGGTGCTAAGGCCCTTGAAAATGACATTGAGAGAGAGAGGGACATTCTCAAAGGTACGAATTTGATGTCTCTTTCCTTGCTATTATCAGCTAATCTCCCAGGACTCCATACACGTGAGATAGGAGATGTCCCTGCATGGGTATCGTTACCTGGGAAGGCTGGGATTTCTGTTTCTGATATTGGTGCTCAGTTGGTGATGAACTAGTTAGTACACATTGGCTGATCCTGCCCCAGGGAGTTTAAACACCAGGAGAAAGTGTGAAGATTAATATTTACTAGTATTTTAGTTCACTACTGAATTTAACCCATAGTATGAAAATATAGATGGTTCTGGTAAAACAAAAAAACGACAATTGGAATAATAGGCTGTTCTACTAACTGTGGAAGCTTGCAGAATACTCAATCTCTGATCCTCAATTTCCCCTGTAAGGTGACTATAATCTTCAATGTGGGGGGCCAAGGAGGATAATGCGTGTGGAGGGAGTTGAAAGTAGACCTCGGGTTCAGCACAGCCGTCCTGGGCCACGGAAGACTGCCTGATAGATTGTTGTAAGAAAAGAATGACTTGGCTGCTTGCTGTATCACTGTACCAAGAGGGAGCAGCAAATGTTCTTAAAAAATACAATGTACTTAGCCTTGCAGTTTGTCTTTCTCACACTCTGCTTCAAAGCTGGCTCAATATATACAGCCTGATTTCACCAATAAGCAGTCCGTTCTCTGCATCCCGGAGAGGGGACTCCACCTGACCTGGCTTTGACTCTGTCTCTTTACTTCTCAATCCCGTGTCGCCTTCCCTCAGAACCTGACCAATCTAACTGCAGTGGTCGTGGCACTTAATATGCAAAATTTTAAAAAATAAAATTAATAAACATGTTCAAAATTGATCACTCACCAGGCAAGTTCTTCATAGCACTTAGTCCACAAATTTCACACCTGCAGTTCACCGTATTGCACCTGCCCTACACAATCAAATTATGGTGAAGTTTTATACTGTTATGGACTAATATTTGTGCCCTCCCATAATTCATTTTGAAATCCTTACCCCCAAGGTGGTGCTATTAGGCAGTGGGGCCTTCGGGAGGTGATGAATAAGATTAGTATCCTTATCAGAGGCTTTGAAAGCTCACCTGCCCCTCTGCCAAGCAAGGTTATGGTGAGAAGACAGCAAAGGCAGTAGGTTCTCATCAGACATGAACCTGCTGGTGTCATAATCTTAGATGTCCCAGCCTTCAGAAAGGTGAGAAATGAATGTTCATAAGCTACCCAATCCATGGTATTGTTCATAGCAGCCTGAATAGACTAGGACAAATACTCCATCTTCCTTCTGCCATTATTCCATCAAGTCTAATTGAAAAAACAAAAGATGACTTAGCAGTGAAGAAAGCACTTCCTGCAGCTACAGTTGCACCCGTGTTGCCCTGCACCTGCATCTGTAGCAGTAAACCTGCTCCATCTCAGCTCCTCAGCTGCCTGCTTGATCAGCTGTGGTTTTTGTTGCAAGGCCTAACTTCTCATCCTTCACTCCGTCACAGGTATTGCTCCTGAGAGCACTTTCCATGCCTGCATACAAACCTCAGCCTGTTTCCTGGGAGACCTAACCTAAACTGTCTCACAAAATGATTTAAATTGTAGCAGCATGAGGACCCAATGGCAAAACTGCAATGGTGCAGAACCAGCTGAGGGCAGAGTTCTGTGGGACAGGTCTTCACTGGTGCCCCTGGCTCCCCACAGGGTCCAAATGGTGCTAGGGAAGTGGTTCTGGATGCTGGTTGGAAATGTGTGGGACCACTTTTGGTTGGCACAGTATATCAGGGTGTGTAGAAAACAGATGCTAGGCATTTTCTGGTGTGAGGACAGTTCCACAACGTGAGAAACTTCTGAATTCTGCATACATTTCTAATGTTCCTCTGGACATTCATAGCTATGAAAAACCCATGTCATTGCAGTAAATGAATGGATCAAAAATTGTGGTACATATACACAATGGAATTCTATGCAGCAGAGAGAAAGAAGGAGCTACTACCCTTTGCAACAACATGGATGGAACTGGAAAGCATTATGCTGAGTGAAATAGGCCAGGCGTTGAAAGACAAATACCATATGATCTCACCTTTAACAGGAAGCTAAACAACAAAACAAACAAGCAAGCAAAATAAGGGCAAATACACTGAAATAGAAAACAGGAGGACAATGACCAGAGGGGAGAGGGGAGGGAATTTAAGGGGGAAAAAGGGGAGGGATTTTGAGGAACAAGTATGAAAGACACAGGGATGAGGACTGAGGGGGGAGGAAATGGGATGGAGGTGGGGAGCACGGGGGGGGGGGGCTGGGATGGGAGAAATAGACAAAAAAGTACTTGAAAAATAACTAAATTTAAAAAAAGATTTAAAAAAAAGAGAAAAATCTCTTCAAAAAAGAAAAACCCATGTAACTCGTCAGCAAATGGAAAAAAAGGTGGGAGATGAAAAGTTTTAGGATGGCTTTTCTAGACTCAAATCCCATTAAAGGAACAGGTGAAGTACTCAGATCTGTTGAGAAGAAGAGACCTGGGTTTGGGCCAAGGAGGGCCCTGAGCAGGAAGAACTTGAGACATTAGGAGAAGCAGGGCCCACGTCCCAGCAGTAGTTGCCAGTTTCGTGCCACAGACCTCTGGGCTGGGTGTCCAGGGGGAATGCGAGACACCTCAGCGAAGGTCTGCAAAGCTGAAGAATAGAGAACATCAGCCAGTTCACAACAGCCTGCCTCCACCAGCGCGTGGACACGAAGCTTCTTCCCTGTCATATGCCCTTTAATAAAGGGGAAATAGGAGGGAAGATGTGTTTAAATCATTCAATTTACTCTTCACTGTTGAACACTGAAAGAGATATGGGATCTCTAATCTGTAGGTTTAATTTTCTTGTAATAGTGGAAAGGAGGATTTGAGGATAAGATGAGACTGATGATAGAAAATAGAAAATAATCGTTTCCCCCCACAAACTGCTGAGCCAAAGAATGTAACCCTTTTCCTGGGTTGTAGGAAAATTAAGAAAATGTAATTAAAACCTTGGCTTGAAATCGAATCAGTGCTAGGAGGAGGCTTCCAGGAAACCAACTTCTCAGAGAGTGAGAAAGCATAGAGAATGCCCCATGAAAGATTCCCGTGACGATGGACGTCCTGTCGGTCCTGCAGTTGGGCTTTGAGAATGTTAAGTGATAGTTATGTAAAAAATACAGCATTGTGTTGGAGCAAGTAAGATGTTTCCTTTTATTGTTCCATGTTTTATGATGAAAAAATAAGCAAAAATAAGCACATGTCCAAGTTTGTGTTGTGGTTGTGAATAGGAGAAACAAGATTTATGTGAATTTTATTCTGAATTATCATATGATATAAATACATTTCCCCATTTAATAAGATTTTTTGGTTCATATAGAGTGAGTACCTTTTGCAGAGGACAGGGTGTGCTTCTCAGACTTTTTTTTCTAATGAATTTATAAACAGTATTAAATGTCCATACCTCTTTGATCATGAAAAGGACCCAAGCACCATCTTGAAAATGGTGTGTTCACGAGTGCCATCTAGTGGTTAAAGAATTGATTGCATTTTTTAGCTGCCGGTACTGTTCTGCTGTTGAGCCTGGTTCCAGGGACAAGAGGGGAAAAAAACAAAACAAGAAAACAGAAAAACTTACCCTCTGCCCCATTTTGGCCACTTCTTCAAGTTTTGTCTCCCCTTCACAAAATGCCTGCCTTGTTTTACTCTTGGTATCAGTTGTGGGTTTGTTTCTGTGGATTTATTTAGTTTTTTGGTGTTTATCCACACTATAGATGTTTCAAAAAGGGGCTGAAGGGGCCAACACTGCCTGCTGGACCCAGAATCTCAGGGACAGAGTTTTGATTGTAAGGTTTTATGGGAGCTTTGGACAACACAAGGCTCCATAAACTCCTCTAGACTAAATGGATCCAGACAAAAATCCTGACCTCCCAGGTAGGAGTCTCCCTCTCTTCTAGTATAAATAGTATTTTTGTACAGAAAAAATAGGGACCTCTTGTTGTTCCTTAGAACCTGGTCTTAAGTTCCCTGCTTAACTTTTCTTGCATCCCTGGTTTTTCCAGGAAACAATTGTCCTGAGTTTAGACTGCATCTCAGTCACCTCGGAGACAAAATGCCAGAGAAAAGAGATTCCTTATTTTTCAGTCTTTCAATTACCCCCATTAACATGAGAGAAATTGAGAGTGACACTAGCATCTTGGTGGCATAAGTTGTTCCTCTGCCCTTCACTGATTTGTAACTAGTCGGGCAACCATCAACAAACCAGTGTCTCTGCACGGCACACCACCAGGACAGCTGAGAGATCAATCTATTTGTGCATCTGAAAGCCAGCGGGCAGGATGCTGGAGGAGGCTACGACAGTGCCGAGGCAGTCGTGGAGGCAGTGGCGGCGACGGCGGCGGCAGCAGCAGCAGCTCCTCTAGCGGAGGAGTTGGGGAGTGAAAGAGGTAAATGGAAGTTTGCGGAGCTGCTCAGGCTGCACCTGGAGGGACCTGTTGCTCTTCAGCAGCACCTGTATTTACGGGGGCAGGAACTCCACGTGAAGGGAAGGGAAGGAGAAGGGGAAGGGAAAAGGGAAGGGGGAAGGGAAGGGAAGGGATATGTTTTCTGCTGTCTGCCTTGGAATTTCAGCAAAAAGTCCTCCCACTGACCTCATGTAGGATCCCTCCACTGGCCGGTGGGCACACCGAGCCCAGGTGGGACCCCGCACCTCTGCCCAGTTTTCCTCTCCTGCCAGGCTTTTCAGCTGTGTTTCCATCCTTAGCAGCAAGTCGGGTCCAGTGAGAGTAACCAAAACCTTGTAAAAAAGAAAAAGAAAGAAATTAGAAGTTGGTAAACCTGTGAACTGTCAGAATAAAAGTAAACAGCCCTCCCTAAATAGAAAGGTGCTCACTTCTTCAGATGTGGTGGTGAAGGCACAGCAAGGTGTCCCTGAACCAGCAGAAATTACCTGCAACATTTTGCGTGTGCACACCCATGTGAGTTTGGGGAAGAGTGAAGGTCCACAGCTTTTATCAGGTCACTGAAGGGTTCTGTGCTTCTCCCACCCAGCTGAGCGTGGGGGGAGGGAAGTAGTATATTCCTACATGAAGAAAGAATTTTTGACCAACATGTTGCTAATTGGAAACCCTATCAAGGTAAAGTCTCAAATACAAAGCATTAATTTGTTTGTTAAAAAAGAAACACAGTACAAGGTAAAGGCTTTAATTAACTTATAGTTTATAGTAAGGTTAGATAGAGTCCCATCCTATGTACCTTTGTCATATAATAAGAGTTAATAGTCATAGTCATGACTTTAAATAGTGCAAAATTATGAATTCACATTTATATTATCAAATACAGGTTATACCATGCAAATATAGTTTTAGGGTTAATTGGAATTTCAATTATTGCAAAACAAGTAAACCACGAACTCTCTTATTTATGTGGGGTAACCTTTTGCATTACTTTCGCCTTGAAGATAGTACTCTGCCTACTCATCTGGCAGATTCTACATGAGGGGGAAAGGCAAAAGGAGGACTTCCTTGTTTATTCTCCATAAATGTCCCCGGTTTGGTTTAAACGGTGAGACATCTTTGTCGTCTAAGTCTTAGGATCTTCTGGTCTGGTTTCCTTCTCAATCTCCCCCCTCCCCCTCCCCTCCCCCTCCCCCCCCTCCCCCTCCCCCTCCCCCTCCCTCTCCCTCTCTCTCTCTCTCACAGGAACAGCTCGCCCCTCACTGCTCGACTGGAATCAACATCTTGAAAAATCCTCCGGGGCTGGGTCGTGGCTCCTCCTCCTTTGAGCTCCGGTGTCCTACCCTTGCTCGGGTTTCCAACCAAGCTGGTCGACTGCAGGTTGGATTGGCTGACCTAGGAAGAGGAGCAGAAGCTCACCAAATCACAAATCTAGGATTCTCCTCTTTCTTGGTCTCCTCCCTAGAATCCAGGCAACCAATGTGCTCCTCCGTTTCCCTTAGTGGAACCTTGCCCGGGGTTGCTATGGAGACAGGACGCTGCAACTTGCAAAGCAACAACTAGGACCCAGAAATCGCTTAGCAGATCTCTCAGCAAAGCGACTGTCCTGCGTTGTGTCCTTCCATTTCTGCACAACATCTTTCTAACAGAACTTATTTTGTTTTGACTCTTTCTATGGAAGACTCTACCACCCAGAAGCAAGAAAAAGAAAACCAAGAATCGGGGAAAGAAGAGAGGCCATGGGGAGAAATAACAGCAGCTTCTTCCCAAGATCTTACTGGGTTATCTGCACCCCTGGAGTCGGAGCAGGGGCCTGAGACTGGACCCCAGTCCCGGAGCAGCGCACCTGGGAGCCCGCAGTCTAGAGACAGCACACCTGTCGGTGACCTCACAGGACCGGGTGCATCGTCTGCACCTTCGCCTCCTGAGGAGTCCTCTTCCTCTCCTCTGACCAGACAGGGCCTTGAGGCGCCACGGCAGGCACGCGAGACCACTAGTGTGATTCCCGAAGCCGAGAGGCCTCACTCGGACCATTTGAAACCATCATCTGAAAATGGAGAAACAACTCATCAAACGTGCCCATCAACGGGGGACGCCTTTCCACAGTTTCAGCAAACAAATGGTCATTTGTATGAACCAAGGGATGTGAGCTTTAGCAACTCTAAACAAAAAGAGCTTAGGTTTGACATTTTTCAGGAGGAAGACTCAAACAGTAGCTATGATCCGGATGAGGCTGAGCCCGAAGCGGCCCCCAGCGTGCTGGAGATTGCCGTTCAGAACGCCAAGGCTTACCTCCTGAAGACCAGCAGCAAGTCGGGCTTAAATCTGTAAGTCGTGGAGAAAAAAAAAAATTTTTTTTAAGCAAAGTATGCCTAAGAAAAGAGGGTACGAGTATCTCTATGTGAGAGTGTTTCTGTGGGTGAATGAAAATATATTTGAAAAACCTGTAAGTAAGAGCTAGTGATTTAACAATCTTTACATCACAGGACTGACTGCACATAGATCATTGATAGGCATTCTTCTACTTGAAAGATCCTTGGCATTGAGAAACAAAACGAGGGATTATGGAATCTTGGGTTTGAAACAGACCATGACAATAGTGAAGTCCAAGCATCTCTTCAAGATGCTTGTAAAAAGTAACTTTCTACTACTAGTGACAGGGAGCGCGCGACTCTCCTCTAAGCATTCTAATGCTTCTGCGGCTTGGTTTTGAGTCTCACCCAGGCCAGTGCAGGGGGACTAGATCTCTGGGGTTTTGGGGATCTATCCTGATGGGAGCACTAAAAGCTCTGCATCCTGGGAAACCTCTCGGTCTGGGCAAACCAGGAGAACTAGCCACTATAATTTTAAGGTCTACAGAATAAAAGAAGTTAACGTTTAATGTGTGAAATCTTTCACAAAACTCAAGAATGACAATTTAAAATATAATTAGTAAATTACCGTTTTAAACTTTACTTGAGCTTCAGGGATGTGGTTTTCTGCTCAGTAGTGGATTTTACTCCAATTTCTGGTATATGCTTTTTGCTATAATGCCCAAGGTTAAATAACAAGCATGAATTTACCAACTTCGTTAAAACTCAAGAAAAGCTCATTACAAATTCTTGAGATCTCACTACTTAAAACTGAATGCACAAAACCCAAAAATGGGAAAATTTTCTTTATTGAATTAATAAGTGACACTACTTAAATGACTGTTTTATTTTGTTTCCAAATGCTACATCTCTGAGGTAATAAATAAATATTTTCTATAATGTTCACTATTATCTTCTAAATACTTTAGAACTTGAAATTAAAAACTGCTTCCTAAAAAAGAAAACCCTCAATTTATTATATGCAGATCTTATCTGACAACCATAAAATGACTTTTTATTGTAATTAAAACAATCTTTGACTAAAATACAAGATCCGATATTGGTTTTTATATTGCTGAAAATGAAGCCTCCAAAAATTGCCTTCTCACATTCTATTAAAACAAAATATTAATCTTCTGAATTTGAAAAAACTTTAATTATGAATTAATATCTAATAAACATATTTTATAATTTGACAAAAAAAAGATACTTTGACAAAATGGTGTGGACTCTTTAAAAAACAATATCTTGCCCAAAGAACTATGAACAAAGCACATATAGATATTATATTAAAACCTGAGAAATAAAATAAAAATTTGGACTTAGAGTCCTTCATTTGATAGCATACATGGCCTGTATTTGAGCAAATTAAAGACTTCAGTCAGAACTCCAGCTAGTACTTACTAAGCAACAATATTTTTGGTCTGGAGGCATTTCCATGACTTTTAATACTGGACAAATATTTAGAAATCTTGAGTAAGATTTAAACAAATCCCTAGTCATAACATTTCTATTCACTTACAAGAATAACAATTTTCTGAGAAGTAACAATATATTCTTTACATATAATATTTTAAAAACTGCCCTTTAAATTGGTTGTGCATATAATCTACATATTTTGCTTTGACATTCTTAATATCCATTGGATAAACACAGATATGAAAAAATTAAAAATGACACTTAGGGTCAACGAACAGAAAATAAGCAATTATTGAGCAACTATTTCGATTCACTGTAATAAGGAAGGAGATACATTAAGATAACAAACAAAAGCCAAAACCATAGTTTTGCCAACGTAAGAACCTAATGCAGTTGCTGAATGGAAAACATATGATGAACACACATATATAACAGCGCATTTGTGAACTCAGAAAGGCCCCCTCCAAACTGAAGAAGAATGGTTCTCAGGGATGACTTGAGTACAGTGGTTCCAGATTTTTTCTTCAGAGAAATGCTATACATGTGGGACAGCAAGCAAAGTCTCTCAGGTAGGATTTAGCAACTTATAAGAGTGATTTTTCAGTAGATTTAGTCCATTGGGAGAGTAATTACAATTGAACTAATTGTTAGAAATGGAATTGAAGGCAAACAATGCTTATCTGTCAGAGAGGAAACTTACACAAGTTTCCATATCGGACTGAGAAGTTTCCATTTAATCTAAGAGCACTATGACAGGCAATTTATCTCTTGGATAGTCCATTCACATTGTAAGTCTGATATTTGAAAAGGCACACCTTAGCCCTTATGTATAAAATGTAATGCATTAATGAGAGGTTAGAGGATGTTTCACTTACTCAGTTATAAAATAAAAAGCTAGGACAGTGTTTTTAATAGAACAAAAATAGTAAAATTCATTACATTTTTGATAAAGGTGAGTAATATTTATGACATTTTTCTTTCAGTTGTACGTGGGCAGGGGTTGCAGTATGAAATGTATCTCTTCTAGGTTTAAAATACACTGAGGTAGATTATTGGCCTAGGAAATGAAACAAGAGAACATATCTTTTAAGAGAGTCAGTAGAATTTAGAAATCAAATTGGATTTGGCAAGGGTGGGGAAGAGGGATGGAAAAGAAATTAAGGTAAAGAAAGAAAAATGTTAATCACTTAAAAATATATAACTAAGAAATTTTGATCTCAAAATGTGAAAGCATTCCTGGTGTAAAGTATGTATCTTTCATAATATGCTTTTCTTCAATATCTCAAATATTTATATCATTAGAGATATCCCCTAAGAAAAATTCTAGAAGAGGTTTTCCCAACAGTGGTAGAAGTTACTGTGTTTATTCACTTGAAGTTTATGAAGGCTTTGAGCTGTGGACATTTCCTACAAACCAGCTAACTGAGTTTGCATGAAATGCTTCTTCTAATGCTTTCGACATGTGCATAATCTGGAATTTTCTCTTTTCGGGTAGATATGATCATCTTTCTGAGATGCTGACCAAAATCTTAGATGAGCGACCTGAAAATGCTGTGGACATCATTGAAAATATTAGCCAGGAAGTGAAGGTGGCGCATTTTAGTAAAAAATTAGATACACTCCAAAATGAGTATGAGATGCTTCCAACATACGAAATAGCAGAGAAGCAGAAGGCTCTTTTTCTTCAGGAACATTTGGAAGGAGCTGACCAAGAACTGGAAGATGAAATAGTAAGTCACTAGTAGATTTGATTAGTTCAATCTTGTTTTATTCGAGGTGAGTGGGTATGGTTTTGCATTCATGTCAGTAGTCTTTTATAGCTTTCTAAATGGTATTTTCATCCCCATTTCACATAACTCATTGCCTTGTTTAGAGCTTATTTTTTCACATTGTGTTTGTATTTTATAGGCATAGGTACAGGTTGAAGTTACTCCTCGATTCATTGGCTAGAGAATGGAGGTTGTGTTAGCAGGCATGAGAACAATATAATCTCACTGTACATTTTCATCCCGGCTCCAGTCACCAGGGGTTATTGTCAATGAGCCAGAGTATTTTGAAAGGAATATATTTTTTTCTGTGCAGTAAATCCAACAATTCATTTAAAATATTCAGTTTTCTATTTTGCAAGCAGATGTGCTGTGTTGTAAAGCTTTGTTCCATTTATAGAGTAGATTTAGCATAATTCTCCAGGACCCTAGGATTTTTGGAATTGTACAAAGGAATTTGCTTCAACTTAATGTCACCAGCTGCATTAGACCCTAATAAGAGTCAGCCTGTCTTTTGGAGCATTGAAGCCAGTCATTGACATCTCCTCTCTAGCTATGAAAGTCCTAGATGGCATCTTCTTCCAATACGAGGCCCTTCATCTACACTGAAAACCTGTTGATTAGGGTAGCCACCTGCATTAATTATCTTAGCTAGGTCTCAAGAACTTGTTACAGCTTCTACATTAACACTTGCTGCTTCACTTTGCACTTTGCTGTTGTGGAAATGGCTCCTTTCCTTCAACTTTATGAACCAACCTCTGTGAGTTTCAACCTTTACTTCTGCAACTTTCTTGTCTCCCTCATTCTTCAGAGAATTGAGGAGTTAGGGCCTTGCTCTAGATTAGGTCTGGCTGGTATGATCTTCTATCCACAGCACTAGAACTTTCCTCATAATAGCAGTAAATCCATTTCCCTTTCCTACCATTTCTGTGTTCACTAGAATAGCACTTTTAAATATTTCAAACACGTTCCCTTTGCATTCACAGTTTGGCTGTTTGGCACAAGAGGCCTAGCTTTGGGCCTACCTTGGCCTTCAACATGCCTTCCTCACTAAGCTTAATCATTACTAGCTTTTGATTGAGAGTGAGAGATGTGCAACTCTTGAGGCCATTGTGGTATTATTAATTTGTCTAATTTCAATATTATTGTATCATGGGAAATACGGAGGCCCAAGGAGAGGGAGAGAGGTGAGGGAGCAGCTGGTTGGTGGAGCAGTCAGATAGAGCAGCATTTATGGATTAAGTTTACTGTCTTATGTCGTTGTGATTTGTGGTGCTCCAAACAAAGACAATCACATCAAAAAGCCCTGATCACTTATCAGGATAACAGATACAATAATAATGAAACAGTCCAACATATTGCTAGAATCACCCAAATGTGACACAAAGACATGAAGGGAGCAAGTGCTGTCAGAAAAATTCTGATAAATGCATTTGACTCAGGGTTGCCACAAACCTTTAATTTGTTAAGAGGAAAAAATAGGCCTGGCTAGTGTAGCTCAGTAGATTGAGCACGGGCCTGTGAAGCAAAGGGTCACCAGTTTGATTCCCAGTCGGGACACATGCCTGGGTTGTGGGCCAGGTCCCAGCAGGGGACACATGAGAGGCAACCACACATTGATGTTTCTCTCCCACTCTTTCTCCTTTCTCTAAAAATAAATAAATAAAATAAAATAAAATAAAGAAAGAAAAAATAAGTGGTATTTGCAAAGCACAATAAAATGAGGTATAATTCATTTTCTAAATATGTGTGTGTGTGTAGGTAGGTTTTGATATATTTTATTATTTCAGGGTAGTATACGGGCCACTTAAACATTTTATATAAAGAGGGAATGTTGAATTTTTATTATTCATAATGATTATTAAACTTTTTTCTGCCTAAGGTGCATACATACAACTTGATTATTATAATATTTGATAAGTGTAAAACACAATGGTGGAAACCACATTTATAAGTAATAAAATAATTGAAATTTGGAAATTAATAGAGTGAACTAAATCTTGGAAGACATGTTGAAGAAGTGGTACAGAGAGAAAGCAGAGCTAATATGCAGACATTTAATGGGGAAACAGGAAGCAAGCTGTTTTTTTCACAAAGTGTTAACCATGGTATTTGCATCCGCAGGCAGGAAACTCTCTTCCCAATATAATGGAGTCAGCATTTTACTTTGAACAAGCTGGAGTTGGCTTGGGCACAGATGAGACCTATCGAGTATTTCTTGCCCTCAAACAGCTTACTGACACTCACCCAATCCAAAGATGCCGTTTCTGGGGCAAGATTTTGGGCCTGGAAATGAATTACATTGTAGCTGAAACGGAACTTCGTGAGGGAGAAGATGAAGAGGAGATGGAAGAGGAAGATGTAACTGAAGAGAGAGACAACGGAGACAGTGAAAGTGAGGAAGATGATGAATTACCAAGGTCCTTCTACAAGGCCCCACAGGCTATACCAAAAGAAGAAAGCAGAACAGGTGCCAACAAATATGTCTATTTTGTTTGCAACGAGCCAGGAAGACCATGGGTGAAGTTACCATCAGTTACACCAGCACAAATTGTTATTGCAAGACAAATCAAGAAGTTTTTCACTGGGCGATTGGGAACTCCCATCATAAGCTACCCACCTTTCCCAGGAAATGAGAGTAATTACTTACGAGCACAAATTGCCAGAATTTCAGCAGGGACCCACATCAGCCCTCTAGGTTTCTATCAGTTCAGTGAAGAGGAAGGAGAGGAGGAAGAAGAAGTAGAAGGTGGGCGAGATAGTTTTGAAGAAAACCCTGATTTTGAAGGCATCCAGGTGGTTGATCTAGTGGAATCCCTGTCCAACTGGGTCCATCATGTACAACATATTCTCCCTCAGGTAGGGGCTTTGCAATGCTCAATCTGTTAGCCAAGCAGCACATATTTATTAAATTCAGTCTACAATATATACATATGTTCAGACTCTAGACAGAGAAAGAGACCATTAGAAAAGTCAAATAAAATCTCTGGCTGGTGCAGCTCAAAGGACTGAGCACAGGCTGCAAACCAAAGGGTCATAGGTTGGATTCCCAGTCAGGGCACATGCCTGGGTTGCAGACCAGGTCCCCAGTACGGGAGCATGCGAGAGGCAACCACACATTGATGTTTCTCTCCCTCTCTTTTTCCCTCCCTTCCCCTCTCTAAAAATAAATAAATAATTTTTTAAGAAGTCAAGTAAAAACACAGAGTAGTATATAATTGCCAAGTACTATAAACCTGGGATCTTCAAGCAGACTTTTATTTCCAAACAGAAATAAGATAATTATTTCTATGAAGTCTTTGACAAGTCATATAAGGATTTCAATTTATGTGTGATTTTCAATTAAATTTTAATTTATGAAATTATCTTTTTTATGTTAATATAGATGGTGCACCAATTATGGAAATATTTTTAAATTCTATTTCTATAATACATAGAGATTTTATGCCGAGCAATAAAATATTATAAAAACAAAAACAAGCAAACAGTGCTAAAGAGTAGTTACATAGCACACATTCTGCTAGGTGCCCTTAATAGCACTTTTATATGCATTACCTTTTTAATACGCATAACTGTATGAAAACTAGGATTAGCCTTAGTTTACAGGGGGGAAACTGAGGCAGAGTTTAGGGAATGTAAAAAGGGTAACATGGCTAATAAGCAACAGGGTCACATATGAATAGGCAGAATGGATCAAGAGTCCAGCTTCTTAGTCAGTCTGCTATAGTGCCTTGTCTGCAGGTAGAAAAATCTTCATTATACTTTGACCTATATATGAGATATTCTTACACCTCTTTAAATAAGTTAATTAGATCAGAAATCATAACCCCAAATCTCCATACCTAATCTTATCACATTTTAATTTTTATTATTAATAATAGTACCTTATCTCTTTCTTACAAACTTATTACAAATTAGTTAAATGCATTATTACTTTTATTTTACTAAGGCATTGCTAACTTTAAAATATAAATGTTCTGTAACTTCAGGAAATTGACAAATTCTTGAAATAAATAATATAATCTTATGCTTGAAAAACCTAGATCATAATACCATTTGGCAAATGTATGTGGAATGAATGAATAAATGAAAGATTATATTACCACAGAGTGGAACCTGTGCAGATAAGTGCTTCAATGTAAATGAATACTTTGATATTTTAAAGTCCTCATCTTGTAATATTCATACTCAGGGCCGCTGTAATTGGTTCAACCCCATACAAAGAAGTGAAGAGGAGGAAGAAGATGATGATGAAGAAAAAGAAGAACTTGACTACATAGAACAGGAAGTAGGGCCTCCTCTCTTGACACCGATCTCTGAAGATTTAGGTATTTTCACAAAGTTTATATGTAATATACTATGTACGTATATATTAAGTATACATAGTATATATGATATACTATATTTCATATAGCATATATGTATATATGGTATGTATAGTCTATGTATATATAATATACTATATCTATAGATTTCACACACACACACACACACACACACTATAGTATATGGTGAAGAATAAAGAATATACCTGGCTGAACCACCAGCCTTCTCTGACAGAAGTTAAAGAAGGGCCAGGCAGGGAGGAAACATGAGTGGGCTGTAGCTTCCACTGAAATGCTGATTGTGATCTTGTGTATCTCCTGCCTTGCATTCTGCAGACCATAGACAGATGACCATAAATACATGACATTGTGATATAGTGTGTAAATATTCAAGTTTCATTGTTCCAGGATGTTTGCAAAATTCCCTCCTAATTTTATGTCAAGCTGCTGGTTTTTTAAAAAAAATTTTAAAGATTTTATTTATTTATTAATTTTTAGAGAGAGGGGAAGGGAGAAAGACAGACAGAGAAACATCGATGTGTAAGAGATATATTGATTGTTACCTCTCATACACTCCAAACTGGGGACCCTGCCTTAACCCAGGCATGTGTCTTGACTAGGTATCAAACCATCAACCTTTCAGTTCTCAGGCTGGTGCTCAGTCAACTGACTCACACCAGCTAGGCAAGCTGCTGATGTTTTCAACTTTTCTATGTCAAGTGTGTGTGTGCTTTATGGTTTATAAAAATTGCTTCTTTGTTATACTGCATATCCTTGTCTATTTAGGAAATGAGCTTTTGAGTTTCTCGTTGATTTACAGAGATCCAGAACATACCACCTTGGACAACACGACTGTCTTCAAATCTCATTCCTCAATATGCTATTGCTGTTCTCAGATCCAACCTCTGGCCTGGAGCATATGCCTTTTGCAATGGCAAGTAAGTAAATGACAGCTTTCAAAGTTATTTTTGGAAAGCATAAGTTATCACTGGAATCTTACTATTGTTTTAACTCATTTTTAGCAAGATTTATCCACACATCTGTATCATACAGTAAAGCATCAAATTAGATAAGAATATTAGAGTAATTTAGACTTCCTCCTGTTCATCTGAATTAATTGATGAAGCTAAAATATGGTTTTCTGTCTATAATTATTTCAATAATTGACTTATTTATTTAATGGAGCAATTCTGAGCAGTGTTTAAATTAGTTTAAATCTTCCATTGTTTTTGTTGGACATCTTGATAAAAGCTAATTTAAAATATGTGTTATGTAGGCTGTCACCTTCAAGAGAATTAGGATCAAGAAGATACTAATTGTCCTTTTATCCCTCACTCCCCTCTCTGTCTTATGCTTCCAGTTTTTACCTAATAACCCAATGTCAAAAGATCAGCTGAGCCGGCGAGAGAGCTGAGCTGCTAAATGTCAGAGTAGCCATTAAAGCAACAAGCCAAAAAAAAAAAAAAAAAACCTCACAAAACCCAAAAAACAGATTCCCTCCACCCCTCCCCTGTTTTACATTTTTCCCCATGAAATGGCGTATCAATGGAAGATCTGGTGGATCAGCTTAGAGATATGGGGGTCATCTCAATGATAAGAAAGTCCCTGACATATGGACAGGGCGGGGGTGGCAGTGAGGGAGGAGGCAGGGGAAGAGGAGGAGTACTAGGGAAAAGTACTGGATATTGAGAGTGGGAAAAAGTGCCTTTAGGGTTTTCCCCTCTCCCACAGCTGCCATAGGGAGGCCTTGGCAGAGGGCCCCAGAAGACCCCTCCTGAAGGTCTTAGAGACCTAGGAGCGAAGGCACCCATGCCAGGAGCGGAACTATGTGAAGAGCATGAGGGTCCAGAGTCCTTGACGCAACTCCCCTCAGAGGCTGCAGGGCACTGAGCATGCACCAAACCTGGGGTGGAGAGGGCAATTTTTCCTTTAGACTTGCTGGGAAGCGCCTTAGTCATTGCTGTGGTTGGGTCTGAAAATTCACACATAGTAAGTCTTTAACCACAAGCCCACTTGTCACTCAGACAAGCGTTTGCTAGTTAAACTTTTGAACTTTTTCTAATTCTAACGAAGATAGTAACTTTTTAATTTAGTTTTTTCTCCCCAGAAATTAATTAAATAATTAAAGGTTGTGGTTTGGGTATAGGGTACATTGTGACAGGGTCTGGCCCCATGGTTTTCTTAACCAGCTTAAGCTGGTTTGGACCATAGAAATTTCCTGTGCTAGAAGAATCATTTAAGGATATTTCATCTCTCATTTCAAATGCATTGTTTTAAAATTATGGGACTATGATACTTCACGCACTTTATCATTAAGAAAGGTCAACTTTTCTTACTAAGAAATAATACAATAATGGTCTACATTTTTTAAAAAAACTTATAGGAAGTTTGAAAATCTCTACATAGGCTGGGGTCATAAATACAGTCCAGACAGCTACACACCCCCAGTTCCACCACCAGTTTGTCAAGAATACCCCAGTGGGCCAGAGCTCACAGAAGTGGATGACCCCAGTGTGGAAGAGGAGCAGGCGTTCAGGGCGGCCCAAGAAGCAGCTGCACTTCCAGCCGAGGAAAATGAAGACACTGATGAAGATGAAGATGATTACGACTAATAAAAATAAAATTGGGTGCTTACTTCAGCAGCATACATAGTAAAATAAAATTGGCCCAGTGTTATGAGATACATACATACTCCTTATGTGGGCCTAATTATATATATATGTAATTAGCAACTATTCCTGTGTAAAACGTCATTCTCTGAAAATAGCAAACTTGGAATTTCATATTTGGAACTATTAATATGCTTATAAAAATGTGCAATGGATTTTCCAGAGGCTAAATGACATGTTCCACATAACTATTCTGATAGCTACAATTAGTGAAATCACACTCCTGTATTTTTTTTTCAAATCTCAGGTTTAATTTCTATTGTGGCAAACACGAAACTGTATAACCCAACAGAGCTTCTTGGCGACTTCAATATTTTTTTGAGTATCAAGGTATATTGAGGCCAAAATATTGATTAGGAAATTATAATTCTATCACCTCCTCAAAGACTTCAGGGACATTAAATTTTTAACCTTTTACCCATTACTGCTTAAATAACTTCCTCAAAGACGTCTGTACCCTACAGAAATTGGTTTGCTTTGTTTGGGGAAACAGTGGTTACACAGGTGGCTAGCTGGGGTACCCAGAGACTTCAGACTAATATTTCCTACCACTGCTTCTCTAAAACTATCTTTTCATTTCACTTAAAAAAGTATTTTTAAGCCCTGCTACATGTGCCCCAAGGCTACTGACCAGCAGTTTGCAGATCACTGATCCACAAACATTGCTTGTCAAACACATAAAAGGTACATTTATTCAAACTTGAGAAGTACAGGAAGCACTTCCAAGCAAACTAAAGGTAGAAAGGTCATAAGCAGCACTAACTATATTTTGGGGAGGACTTTGGGCTTGGAGTGGAATTTTGAGTGGTGAGACAAGCCGGGATATGTAAGCAGGGCCCAGATTGTGGGCAGTGACTGGATTTTATTATCCATGGACAAGGAAGAGGACTCAACTAGGAAGTGACAAAATCAAATTTGTAATGAATGTTTTGGCTTCTGTTGGGAACTGCCCTGCCTGGTTTCAGGTGCTATAATCCCACCCCCCTCCCCCCACCCCCGCATAGCTAAGGCTGAGTGAGCAACCTTTGGACCATAAGCCACTAAGGAGACAAAGCTTATCTCCCTGGCAGCAGCGCAGCTTCTGCTCCTTTTTCCACAACTGGCCTCCAATGCTTGGGTAGCCAATGAGTAAGATTCCCAGGGGGGAATTACCCACGACAGGCACGATCACGTGGAGGCCCCAGGGAAGGACTTGGGGGGCTATGGAGGAAGGGGGTGATGGGCCCTCGCCTCTTGGCTTTGACAAAGCCTGAGTCCTCTTTGTAAGAAGTTTCCTAATTTCTTGGCTATTGTATTTCCTCTGCCCGACTTAAGCCTGAAACAATGAGAGGGTGGTGCAGCCCTGTGCTGGAAAGGGCAGGTTCCCCAGATTAGGACTGAGAAAGGATGTGTAAAATCCTGTGAAACCTGCTTTGCTAAGAATGCTCTCAGTTAAATAATAAAGGTCCGAGTAGGAAATGAGTTTGTTTCCTAAAGTTTTGTAGCCCTTTAGCTAATAGACCCTGACTCAGAATAGGCCCTCATAGTTCTTTGTATATTATCTCTTGCTTGATTCTCACTGCCTAACAATGATTAATGAACTTTACCTGTATTCCTGTGCTAACTGAACCCGATAAAAGCCTGTCCTGGCAAGGGTCAGTGTGCTCTCCCCTCGAGAGTAGCCTTTCCCTTCTCCTCCACAGGACTTGGTAGTCCATACAAATTTGTCTTGAATCCCACCCATAATGCTGTGTACACTGCAGGCCGGTGCATGTGTCAGCTTCAAGGTAGAAGAGGGACTGACAGAGGACTGACACAGGGAGACCAGTTAGTAGGCTAGCTCGTTATCTAGGTAAAGGGTAATAATGGCATCAAAGAGGATTACTGCACAGGAGATAGAGTAGAAGCCTGGCTTACTGATCTAAAGGACAAAATATTAGAAAGGGTGATTTCCAGAATTTCCTACTTGGCAATACTGTTCATTTTGGAGTGCAACTTAAGGTATTTGATAGAGCAGTTAATATTTATAAAACTCCACCCAAGTACGTTTTGTTCACTTTTCATGGTAGACAGTTGCTGCTTTTCTTTTTTCATGTTTCATATCCATTTCCTCATCCACCCGGACTCCCTTTTGAGAACTGCCTCTGTGCGTGGTGTGCATCGTGGCATCCGACGTGCCCTCTGGAATCTGAGTTGCGAGCAGAGCCATTCCACCCCAGATCCCAACCCCATTCCTGCTGTCAAGTAGACCAGTCTGGCCACAGTGGCCTTGGTTCCTGCACAGAGCCTAGTTCCTATGGATTCTGTGAGCTTCTCTGATAGTCTTTCCACGAATTACCTTCTGCTTAAATCAGCCAGAGTAGAATTCTTTCTTGCAACTTTACATGGCACATCTAACACAAATCTGAAAGTTTCTTTCCTACAGGACACATTCAATATAAGACTCTAAATCTCAGCTGTATAGGTAAGAGTGTGAACATTTAACAAAAGCAAATCCCTCTTTTCAAATACCTGTTAAATATTAAGGTTATTTTAAGTGGTGAGGAGGGAATTTTTACAAAAAAAAGAGAATAGAGTGTTTTATTGGTAGGAATTTGGAAGTGAGACAGCCTGGTTGTCTGGGTGTTCTGTGACACAGGCACTCTGGATTATGGTAATTTTTCCAGCCAAATTATTAATTTGTAGAATCTCAGTTTCCTCGGACAGCTAATAAGAGTACTTGTGTCACAGAACTACTTTGAAGATTAAACTAATTAATACATGAAAAAATACTAAGAATACCTAATACAAGTAAGGACCCAGTATATCTTACTATGACGTAATAAAAAAAAACCAGTTTATGAAACTGGAAATATACAAAAGGAAATATAAAAGCCACAATGAAATTAAGATGAATATAATTTAGACATTTTACAAATTAAAGTCGAGTATTCAGAAAATTCACAGATTCGTAAGTTTTATTAAGGACTTTAATATTTGAATTTGCAAAATAAAATTCCACAATCACTGAAATGCTTAATTCTTCAAGGAATCTTCTCAGCTGTAAAGACTTGAGATGCTTGTCTCCTGGCCTTGAAAAGAAATTTAAAAAATCGTTACGAGAAATGAATTAATTAGAATACATATTATCATTCTAATATTAAAAAAAAAATCTGCAGTGATCAGAGGGGAGAGGAGAGAGGATAATGAGGGGAAAGGGTAAAGGGTTTACAGGATCAATTATCAAGGACATATGGACAATAACAAGGAGGGTGGAAATGGAGGAGGGAGGTGGGGAGGGTTTGGGTGGTGGGGAGGGGTGGGGGAAAAGGCAGAAAACCACTTGAACAATAAACAAACAAACAAACAAATAAATAAAGGTTCTAAGTTTATAGCATAACTGAGAAGAGTACAGAGAGCTGCTATTATTCCATACTGTATTATTAAACATGTTTCAAATGCTAAAAATAGAAAAATAAAATCACAATCTTTCATTTAAAAAAAGTAAAGCATATGAAATGAAATCTGGAATTTTTTCAAGATAATAAAAATTTCTTAAGTAAAATCACAATTCAAAATTTAACAAGAATAATATGTCTGACTTCAAGCTGTAAAAAAGTTAAATAAAATTTCAGAGAAAAACAAAACAGAAGTAAGGAGAACATCTCATTTTAAAAACGGAATAATGAGTCAAAAGTGAAAATGCTGGCTCACACTCACAGAAGAAAACAGAGAGAAGGGGAAACAGAGGGCTATGAATAGAGAAACTTGAAGAAATTATCTCACACATTATGGCCTTAACAGTGCCACTTAAAAACTTAAACATCAGTGCTATTTCTACAATTTGAGTTACAAATCAAGGCATATTATATACCAAACTAAAACAAAGTTAAATCAAGTTAAGAGTAGATGGGTCCCAAAAAGGAAACAGTGATGTAATTTACCTAGAACATATCAAAATGTGAAAAAGAATGAAAGAATATGGCTATTGAGTAGGTCTATATGTATTATTTGATTGAATTTCATTAGGAGGTACTTTTTAAAATAATTGCTCCAACATCCAGAACAGAATTTGGAATTGCTATTACAAAACATGTGTGTGGCAAAAATATGGTAATTTTAAGAGAGTTACCAGGATAAAATTTTTTGGAAAAACTAATTTACTCCTTGAGTAACACCCACATGATTATTAAAATATAATAAATCTAAGTCCAAATATGGACTTAGATAAAACATAAAATGCTGTTACATACATCTACATTTTAAGATACTTTATTTTTTTTTAATTTTTTTTTATTTAGTTACTTTTCAAGTACATTTTTTTTTATCTATTTCTCCCATCCCACCCCACCCCCCCGCCCCGTAACAGCAATCTTGTTCTGAAATTCCTACAATTTAAAATTGTAATTATTACTACAGAGAAAAAAGATGTTCTAAAAATGAGCTATAAAAACACAGATAAAAGTGAGAACATTATTTTGCCCATATTTGAAGCTGCATCTTCTTTTTAAAGCTGCATATTTCTAGCTGAAGATATAAATCAGTACATCAGTATTTGCTAAATTCCTGCAATGTATAAAGGACAGAGTAACTGTAAGGCAGGTGGTAAATAGAAAAAATTAAAACACAGCTTTTAAAGCAATATGCAAAAGAAATGTTAAGTTGGTTAAGATTTTCTTCATTTTTCAAAATATAATATCCTATCTTTTCAACAATACATTGTGAAATTGTTCACACAAAAGCTTAGAAGAAATAAAACTATGGGACTCTGTATCCTCACAGAAGAAGTAATACAGGGCAAGGCTCTATAAAGTGCCTGAACCGGACTCTGTTACTTAGTAGCTGTGTGGCTTTAGGAATGGAACAACTTCTCTGAGAATAGGCATGCTCATCTGTAAAACAAAAACGGTGACTACTTTACAGGGCCGTTGTGTTGATTAAATTAATTAATATATGTGAAGTGCTTAGGATAGCACCTAGTAAAAAGTATTATACAAACGTTACTTTTATTACTACAGTAAGTCCTCACTTAACATCATCTATGAATTCTGCGACTTTAAGTGAATGATGTATAACAAAACCAATTTTTACCATAGGCTAATTGATATAAACAAGGATTACGTTTCTATGGTATCTCATCAATGCTATTATAATAAAACAACATTGAGCCCTGGCTGGCGTAGCTCAGTGGATTGAGCGCGGGCCTGCGAATCAGAGTATCGCGGTTCGATTCCCAGTCAGGGCACATGCCTGGGTTGCAGGCCAGTTCCCAGCAGGGGACTCACGAGAGGCAACCACACATTGATGTTTCTCTCCCACTCTTTCTCCTTCCCTTCCCCTCTCTCTAAAAATAAATAAATAAAATATAAAAAAAAAATAAATAAAACAACATTGAACAAAACAATGTTACTCGAGGACCTGCTGTCTTACAGTTATAATCATAGTATTATCCCTTCTCTATCTGGCAGCACTGTACACTGTCAGCCAAGTTTTAATTCTTATGGCTGAAGATACAGCTACTCTCCATGACCCCTCCTCCCAAAAAAGAAGAGTACCGCATGTACATTTTTATTATTCTAACACTACCAAGGTCTCAGTTTCTACTTCATCTATGCTCTCAAAAGTTCTCTATATCCTGGTGAACAAACATCTTGGTACTGTATAATAATTGAAATTAACCTATAATTTTACCTAATCAAATTAATAATAGGGTAAAAAATGAATGTAATTTTGGTATTCAGGTCACTGTAAAAAAACTTAATTGAACAATCCTTGCCTTTATATCTCACACTGTGAACCTAAAAAGATTATTACAAACATTTTTAATCTTTTCCCTTATGATCTGGTTATTCTAAATGTTACTTTTTAGTCGTCTTCTCTCTTTAAAGAGAAACAAATCAATGTGAAGTACTCTGAGGGGACGTTTTTTTCTTTAAAATTCTGAGAACTATACATTTTCTAGATTTGGTATGCTACCACGTAACTTCTTTATACGAAGCGGAGGGCTTGCAATCCCTACATTTTTTTCTGTAATGTACCACTCATCACTTAACTACACTTATAAAGAGGTAACAGTATCGAAGGTAAATTCTAGAGCTGTGTGTATTCATTAAGCCCAAGTGCATAACACAGAGCCTCAGAAATCACATGAATCACACTTAATACACATTAACTGCAAGGTCAACATGAGCTAGGTTTTTCTGGATTACATTAGATTTTCTTACCCTATATCTTATATATGCTGGCATTTTTCATCACTCACCTGACATGAAAAATTAAAGTATTCATTACAAAATGAAGTATTTTATGAAGCTCTGAGAAAAGTATTTGAAAATAATTAGGTACCATTTGAAATTTAAAGATATCCATCAGCAAAATTAAATGACATAAAAACAAAATATCTTTGTCAACTTAATGATAAAGAATGTACTAGGAGATACAAAGGGATAATAATGTTGATTCTAACGAACAATTTTAAACTCTGGAGTTCAGCTTGTTTAAGCTTCACATAATAAATATTTAGATACTTACAATTTTCTCCTCTGCAGTAAGAACACCCTCTACTGCCACTATCTGGTATTGTTTATGCTTTAAATTTCCCACAAATTTCCGGAGTTGCCTGACACCGCCAGCCTCCATGTCTTGCTTTAGTAGTTTCTGCATTTCTCGAGAAGGACACCCAGGATCAAATATCAGTAGACATAATGTCCGGTTTTTTCTCTCTTCAATTCCAATAACTGTTCGACTATGACCTATCAAAAAGTAAAATAACAGCTATATATATGTGTAAGTCTGTGAAACTATTTATCCAGAGATAAATAACTATGTATACACATACTGTATACTCTCTGTGTATACAGTGTGTGCAGAAATGTGTTTAGAAAATAAACACAGTGAGTCCCACTGACATGGAGGCACCTGAGCTCTCCTGCTCCTCAGACGTAAGAGTTTTAGTTCTACTTCCTAATCGTCAGTTTTCCTTCGCTCAATTTTAGTTTTCTAAAGCTTTCATTACAAAAAATTCTCTACCATGTCATGCATGTTAGTTTTTCCTTTCTAATTCCTTGATCCTTTCAAGTATCTCAAATGAAAGGATTTGAAATTGACCTGTCATAAAACAAAACTCTAATGGTTCTAAAAGGTAAAAAGTAAATTTATATAAGGAGGGGAAAAAGTAGATGTACAGTCGTGAGCATGTGAAAACAGTTTGTTCTCGTATTATAATTTATCAATTATTATATTATTTTCCATGTGAACAACTGTAAATGTACATTTGCCCCATCCTGTATATATTGGGTTGGCCAAAAAGTTTGTTTTTTTTTTCCTATACAATGGCTCTAGCAGTGCTTAGTTGTCTCTAACTCCATTCGAAACAATTTTGTTAGGTTGTATTGTGACAGCTGTCGTATCAGCATGCATTTTAAAAAACTTATCAAAATTGGTAAATTTTTGTGTAGCCATTTTAATATTGAAGCTGGGACAAAATATGGAACATTTTCAGCATATTATGCTTTATTATTTCAAGAAAGGTAGAAACACACAAAAATTTGTGCAGTATATGGAGAAGGTGCTATGACTGATTGAACATGTCAAAGGTAGTGATTTCTCACTGGACGATGCTCCACTGTCGGGCAGAACAGCTGAAGGTGATAACAATCAAATCAAGACATTAACTAAGAACACTCAACGTTCTACCACAAGGGAGAGAGCTGGCATACTCAAGATATCCCAATCAATAAAGTTATTGAAGAAAATAAAAAATGTGTCTTTTACTTTATGGAAAAACTAAATTAATTTCTTGGCCAACCCAATATTTTGACTTTACTTTTGCTGAAATAAAAAGCCCAGTGACAATTTTACCCAAAACAAAGGGACATTCTACTCTCTTAGATAAATTCAATCTTCTGAGAAATATAAAATATGCTTTCAACTTTAAAACAAAAAGTTCTCATAACTCCCAATGCCCAATCAACCATCGATTTAAAAAGTACTTGGGTCCTGTTTTGTATGGGGCACGCTGTTATATGTGGAAAAAGATTTGTGAAGCGAAGGGAATTGGTGGTACTTAGTAGCAATGTATAGTTCTATAATAATTGGACATAACTCTTATGTAATGCTAGGCACAAATAATTTTCGGTGAAAAATATATGAACATTTAACATCCTGCAATGAATACGAATAGTAACTATATTTTACACATCAATGTTAGGCACAGAAAGGTTACATGACTTCCTCAGCTAGTAAGTCAAAACTGAGATTCAAAACCAGACAGCCTTGTGAAGCAATCCTCACCTTCACGTGTCTAAACACAGCCCAAAATGTCACGGAATATAACACTAAATACCCTGCTTCTGTAGAAAACCTACTGGAAGTCAAAAGACTTGGGCTTTAGAACTTATAAAACTAAGTTTTTACTCCTTTAGCCCAATTTAACTCAAATTTATATTCTCCTGGTAATCCCAAATTCTCCAGTGATTTTTGGCAAATGAGATATATTAAGATCATTTCATTCAGCATTATGATAGACAGGAAAATGGTTTCCCAAAGATGTCCACATCTTAATCCCTGAAACCTGTGAACATAGTATTTACAGGCAAAAGGAACTCTGCAGATATGGTTGAGACTATGAATCAGGAGATGTGGAGATTTTCATGGATTATCCTGATGGGCCAAATCTAATCACACGAACCCTTAAAAGTGGAGAGCTTTTTAGGGCTGTATCAGAAAAATGAAATGTGAAGACTCAGTGGCCATTACTAGCTTTGAAGATGGAGCAAGGGGCCATGAGACAAGGAATGTGGTGGCATCTGGAACCCGAGAACAGCCCTCAGCTGACAGTCAGCAAGGAAGAAGGATATCAGTCCTACAGCCACAAGGAACAGACTGCTGCCAACAACGGAATAGGCAGGAAGGGACTATCTCCTAGACCTTGAGAGGAAATTTCAGCCTGCTGACCTCTTAGTTTTAGTCTTGTTAGACCCAAAGCAGACTTCTAACCTAAAAAAGTGTAAGATAATAAATCTGTGTTGTTTTAAGCCACAAAGTTTGTGGTGATTTGTTATGTTATCAATAGAAAACTAATACAAGCATCTGGAGCGAACATTTATAAGTGTCTACATGACTTCTCCTTTTAGGGACTAGGAAAGTCGGCTAACTCTTTTGCCTTAATTAAAGAATATTAAAGAGCATCACTTTATGTCCAGAGTGTATCATCCTGTTGCATGTCTCAGGTAATGACACACACACTGGACACACCTACACAGGTACTACAAGTGCTGCCAGCTCAATGCTCGAATTTCAATATGGAGGGCTCAACCTTTACAACATACGTTCCTAAATGATGAAATGCCCAGCATTTACTTTTCCTTATTCCTGTCAATCCAGATCCTCCGTTCCAAAAACTTTATCACATATGCACCTGCCAGGCACTACTACGGGCAGTAAGTGATACGGGAACAAACAAAACAAATTCCTGCTGTCGTGGAGCTTAAATTACAGTAGGAAGAAATACTTGATAAACAAGATAAATAAGTATATATTATGCTATATATATTTTTTAAAAAGCTGCGATAGAACTAGTGGAAGGAGGTTAGGATAATGAGATGAGATTTTAAATGAGGTGGTTAGGGAAGGCCTCACTGAAGTGACATATGGGTGAAGATGGGGGGTGGGGGATGAATAAACAATAAAGGAAGTGAACCAGGCAGCCCTGAAGATACAGGGATATCATCTTTCATTACCCAGAAATGAACTGTAATGAAAATATAACTATGAAAATCAGACAGACTATTGTCAAAATACTGCCCTCTCCTTTATTATCAAAATTGTAACCTGTCCTAAAGGAAAAGCCAACTCGTCCTATAAAGAGATAGTCTTATAAACTACACTTATTACCTATGAGATTTACTAACCTTGATGCTGAAGATAGATAGGAGGTTTAGATGTACAAACTACTTTTGGACCCCCTTCCCTCTCTGAAGAATAATAGTTCAATATCCATTCAAATAAACGAGGGTGTGTACCCAAAGGACCAGTTGACTTGTGAAAATCCACAATACGGCACCTACAAAAAGAGGACAAAATAGATTATTTAGAAAATATTTTTTAAATTATTTTCATCAGTGGAGTTATCAAATGGAAAAAATTTTTAGTTTAGAACTAATTCTATCTTATCTTCCTAAGAAGAAAAAATATACAAATTTATTATTTACATAGAGAACTATCATTTTATATGAGGGAATAATTATTTAAATAACTTAATAAGGTTAATGACTGATCTAAAAGTTACAAAGATTTTCTGACATAAAATCTCTATGAGTAGTAAATAAGAATCATATTTTATCTTTAAAAGTCATCAATGTACAACTTGAGACATAGCTTTTACTCTAATGCCTCTGAACCTGATAATCAATTAGAAGCAGAATTCTAATTTTAATTCAACAGCCATTCATTCTATCAAAATATATCCTGAATATTTTTCCTGTCAGCTCTCCAAAATTCTAATAATAAATGAGAAAAGAATACCTGTAAAAATCACAGAAAAACCTGGATGTACCCCTATCTATATGTCTGTCTGTCTATCATCTTCTATTTGTCACCAGACTCTGGAGGTGGTATTGTTTTCTTGAAAGGAAGTCAACCTCAAATAAACAAAATCATTTTAACCAGAAACACTGTTTATATTCTTCAACAACTATTTTAAAAAGGTCAGGTACAAACAAAAGCAATTAAAACCTTTATTTTTTCACTTTAAAATATAGCACATATATCCTGTCCTTATCTCTCTTGGCAACAAAATCTTCAAATACACCCAAACTGGAATGGTTGTTAATCTTGAACTAGTAAATTTACTGCTGATAACTTTCAAACTGCTTACTACTGAGTTTTAAATGTTGAAATGAAGTTTTGTATGACTGTTAAAAGGTAGAAACAACCATACAAAGAAAAGGTAGAGACAGTGCTCGGGTTAGCAGTTGACTGCATACTGATATTTAGAATGCGAACAGTAACCAATTCACTAGTGCAAAAGGAAGACATGTAAGTAACTAGTAAAGAAATTCAGGGTTTAGTAATAAAAGGGCTTTCTTAAAAGGAACGCTAAAGTATTTCAGGTACCAAGAATAGAAGCTGGATATATCAGATATTTTAGATGGAAATTTAAATTTTCCTTTCCTTAAAACTTATTTAAAAACATGATATAGGATATGTAATATAAATGTGTAAACTTATTGGCAAAGAGAAAAAAAGGAAGAAAGAAATTTAGAGGGCATAAAAATAGTTCCTTCAATTTAAGTAATTCAAGAAAGTTATTATACACATTCGTTTTTTTATTTAAAATTTTAAAAATAGCTCCACCTCTAAATCTAATCAATTGATATGGTACAAATGGTGTACAACACTGGCTAAATTACCTGGAAACAAACATAAAAGAAAATACAGATTCAGGATGCTTAGGGCAAACTTTCCTTTCAAGATGCTCCCACAAGTGTATATCTTTGCACCCTCTTGAGAGTCCAACAACATAATAATGAAGGAAAAAGAGATTTAAACACCCAGAGACAAGGAGAATGAGGACAGATAAGAAACTGCCACACAATTCTAAAAAATGGAAAACTGCATTAAACTGAATGTAAAGACACAAAGACAATTGTCTTAAAACCCCAGAGAGGCTGAAAGGTTAGAGGCACAAGATATTGGGGAAAGTAGCAATGGGAATAAAAATTGGAGATTAATTGTAAATTTGCATAAAGAAGGCAAATCACTCCTCACCCCCCTCATTCCTTCTACCCCCCACCACGCACACAAAGGCAGGAGCTGTCGCAGCACAGTGGAGAACTCTTCTTTGAATGGCTTCTGAGAAAAGATCTCCCTCTGTACGGGTATTTGAGAATTGCCCAACCAAACAGCAAGTTTCCACCTAAGACTCCTTAAACAAAGTCTGCTGATCTGCAAGCTCCCTGCAATCCTACAGGACCTCCAAGCAGCTTTTCAGAACCTCATTCCTCACTCTAGGAATAGACAATTAAGGATTTAGAAAAGTTAGAATGCCTTCAAAATGGAAAAAGACTAAAATGAATAGATATGAAAACAAATTAACATGGAGGAAACAGAAAAATGCAAGAAATAGAAAGATGCAAAATGTTGGAAAAAACCTGTGCAATCATAAAAAAATGTGATGCTATAAAATTGAGCCTTAGAATTAAATACATGATTGCTAAAGCAAACATTTCAATAGAGTAGCTGGGAGGTAGAGCTGAGTGAATCTAGACAGAGTAAAACAGAAAGGAAATATAAAAATGAGACACGACCAATCAAATTACGACAGTTAAACTGGTAGCTGTTACTCCATTCCAGTCATAATTCCAAGCACTTTACTGCCTCATTTAATTATCACTATAACTCTGTGAAGCAGTTACTCTTTATGTATTCTTTTGTCAGCGGTGGGACTGGGATAGAAATACTCTGTCAACAAGGTAAATAAGGGTTAAGTCCCAGAGCAGGTAGATTGGAAAGCCTGTAGCATTTACAGGCAGTCTGACTCCAAAGTCCAGCTTTTAAACACTAGACTGAGATCTTACAACTCACCATTTCAGACTCGGAAGGAAAAACAAATGCTCAACACAATATATCAAAGCCCCAGAGTGAAATGTCATATTAGCAGGACTAAAAAAAAAGATGCAATAAACTTCCAAAGAAAATAAATAGATTATATATTTAGGAGTGAAAATCATGTGGCATCTTTTCTTTTCAAAAAAACTTACGTGTTTCTCTTTTTAAAGGCTTTTATTTATTTTTAGAGAGAGGGGAAAGGAAGGGAGGGAAAAAAAGAGAGAAACATCAATGTGTGGCTGCTTCTCACGTGGCCCCCACTGGGGACCTGGCCTGTAACCCAGGCATGTGCCCTGACTGGGAATTGAACCAGTGACCCTTTGGTTCACAGCCTGTGCTCAATCCACTGAGCTATATCAGCCAGGGCTTATCTTTTCAATAATACTAGTTGCTAGAAGTCAACAGAGTAAAAACTTAATATGATCTGAAAATAATTTTGAATTTAGAATAATATAATATCATTTAAGTACTAGGGACTAGGCACTTTTTTTTTTAGAAAGTTGATGAAGGAAGTGTTTAAGCAAAAGAGAGTAATCCTAAAAGAGAAAGACATGGAATTTAGGAAAAACCCGTCTCCAGTCTCCAATTCAAGAAAAAAGTAACGAAGTGCTGCATATCGGCCATGGAGAGGACCTAGGCGTGAAATAACCCAGACCGGAGCAAAGAGGACGGATGGCTACTCCTTCACCCCTCCACGGAGGGGTCCAGGAGTGGGCATGCCGAATGCTCGGAAAAACTTAAGACCACGATGTAGTGAAACAGTAAACAGGAAAAGGAAAGGCAATTTTTAACTCAAGGGACAAACGCTAAAACCTTCAGGAAAGAAAATGAAATCAGTGATGACTAATGTTTAAACAGTCATAATGTAAACTCAATGAACACTGAGATTCAACCATGTTAGAAGGATTGTGAGTGAACAAGAGGGAGATATAAGGGGAACGCAGCAGTGTCTAAAACTGATAAACCAAAAAAAATAAATAAAGCCATGAAACCATGTTATTTAAAAACAATGGAAGTGACAGCTGCCTCTAAGAAACGGGACTTGATAAGAGAGAGGAACATGAAATAGGGAATGAATTGCTGGTTTTCATTATAAACTTTTTAGTGCTACTTAAATTTTATTTTGTAACTACCACTTTGATAGAAAAACAAACACACAAAAAGGAGCAATAAACCCTGCCAGATATGACAGTAACAGTAACCTGGCTTTTTAGGTACATACTTTACCCTTAGGGAGGTCAGAAGGGTATATATTTCACACGCTCCGATCCAGGCCTTCGTTCCCTGTAACTTGTTATTGAGTTGAGAGGCACCCTGAGGATCGAAACCTTCCCTCCACGCATCTTCAATCATAGACTGAATTTTTGGAATACAAGGAATTGACATACCTAAAACCATACAAGCAAACATGTTACATGACAGGTGCTAAAGTGCTGAATAGTATCATTTAGCAATATACCATTTATTCTAGGGGAATCAACAAAACAGTTTTTAAGATGATTGTTGCCCGACATCTTCTTCTCTTTTTCAAAAAGACTTTATTTATTCATTTTCAGAGAGAGGAAAAAGTGGTTGCCTCTCACGCATCTCCTAGTGGGGGTGCCCACAGCCCAGGCATGTGCCCTGACCGGGAATGGAAACAGTGACCCTTTGGTTCGTTGTTTGAGTGGCAGGCCGGCACTCAATCCACGGAGCCACACCAGCCAGGGCTGACATCTTCTATTGTACCAGCTTCTCTTCCTCCAATCAGAATTCAGGATTTTAATGTCAATATCCCCCCAAAGACTTCTTTATTAAAGTTATTGATTGTGCCCACTATATATACGAATTCATTCTATATTATATGTACTTCCTCAGATGACAACGTCAAAGTATTGCCCTTCACATACCTTTCAGGCAATCATCATAAGCATCATTTTGTAACAATGATGACAGGAGCATCTGGAAATTCCTGTAACCGCAACCCCAGCCTTTGTCACCAAAAGATGAATGAAAGTGATCCAACACTGTAGAAAGCCACACACGCCTCACATCTGGGGCAGCATTCTGATAATACCTATAAAGTGCTTCAACAATTCCTAAAGTAGGAAAGAGATTTGGAAGATTTAGAAGAATTAGTTACCTTCCTATGGCTGTCTAACATAGTTCTAATATTAAACTGTCCCTCAAGCACCACACCTAAACCCTGTCAATTCCATCTCGTCCTTTTTTTTCCCTGTAAATTTTAGAGAGAGGAGAAGAGAAAAAAAGAGAAAGAAACATCAATGTGAGAGGAAAACAATGATTGGCTATCTTCCATATGTACCCTGACTGGGAACTGAACTTGCAACCCAAGCACATGCCCTTAGTGGGAATCAAACCAGCAACCTTTTGGTTTGCAGGACAATGCCCAACTAATTGAGCCACACTGGCTGGGTCTTCTTTATCTTTTTAGTGATAGAACCTCAGTTCATGTCCTGCTTTGCCATTAAATCAATCACTTCTAAATTTCAAGGCAGCTCATCAAAAGGGCATATTATATGATAGTGCTGTGTTCTATAATCTTTTACTTTTATACTATTTTAAATTATATATAAAAAAGTGGTTCCAGAGTAACTTTAAAACAAGTGCACAGCCCTGGCTGGTGTGGCTCAGTGGAATGAGTGTTAGCCTGTGAACCAAAAGCTTGCTGGTTCGATTCCCAGACAGGGCACATGCCCATGCTGTGGGCTAGGTAACCAGCTGGGGCTGTGTGAGAGGCAATAGATCGATATATCTCTCACACATTGATGTTTCTCTCCCTCTTTCTCCCTTCCTTCCCCTGTCTCTAAAAGTAAGTAAATAAAATCTTAAGATATATGCATAAATGGAAATGAAAGAATGACACAAATTAAAAACAAATGGAAGGTGGAATATTTCCCCCCTGTCCACCCCAGTGGAATCATGTTACCCATTTTCCCGGATCTGCTTTTCCCCAGAGAAACTTCTTATGTGAAGACCCTTAGCAAAGGGCACATGGAGAAAGTGCTCCATACTTACTAAGTTGGTGCTGAGAAATATGAGCAGTAAGAAATTTAAGAATTGCTACAAATAAGGGGAAAATATTTGATCCATACCTTCTCTTTGTCTCACACACATATGTGCAAATAAATTCCAAGTGGATTAAAGCCAAAATAGAAAAATAAAAGTATGAATATTTAAAGAAAATGAAAAGAAATATATATTTATGATCTAAAAGATGGGGAGTTTCTTAAACAAGAGACTTGAGATACAAATAATGGGAAAGATTGAGAAATCTTATGTTCAAATTTAAAACTCTGCATGAGACATCATATGTAAAAATACTAAAAATGGTGTCTTATGAGCCAGTGATTCTACTTCTGGATATATATCTGAAGAAATGCAAAACACGAATTCAAAAGAATATATGCGACCCAAGTGTCCATCACTGGATAAGTAGATAAAAAAGCTGTGGTATGTATATGCAATGGAGTATTACTTGGCCCTATAAAAAAATGGAATCCAACCACTTGCTAGAGCATGGATGGGCCTACAGGGCACTATGTTACAATGAAGTACATCAGTCAGAGAAAGAGAGATACCATATGATTTCCCTTGTACGTGGAATCTAAAGAGCAAAACAAATTAACAAATAAACTTGCCAGACTCAGAGATACAGAGAACAGACTGATGACAGCCAGGTTGATGACAGACTGATGAGGCTGGGGGATGGGTGAAAAAAAGGGAAGAGATTAAGAAGTCCAAATTGGTAGTTACAGAACAGTCACAGGGATATAAAGTACAGCATAGGGAATACAGTCAATAATATTGTAATAACTGTGTATGGTACCAGGTGGGAACTGGAAATATCAGGGGGACCACTCTGTAAAGGATGATTAGCTTACCACTATGCTGTACACTTGAAACTAATACAAAGTAATACTGACTATAAACTGTAATTGAACGTTAAAATGAAAAAATACATACCATATACAAAATTTAAAGACAAAAAAATTACAGACTTGAAGAAAATATTTATACGTCATAAAATCAGCAAAGATTTAGAATCCTGAATACTAAAAGGAGTCCCACAAATTAATACGAAAAACAATCCAATAGAAAAAGGACAAATGAATGGAATAGGTTATTTACTAAAGCAACTCCTGCCTCAGGAGTAATCAAGGAAATGCAACGATACAGTTGCTCAGCACAGCTGTGCTCTTCCAAGTGTGCTGAGCAATGCAGCAGCCATTACCTACGTGGGGCTACTGAGCGCTGGAAACGCAGCCTGGCCCTGGGCGTGCTGTGCCCAAGACAAAATACACGCTGGATTCTGACGGATGCACAAAGACTGCAAAGTACCTCGTTAACAGTTTTTAATGTTGCTTACATATTAAAATACTATTAGGAACCGAATGGACTTAAAGTATTAAATTAATTTTTCGGTCCTTTTTACTTTTTCTAATGTTAACTACTGAAAACTTAAAATTATATTTGTGGCCCACTTATATTTGTATTAGATGGCATTTATCTAGAACATAAGAAGCACTTAATAAAAACTGTTTTAAATGGTTAATTTTCAAATACGAAGTAAATTTACACAATATAAAAGTGAATTACTATAAAAACAAGTTTAGAAGTTTTGAAACAACGCATCTTAAAAAATATTTGAACACAGTCAAACCTAAGACTATATAAATGTGGATTATGAAAATTAGGCAAACTTCCAGTAACTTCGATTATTATTTCAGTAATATAGATAATATTCAAACCATGGCTTTGGTGTGTAAGTACTCACCAGAAGTTCTTGTTTTTCCATCATCAATACCAACAGCTAGTGATTCCATCATGTCGGCTTTCCGCCTGTGAAATTCAGATGGGGGCATTCTTCCCCTGTTCACTTCTCTCTCCATACTTTGGAGTTGCTGTTGCTTGTACCCTCCAGAATTGTCTAAACCATATTGTCTCTATTGAACATAAAAACAAATAACTTAATTTTCATGTCCCTTTATGTCTACATTTGTGGAAGGAGACTTATCACAGTTTTATTTATCTGAAAATACATTTTGAAACATTCTGGTTTACAGACTTTTATAAAAGTCAACTTCAAGATTTTTGTGAAAAATAGTCACGCACACACACACAATCCCTGCGTTAGTAACAGCCTTTTTCTAGAAACAACTATCATGGCAAGAGACTTGCTTTTCTTGTAGTAGGGAAAGTAGACAATCCTGTCTTCCTACTAGAACTGCAAAAGGCAGATGAATTCTGAACATACTGCTGATTTTTTCAAGGAAACCTGTCAGTACTTGATATTGGGTTCCCAGGTGAGCCTAAAAAAACCTACTTAATTCATAATTCATTCAGGCATTCATTCTACATAATGGATGAACTGTTTTGGCACACTGAACAGAGAATCTCAAATATGTATAAAACAGCCTTCTTCAAAAGAGTGTCTGAGATCTATACAACTAACTTGCAAAGTTACATAATAAAATTAAATTCACTTTAATATTGGAAACTTTTTGTATTCATAATGTTCAAAATTACATTAGGCAAGAAGACTTGGTAAAAGCCAAATATTTTGCAAGTAAATGAATTAGCAATGTGAAGAATAGCTTAAATTAGATATTTCGAAGTAAGAATTAAGTTACACTGTTCCTTAGGCCCTGATCCACTGAAACCCGCAGAGCAGAGAGACAGCGGAACAAGGGATGTTCAGGGCTCTGCCCTGCCTCAGTGCCTAGACAGACCAAGTCGTGTAGCAAGGGGCCAGGATACATTCCCACTATCTTCCCTGAAAACTGAACAGCGCTTCCAGGAGGTGCCCCAGGGTTTCCACTGTCCCAATTGCACCAGAGGCCCCTCTGGGGGCAGGTGGAGAAGGTACTGGCAGTCCCCTTGGGTCATTAAATGAACCACTCCTGGGCTGTGAGTGGATGCAAAGCTAGCACAACAGAACAGTAGGGACCAGCCAAGCCTGCAGGGGACAGCCACAAACTGTGGATCACTCACAGTCTCCAACAGGATGCCTGGGGCCAGACTAGGACATCATCTGACATTCCCAGGGGCAGATCCAGACAGAGAAGAGAGCAGTAAATACTGGATTCTAGGGGGATGAATTCCACTGCGGTCTTCTTCAGTATTTGCGTTATTCTCTCTCCTGCACAGCTTAACATTCATTTCTTTTCCTTTAAGTTTGTGCCTATTATTTAACTAGTTTTTTAATTTTAGTTTATTTCAAATCTCATAGTTTGCTCCTCCCTTCTCTTACTCATTTTACCTTCTTTATTCCTCTTATTTTTATTTTAAATTTTATTTTTTCTCTGGCTACCACTTGTTTCTATTGTACACTCTTACAATTTCTCCCCACTCCAGCCTCTCAAAACCATTTTTCCTGTCATTACTTATCTCACATTCTTCACTGTTTTTAAAATATCAGTATTCTCTCTCCACCTTTATCAGTCTTCGTTGGTTGGTTGTTGATATGGTGGTTGTTGCATTTCTTCCATTTTATTCCTAGATCTTCACTATTTTTGTATTTCAAATCTCAAATTTTAAAACTCAAAAAATTTCAAATACATGGAGATTGAATAACATGCTATTAAAGAATGAATGGTATACAATGAGATCAAGGAAGAAATCAAAAAGTATCTTGAAATAAATGAAAATGAACACACAACAGCCCCAAACCTATAGGACACAATGAAGGCAGTCCTGAGAGGGGAGTTCATAGCAACGCAGGCCTACATTAATTAAAAAAGAAAAATCTGAAATAAACAACCTAACCCTACATCTATAAGAACTAGAGGAATGACCACCAACAGAACCCAGAGCAAGTAGAAGGAAAGAAATAATCAAGATCAGAGCAGAATTAAATGACATAGAGACTACAAAAACAATGTAAAGGATCAATATATCCAGGAGCTGGTCCTTTGAAAAAGTAAACAAAATTGATAAACTTTTAACTAGACTCATCAAAAAAAAGGAAGAACCCAAATAAATAAAGTCAGAAATGAAACAGTACATGTTACAACCAATGCCACAGAAGTATGAAGGTTTATAAAAAATTACTATGAACAACTATGTGCCAAGAAATTGGACAAACAGGGCAAAATGGACAAACTTCTAGAAACGTACAATCTTCCAAAACTGAACCAAGAAGCAGCAGAAAGCCTGCCTAGGCTGGTAACACCTGGTGAAATTGAAGCCGTACTCAAAAACTCCCGGTACACAAAAGCCCTGGACAGGATGGCTTCACTGGTGAATTTTACCAAAGATTTAAAGAAGAACACAGTAGTGTTATTTACAATAGCCAAGTGCTGGGAGAAACCTACGTGCCCATCAGTGAATGGGTGGATCAAAAAACTGTGGAACATTTACGTAATGGAATACTATGCAGCAAAAAGAAAGAACTCTTACCCTTCGTGACTGCATGGCTCGAACTGGAGAACTAATGCTAAGTGAACTAAGCCAGGTGATGAAAGACAAATACTGTATGATCTCATCTATAAAAGGAACCTAATGAACAAAACAAACAAGCAAAATAGATCCAGAGGCATGGAAATAAGGAACAGACTGACTGCAACCAGAGGGGAGGGGGATAACAATGGAAAGAAGGGGAAGTGACTAGTCAAGGGACATGTATGAATGACCTGTGGACAATTAGAGTGAGGAATGACAATGGGAGAAGGGGGTGGGCTGGGCAGAGGACAGGAAAGGGGGAAAAACTGGGACAACTGTAATAGGACAATAAAATACTTAATAAAAAAATAAAATAATTTCTTCATGGAGTAGTTGTAAGGATTTTGGGATTTAAACATGAAGTGCTTACCCCAGTACATGACCAGAATGAGTACTTACAAATGGTGCCTGTTATGAAATATAAAATATTGACTATGAGTTAAAAATATTTAGTATAATAACTAGGACAAAATACGCTGAAGTCCTGACAGCACAAGTGAAAATTAAGAATTCTACCAGTATTATAACAGCTACAATCGACGTACCTGCAGCTTCCGAAATTCGTCCCTTTCTTGTATTGATTCTTCAGATCTCCTCTTCTGGTCTTCTTCTTGTTGCAGGTGGTGAGCCAGTTCCAGATCTCTAGAACACTGGACTCTCTCCATGCCTGGTTGACATTTTCAGTGTTTAGAATAACTCATCAAAGTTGAAGTCAAAGCTTATCTATTAGGTGCCTATATTTATATATATATTTAAATGGAGTAAATGCAATCACTTTGCCATTTGTACATGTCTGTGATGTCACAAAAACAGTATGTACAAATCTAGCAGAACTTAATCTATAGGGGTATAAACTCCATTTAAATCACTAGTATTCACTGAGTGTCTAGGTTGTGACAAGGACTTCTCATTAATTACCTCATTTGGATTCATTAATTATCCCATTGGTTTCTGGCCAGTATCTTATCTTCTCCACCTTCCAATGTGGTGGTTTATGTATTTGAATATTCCTTCTTTCCTTTCAAATCTCTCAGCTTCCACTACACCTTCCTATTTGGTTCCCACATCTATTGTTGGAGATATGCAATTCGCAACTGATTTTTAGTGTACTTCTGAGGCTACCTGCAGTGATATATTCAGACCGTATCTTTGTCTCATTATTTACTATGGGCTCCCAGAATAATTTATGTACCCAGAGAAAACCTACCATAACAAAGTATGAATGATAAGATATTAAGCTTCACAGGGTTATTCTTCTACAGTAGTTGGTAAAGAACAACAGAGTAGAAAACTGTTCTGCCCTGGCTGGTGTGGCTCAGTGGATTGAGCACTGGCCTGTGAACCAGTAGGTCACTGGTTCAATTCCCAGTCAGAGCACATGCCTGCACTGTGGGCCAGGTCCTCAGTTTGGGAGTGTGTGATGTTTCTCCCCTTCTTTTTCTCCCTCCCTTTCTCTGAAATATAAATAAAATCTTTAAAAAACATTGTTCCACCTTTGCTATAGTACTCATCTTGGGATTCATTTGAGTGAAGTTTAAGTGAGCAGGTAATGCCGTCTGCCCACAGAGACAGCTGAGTGGTGGGTACTAGGATCACTGGTGCTGGACACTAAAGGCCCTGCATTAACAGGTGGTATCTACGTACCTAAGAAACTGAAATCTGCCCTGGCTGGTGTGGCTCAGTGGACTGAGTGCAGGCCTGTGAACCACACGACAGCAGGTTTGATTCCCAGTCTAGGGCACATGCCTGGGTTGTGGGCCAGGTTCCCAGTAGGGGGTGCGTGAGAGGCAACCACACACTGATGTTTCTCAAACTATCTCCTTCCCTTCCCCTCTTTAAAAATAAATAAAGTAAAATCTTTAAAAAAGAAAAAGAAACTAAAATCCATTAGAACACAATTGGTTTCTCTGAGGGTCTACTTTATATTTCATTTCAGTGGGACTGTGCAACTCACATAAGATTTTTCAGCTTCAAAGTCACCGTAGTGATTATTTAAATACATTAAAAAATAGGAGACAGAGGAAAACTTTTTGTAGAGTTGCATATAAAACTAATAAGTAGTAATGTAAGAAACTGGGCTAGCAGCTGGAAAGGCACTTGAAAAACCTTTGCGTCACACAGTTCACCTTCTTTTTAAAAATTATAAATGCCACATGGCAGCTTCCTTCCCAGTTTACCAACAATTCTGGCTGACAAAATGCTAAATTTGGTTACTTCTAGGTGCTCAAAAAACGACCTCAACTCACAAATCCAACAGATTAAAAAAAAATGCACACTATTTCTTTGCCTTCTGAATATTGTTGCTCCAGGGCAAAACTCGGGATGCACACTTCTGTTCCATCTTTCGGTCACAACAGTTTATCCTTCACAATTTCTCTGCAAAAAAACTTCTTCTAAAAAGGTGGAACTAAAAAAAGAAAAGGTGGAACTATATTCGCATTATTTAAAGGGACAGATTAACTTTTAACCAGTGTGCTTCCCCCTCTACATCACTAATCTAAAAGTTAGATGTGTCCTAGGAAGTGGAAATTAAATAATGACATTCTTATTTTAAAACACATACACATACCTTGTCTAAAGTTGCTTTCTTCCAAATGCAAGTCAACATGTTCCTGGAGAATATGGTAATTTGTACAGATGAGCCCACACATAGGACAGTCATACAGTGGCTGGTCACAGTCTGTATTAGAGATAATTCAATTGGTTTTATTTTTAAGAGGCCTAGATTTTCACCCCGAGTCAAAGAGTGTTTTGGTTTCATGCCAGAAAATTTCTACAACCTGAAAAGTTGAGTGTTTCAATGCGCCTCCTGTCTGACGGTTTGAAGCCACAGTTTAGGTGACAGACATTTACGGACACGCTCCAGCACACTCTTTGCCTACTTCCATCTTCTTTATTTTTTACCAGCACATAAGAGATTTTTCTGGTTTGTAAGTTTAAATACAAATAAATAAAATATCTATTTTCCCATTAAAAAACAAAGAAAAAAGAAAAGATTTTCCTCAGACACTTAAAAATTTAAAAACAAAAAGGAAAAATTGGATGCAGCACATGTATTCTCAATTTAGGAAAGAACTTGGAAATATTTAGTTATATTATCTGTATGATAATAATAAAGCTGCAGAGAGTACTCAGATAAGGGAAAACACTAAAATATTCTTCTTTTAGTTTTGAGATATAATTGACACATAGCAGTCAGTACATACTGTATTTTTCGGACTATAAGACGCACCCTTCCCCCAAACTTGGGAGGAATAACAGTTGTTAATGCTACTGTTGAGTTCTGTTTACATTTACATTGGTGAAATATTATGTTATTTATGTTATTAAATATTTTTACCACATTTTTTGCTTCAAAAATTTTCCCCCTACTTTCCTCCTCTAAAACCTAGGTGCGTCTTATGTTCTGAAAAATACGGTAAGTTTAAGGTGTGCAGAATAATGACTTGACTTACACATATTGTGAAATGATTACTACAATAAGTTCAATTAGTGTCCATCATATCATATAGAAATAAGAAAAATAATGTTTTTTCCCCATTGTGATGAGAACTTTTAGAGTTTACTCTCTTAGCAACTTTTAAACATACCATATAGCAGTGTTAGTTATAGTCAGCACATTGTACATTACAACCTCAAAACTTACTCATCCTATAACTGAAAGTTTGTACTTTTGGCCACCTATATTCAATTTCCTCACCACTCACCCTTGCCTCTGGTAATCACAAATTGAATCTTTTTATCTGAGTCTTTTTATTTTTTTGATTCCACATATAAGTGAGATTGTGTGGTATTTGTTTTTTTACATCTAACTTATTTCACTTAGTACAATGCCATCAAGGTCCATCCATATAAACACAAAAGGCAGGATTTCCTTAGTTTTATGGTTAATATTCGACTGTATATATGTACAACATCTACTATTCACTAACCTCATTAAACAAATAAAAGTTCTTTGTAGTTGGATTTAAAGCTATTTTTCTACTTCCAGAGTCCAGATGGAAGATGAGCATAATCACAATCCTTTCTTACCACTATAATAAAAAAAAATATCAGCGACAAACGTAAGATCTATACCCAAAACAAGAAAAGTAGAAAGGAAAATTAAGATGTAGGGGCCAGTCTAGAAAATGGACTTCATGGACTAAATGCTCATCATTCTCCAAGTAAGCGGTGAGATACAGAATTCAAGCATTCGGCATCAAGCTAGGAATTTGGATTCTCCTACCTAGCTGGGAGCAGGAAATCAAAGAGTTGGATCCATCAACCAGCACTGAAGGTAGGTAGTACAGTGTGTCCAGGACAGAAGCAGGGGTACCTCTCAATACCGAGGTACCAAGACTGGGCACCAAAGAGGAACTCAGATACACACAGCGAAAGCCTGAGTAATACATACATTAAGGTTTGGTTTGGAAGTGGAATAACTACATTCAGAAATTAGTTCAGACTGCTGCATAGCTGTTTATTTCTGTACACAAAATGAATGTGACTAGTCTCATTTTAGCTGGATCAGCTGACTTTAAAACTGAACTAAATCATTCTGATATGTTTGATCAGAGGTTGCAATCAAGTCTTAAAAATGAGTTGATATATTCTACAGTGGTGAAAATGAAAAATAAGGTAGTGAGCTACCCACTGATATCCTCTCCAAGGTGAAATTTATTCAAAAGAAGAATGAATTAAACAATACCTTGGTAAGAACTCTGACACAGACAAGTACTGTTTTGGAGATGAAGATATGCTACAGGTTTTAGAAGTAAAAGCTGTAGAGATTCTAACAGTTTATGAAAATCTGGATAAAAAGAGATACATTTCTCATTGCCAAGGCACATAAGGGGGGAAACTTCTTAATCTAAATGTAGAACAAGACGAGTATACATTTTATTTCACAGGAAGGACAGAAATATGAGCTAACTGAGAACATGCTACTGTTGGAATGGTCTGCTAACCACTATAAAAAAATTTGGAGCCCTGAAATTTCACAACAAGCATCTCAGTGTGTGAAAGGCTTTATATGAATTTGAGTTATCATGCAGTACCAAGTAGATTTCCAGGGAATGGAATACCAAGAAGGAAACGTAATTTTTTTTTTACTTTGATGAATACCAGGTAGTTTTCACGAGGTCTGCAAAACGTGCTTCACCCTCCAGCATCCAACCCAGGGAGCACATCCCTTGTGGAAGCCACACAGATCCCTGCCTTACAACTGGAATATTTCCAGAATTTAATACGCAAGGATTGGATGCTGAAAAGAAGACAAAACCATTCCTAACCCTACATTTTGGTTTGTTGTGGTGTTAGCATAGCAGCCTACAACTAAGTTCTTAAACACCACTTTGGATTAATTTAAAAAAAAATCCAGTTTCTGCTTTTATTTGATGGCAAAATTGGCCACTCTTGCATTTTATGGGGAGAAAAAAGATATTTTTTAACCTTCATGCATACCAGTGAAAATACATTTGGTGCTGTAAATCTGAATGCTAACAATTAAAATCATTAAGTGAAAGAATTTCTAGAGATAAAACACCCACAAAAGCATTTGATGGGCTCATTAGTAGGCTGGATATGGCTAAAGAAAGTTTGAACTTGAGGATATCACTAGAGGTATTTCCCAAACTGAAAAGAGAAAAGAAACCAAAAAAAAAAAAAGGAAAAAAAGAACTAAATATCTGAAGAACTCTTAAAAATCAATAGGAAAAACAACAACCAGATTAAAATATGGGCCAAGGACCTCCATACACAACTCACCAAAGATATACAGGTAAGGTGAAAAAAAGCATATGAAAAGATGTTTATCATATATACTAGGAAATTGCAAATTAAAACACACACATTAGAATGGCCAAAATCTGGAATACTGAAAACAGCAGATGTTCGCAAGAAATGAAATCATAGTGTCCTTTCATCATAATAGAATCAAACTAGAACTCAATAAACTCAATAACAAAAAATCACAGTCCGAGACTGCCCAGCTGCCACTGGGCTGTTTTATTTCTCCTCAGGAAGTTAATACAACTACTCTCGGTGTAGCTGAAACATTTAGTGTTGGCATCCAAATTCTTTTCCACTATTGTATTTTTATATTGCAAAAACTGCAAAGAATATACACTGATTTTTAAAACACAGTAGTAACCTGATTTATAAACCAACTTTTAGGACACCACATGTTAAACACAGACTAGTGTTACTTATTATATAATATGAGAATACTTTACCTTCCACTGCAGTGTCCAAAAAACTGGCATGCTCTGTCTTCACATGAGTTTCCATATCTTGAGTACAATCTGCTGTTTTCCCACAGAATGGACATTCGGGCGGACTATACATTGTGTCATAAACTGACCCTTTTACCTGGGATAGGTCACATTGTTTTTCCTTACTTTTCAGTTTTCTAGGTTCAGTCAAGTTCTCTGAATAAAAGGTTTTATGTTTTAAAGTACCGTCCTCAGGCAGGCTTTGAGCTGAAATTTTTGGATTAGACGCACAAGCTGAAGGCATACTTGAATTAACGTCCATTCTGCACTGTTGGGTGTTATCCTTTCTGTTACCAGAAGTCCCATGTTGCATTTCATTGATCTTCTCAAAGTTTCTTTCTAGTTCGTTTTGCTCGAAATGAGCAGTTTCAATATGAAAACACACTTCATCATAATTTACACCTGACAACTTGCAAAATGGGCAAATAACTTCATTTTCCATGTGAACAATCAGGAGATGAGACTTCATGTCCAGGTGTGAGGTTACTGTTTCACCACAAATATCACAAGACAACATGGTATATCATGTAGCTATAAGAGAACACAATATTATTTTAAGTTACAAAGTAAGAGTTGAAGAAAAAGAAAATACATTTTATAAAATGACTTGGAACAATGAAATACACCCAAAATGTGATTATTTAGATGAATACATTTTCCATGTACTTAACTATTCCTGAAATGTACAAACTTAATAAATCTCAACCAAAATTGCCCTGCTGTTTCAATTTTATGATTTTAATAAAACAAATGCAATAATGAAAATTAAAATGATTTTTCAAATACTTCTAAAAGTGTGATTTGAGGCAGAGAAAAGTAGCATTTATAAAATCGTCCAGATAAATCAGAGAAAACAAAGAAGCCTTATCAACTGATACATCTAAATACAGAAACTTATAAAGTTGTTAACAATGAGGAGGATAAATACATCTTAACAATAGCAGTAACCAGTTGAAGAGCTTTATGTATATCAACTAATTTAGGTCTAATTCTACATGGAGTACATCCTAGCTTAGGTGTGACACTGCAGCTAGAAAATGGTTAACCGACGAGCTAACCCAGTAAGAGTCTGTACTCTAACCTGAAGAACAGAAGCTGAGTGAGCTCAGGAGAAAAGAGCACACTGACTCCAGAGTCCAGAGAACTGGATTATAATCTCAGGTTTCAGAATTTTAGGTAAAACATCTCACCTCTTTGATGTTCGGTCTATAAAATGAATTGTAAGAAATCAGCAGTCACTTTTGAGCTTTGTGGACTAATAAAGTACTAGCTATAGACAAAAGGTGATTTTGCTAAGAAATAATTTTTAAAAAAGCAGTCACGTCACAACCTTCCTACTACAGTCCATCATTCAGCTAAGCGTTAGTTTTAAAATAAACAGAAAAAAGATAAGAAAACTATTCCCATCCTTCAAATAAATTTAGTTTTTATAAGAACTCCCTACGCTGTCTTTATTTTTCTCATTTTCCTTCAGACAAGTGAAAACAGTCGCTGGATTTAGAAGGAAATTCCTCCATAGCTCCAATGGAAAGAACGTCATACCCAGAGATGCCAACGCGGCCGCAGGGCCCTGGGCTGGGCTTCTTCTTTGGTCCCGCCGCTGAAACCGTCTGGCCGCCTGCAAGGGGAGTGAGTCTGCGGCCTCGATGACCCTTCCCGGCTTGAAAGATGAAGGCTTTCGCAGTTAACCGAGAAAAGAACCAGCGACTACAAAAGCAGAAGACTTGAGTCTCCAGTATCACTTCAAAAACGCTTTTCCTCCAGTCCCAGGAACGGAAGGACTCCCAGCATCCGCCTCCACGCGGGGTTGTAGTGCATTCTGGAAGTCGTAGTCATTTTTCCATCCTCCTATCAGGGCTCGGATCCCTAACCCTCTGGGAGAGACTAGAATCTGACGTTTCTCTGAATGAAAGTGCGGGTCCTAGAGTGTCACCGGAGCCCAAGGCATCCACTGTCTAGGACCCGAGTAGCACTCGGATTGTATTATCAATTAAGGCATTCTACTGCTACTAGGTGTCACACTGCAAACTGAGCTCTGCAGGTGGAGGGTGACTAAGACAGCTTCTTGTCTCAAGGTTACAAGATCATACGTACCTTATTTCTATGGTTCAGCTCTTATTTCACTCAAATATTTAATGAGTGTCTATTGGAAAAGCATTCTTCTTGGAAGTGGAGCTGCAGCGGTAATCAAAATACACAGAACTCAGGCCAAAATACACAAAATTACACTCTGAGGTCGAGAGAAAATGAACAAATAAACTGATCATGATAAGTACCATGAAGGAAATAAAACTGGGCTATTTATAGAAAGGACAAATGTAGTTAACAGAAGTCTTTCTGAGGTGGTGAGTGTGCTTATAAACAAACTTTGCACCAACAGGAGGAAGAGTATGCCAGGCACAGAAAATAAAAAGAACAAAGCCTTTAAGACTACAACAGAAAGAACACTTTATGACCTGTGAGTAACATTCTAGAAGTGGTTAAACGTGAAGTCAGAGTTGCAGACAGGGGCCATATAAGGTAGGGCTTGGTAGAAAACTATTGGCATATTTAAATAGGAGGGTAGCATGATCTGACGGTGTACTATATATATTTTAAAAATTATTCTAGGTGCTGAGTAGTTAAACATGGTAAGTTGACATGTACATTTATATTCCCTATCTCTCAAAATTGCTAAAATGACAGTAGAAAAATAAAAAATAATAAAAATAAGTGCTAATTAGAGTGTAACAAAATTCAAAAGAGAGGAAAAAGGATGGCTGAGTAGTAACAAAATTAGTAAGTAGAGAAGTCCACAAAAACAAGTCAATACATATGCCAGAACTCAGGATGTTCAGAAATTAAAGACCGGATACTCCTGAGAAAGATGGTAAATTTGAGCCTGAAAAGAAGAAAATTTTGCTGAAATTCTGAATAAGGAGCAGTTAGAACCTTCTTTCCACATGTCCTCTCTCCATCACAAGATTGCCAAGTGACTCGTCTGTCCTCCCAGAGAGAACACTACAGGTTTAGTTCATGAAGAAAATGAACCAGAGAAGCTATGAAGTCAGAAATGTACCACTAAGAGTGAGGGTCAAGGTGTAGAGACTGAAAGTGAGGAATAATGAAAGCTAAATACCGATTATGGGGTCCCTAGCAATTTCCTCCCATCACATTCTGAGGTCTCATACGTGCCTCCAAGTCAGGGGACTGGAGAATTCTCCATTTGTCCAAGATCAAAGACCTACAGATAATGGCTTTTAGAAAATCCTCCAATGAAACAGCCAAGATCTCATTTTATCTCTCTGTGGGGAGGCCTACAATCCGTGAGTAAACAAGCCTCCCTGACACACTGGCTTCCGGTTTCTTTAGTGCCTCATTCTTAAAAATGGACACCCAAGAATCACCTGGCATTGGAGTGCAGCTTATTGAAGGAAAGATAAAAAACAAAATGACAAAGGAAAAAAATAAACTGAAGAAACACAGACAATACATAAAGGAGAAAAAAATACTTCAAGGAAATGACAGTATGTTCAGAAAGGCAAGAAGAGATATTTAATCCTTGAATCAAAAATAGAAAGTAGCTTTTGAGATTAAAAAAGTAATACACACACATATATTCAATAGAGAGCTGGAAGATAACCAAAAATTTTTCAGGAAACAGAAAGAACAAGAGATGGAAAATAGGAGGTTCTTAGGGGTAGGAATCATGTGCTTTTCATTTCATATATTCTATTCCTAGAATTGAATCTGAAAAAGCAGTTTTCAACACGGTTGAACTTGAGAATGGTTTACAATGCTATACGTGTGTTATAATAATTCAGGGTACTTTATCTGGAGTTTCTTATTTCATACAGCAGTGACTACTCTTTTGTTAAAAATCCACAGATGTGATAGAATTCAAGTTTAAATAAATGGCAAATTGAAATGCTTGAAACAAAGGGGAACATGTAGAAAAAAGTTAATGCAGCTGAAGACAGAGCCTTCGTAAAGCTCCAAGAGGTTAGTGTATTTATCCGTTGTGTACGCTGTTGTAGCTCCTACATCTGAAACAATGCCTGGCTCCGATTAGGCCTCCATCAACACTATGTTGTAGGACGGATGGAGGTTGAATGAATGGATGGATGGGTGCATGAACGAAGAAGGAACGAGTGAATGATCGACTGAGAACTTGTCCGGAGGACCCGGGCTGTAGGACACGCTACAACCGCCTGGACCGCGCGCGTTTAAAATTTTGCAGTCAGTGCGGTGACCGGCTCCTCCTTCGGTGGGCGCGGCAGGGGCGCGCCTCCTCTCCGCCCCTCTGCGGGACTGTGCGGCCGCCGCCGCCACGAGCAAGGGCTTCTGGGAGCCGAGCTTCGGGGTCTCGGGGAAGGGGCGCACGTGGCCGCCATCTTGAGCTGCGAACCCGGTCGTTACCTTGAACGCTAGGGGCGGAGTGGCGACCCCACTGCTAACCCGCAGCAGACGCCGCAGCTGGGGACTGGAAGTCAGGGCACCGGGTAGTGCCACGTTAATGGGTAAGTGGAAGTGACACAGGCCAGGTTGAATGAACCTCAGGTTTGGTCCCTTTGGGAGCTACTAGTTTCTCGGGCCACAGTTTTTATTTACTCCTTTCCTTGCCAAGGGTTCAGAACCAAGCCAGCCGGGTTTTCTCGGGATCCCCCGAGGGAAGCACGGTGGCGGGGGTGTGGCAGCAGGACCGTTCTCTGCAGTCGCGAAGGCGCGGGGAGTCCAGATCCTCTTAGACCGCCAGACTCGCCCTCGGAAGAAGCTTGAGGCAGCCAATCTCATCCTCGCCTCTGCGGCAGTTCTCGGTGGTTTCTCTTCTCCGTACGCGGTCTTGCAAACGTCCCCACTTCCTGCTGGGACTCAGCGTCTGGGTCCGGCGGCTTATTAGGAGTAGAGTCCAGAGAAAGGCAGGGTTTGTCCTGGGGGCCTACGCGTCGTACCCTCTGCCCCCGCCAGCTGCGGTCCGCCGCTAGGATGCCGGTGCCTGGAAGGGCTCGGTCCCTATGCCGCCACGTGTGGGTCACATGCCCGTCTCTGCTAGTCTGTCAACGAAAGTTGAATAGTGTTTCCTCGATAATGTCTAAGAGGCGAAAGGGTCTGGAAGCTGTGAAATCGGAGAGTGATACTTCAGAAGAATATGACACTGTCATTTGCTCTTGAACTTTTTGAACACATTAAAAAACAACCCTGATTTGATGTCTTTTCGTTACAACTGTGAATGACTCACATTCTGTAGGAAAGTGACTTACTTTCTGGATAAACAAGAAACGGTTCTGTCCTTCAGCGGTAGGGTCTGTAGTCGGTCCACTTTCTCCTTTGTAGTAATCCTGTAATTTTACTAGTAGGCGCCCAAACTCATGGAGATTCAGGCTTTACTGATACAAGAAATTACGACGAGATGTTAGAAAAATTTTAGATTCCAGTTATTTGCCCATCCTCAACACAGGTTTTCAAAGAGCTGAGTCAAAAATAAGCATGACTGAGGAAATGCCTCTGTTTTCCAACTTTAGAGTGCCTGAATAGCGTTATTTTTATATTTTTAATATAAAAATATTTTTATATTTTTAATAACTTACACAGGACAGCAGCCTTTAAAGTATAGTCTTCAAAGCTATTTTCCAGAGAACAAAACAATCCCGTTAGGTGAGGAACCTTTAGAGATCATTTGCCTAAGAATTTATGTCCTCTTTAAAGCAACTGCAGTGAGGAGGCAGGCAAAAAGTTAGTATTGTAGAAGAAAAAGGAATGATATATTAGTTGTTGGGACTAGATTTTATTTGGTTAATGTGTTTATGTAAAAAGATTTTAACGTGGCCACCTAGATCAGCGATTTCATCTGGTGTGCTGCAAGAGACACACTGGCGTGTCAACAAGAATTTTTAAAACATTACTAGTCAGGGGCACTGACCTCATTTCCCTTAAATTGTCAAATAAAAAAATAACAGCCAAAACAACAATAGCTGTCCAGTGTTACTGAATGAAAATTATACTTTTTTTGTGTGTCAAATAGAAAATAATTGAATATATTTTTTGGTGTGCCACAGAAATTTATGAATTAGATTATATGTGCCATGAGATGAAAAGGTTGAAAACAGCTGACCTAGCTTAATGGTTTTGGAATAGTGTCTCGTGTATGTGTTGGGGTGACACAAAGTGATTGAATCAGACACGGGGAGTAAATATTAGAACTTCTACTAGTTTACCTTTTAAAACTATTAATTTGAATTTGTTTTCTATTTGTGAATTTTGTAATGGGTAGTTTACTAGGCTAGTAATACATGTGTATAAATAAACATACTGAGAATTAATACCCAAATATATTTTGCATACATGAGGATATGTGATGAGAAAAGTTTAGAGTACTTAGATGATGTCTAATGTGTAGGTGATAAATATTTTTAAGAGCATTATTGCTTTGAAGATTTTATTCTGTTAAAATACTTTATACTTATTGAGCATACAGGGTGGGGCAAAAGTATGTTTACAGTTGTATGGGAAACACAAGTGTTTATTCTTGTATTATTTATTAACGATTGTATTATTTTCCATATGACAACTGTGAACCTACTTTTGCCCCACTGTATAATTCAACAACTAATGGTGAAGCGCAGTTTGTTGAAAATTAGTTATGAATTCTGATCTCTGTTTTTCCCCTCCAAGAGACTAAGCTCTTATTGAGAGAATTTTTGTATGTAAG